TTAAGTAAACCAAGAAAAAACTCAAACACCCAACACTCCCACAACTCCCACCCAATTATATCAAAAGGACCTTGGCTACTTAAGATCTGTGTAACCTTGAAGCTCTTGTTGTGGGTTCTTTGGGGCAATTGACTCAATATAATCTGAGCAGACCTCGGTGTTTTCTGAGCTTCATTGTTTTCTTACAGACGTTTCACTATCCAAAGCAGGTCTACGAGAAATTCTGCAAGAAAACAAGCAAGCTCCCAGGGCACCAAGGACACCTCATTTCAACCTGGAGCTACAAATAGTCTCCTTTATTAGTATCAATATGACCTGCTAGCTTTGAAAGTAAATTATTGTTTGAATCCTTTTCAGTTATTGGTGAATTTCCCACCATTCTAGCATAGTTGGAAAGATATGAAGCTCCAGTGTTTGATGGTTCACCTGAAGGTGACAGCCCCAGTTTCTTCCAAGAAAACAGGGACCTTTATTCATTTAGCCCAAGACTCTGTAATGTGCAGAAAACATAATCTTAAGCACAAGAGGAAGAACTGCTACCAAGACAATGGGGAAATAAAAGAAATCTGAATCTGGGGCATATTCCAAGCAAATAGCTCAGATAAGAAAGACCCTGCCTATTATCATGAAAATAAAGGGAGAAAAAAGAAGTACTTCAGCCATGGAAGATTCTGTTATTGTAGCCATACAATAAAAGTACAGTAGCACTAGCATTTATGACTTGGTTTCCTAGTCCTAGTACCTTGACATCCCATAGTACTTCTTTACTAAGATGGTATGGCGGGTGTTCTTGTTGCATGCTTAGGTATTTGCAAGCTTTACATTTATGAGTGAGCTGCTGGGTATATAATTGCCTGAAGAGTTCTTAAGAAAGTTACCCATGGCTACCACATTTTGAACTCCAAAGAAATGTATAGTTGGAAATATCAACAAGGTTGCTGGATGGAGTGACAAAATATTGCAAGATTCTTCTTCTTTTTACTTCTGGTAGATAACTCTGCTTGTATGAGAAATAAAATACTGTGAATTTAAAGTTCACCACTTCTATGAAATAAAAAATATGGAATTTCACTCAGTTCAGTGACAGATTATTGCCACCTCCCTCATTGTTTTTTACACCAATATGTTCACCAGCAGAATAAAATGTATTTCTTCTGCCTGCTTAAAAATACAGTAATTCAAGAAAAAAAAACTGTACAGACTAGGCCAGTGTTTCCCAAACTTGACAATTTTAAGGCATGAGGACTTCAACTCCCAGAATTCCACAGCCAGCGTTGCTGGCTATGGAATTCTGGGAGTTGAAGTCCTCATGCCTTAAAATTGTCAAGTTTGGGAAACACTGGACTAGGCCCATGCTGACATTTATCTTTCAACTGCAAAGAAATAGTCAAAAAATTCTACCAGTTCCCTCAAGTCTGAAGTGTCCTGGCCTCTCCAGGACACTTATCTTATCCAGCTGCAATTATAAATCAGATTACAAACAGGCCCAGAAGGGGAACTGGAGATACAGTAAGGGCTTCAGAAACACATTTTGTTTTCTTGAGTTTGTGGAGAAAGAACCATTGCTTGTTTACACTGAGAAAGTCTTCTCTTTAAAACAGAATTTTAAAACCTGTACCTACCAAAAGCTGCCTGTTTCTCCAAAGAGCTATGCTTGCTGGGAACTATCAAAGCTGATAGTTCCTATACATCTGGAAAGCACCAGGATGGAAAGGGCCACATTACAGCTTAAAATGTTGAGACTTCAGAGAATTGGCTTTCCAAACCACTGATATACTTTCAGGAGACTGACTTACTCTGATCAAAAACAGCTTTTCAGACACGTTTTAACTAGCCTGAAGGGGTTTATTTTAATTAATACTAGTTTCTTGCAGTTTAATCATACAGAAGTCACTGTGGTCATTAAACAATCCAGTTTCAGCTAAATTCAGAAGTGCAATCCCAGTTCATTTAGCTTTTTAGGATTACAGGACTGTACTGGCGAAGGCAGACAGCTGGCCTCAGCATTACACTTTATCTTCCTTTTCTGCCTCTCTCAGGCCTGCCAACAGGTTTCTCCCAAATCTTTAGACAAAAAAAAGGACCACATTGGGAAGTTTGCCACTGCAGACCCAGTCATTAGTTAGAAAGCAACTCAACCCCTTTTCTAAACAAGCCACAGCACTTGGACACCAAGAAACAATACACACAGAGAAAAAGCTGTTACCAAGCCTAACCCAGAATAACTTGAAATCAATCAAATCTGAAAATATTTTTTCAAGCCACATCTTTTTCTCTAAAACCAAAGCTATATGGTTGGGCTTTCTTTTTTTCTGATAAAGACACAATCATTCAATTCACATCCTGAACAAATCTGAGAAAAAAATTTGATTTAAGAAAAACCATTTTTCCCCCACCAAGGTTATAAAATGAACATTGCATCTTGAGTGGGACAAATCAAATTATTAACTTAGTGTGTAGAAACCAACTATATTTATTTGAACTATCTTGTCATCATACATTGGTATTTTATTAGTTACATGTGGAACAGATTATGAAAAAAGCTTTTATAGCACTTGGGCATATAATAATGCATAAGACATACATACATTTCCAAACCTGTTTCTCATTGCCAATACAGATAGTTCCCTACATCCTTCAATATGGGGACACTGTGACAGTTGTAACTGCAAGGACTTGTTATATGTTACTTTTTTCAGTACCACTGTAACTTGAAATGGTTACTAAATGAATGGTCATTAAGTTGAGGACTACCTGTATTTTAGTATGTTATGGTAAGACAGCCTTTAACAAGTCATGGTTAGCTGTTGGTGGCAGGTATTATTAGAAAGGGCCAAGTGACCAACAGCAATAGCATGTACCTCTTTGCAGTGCTTTACAGCCCTCTCTAAGCGGTTTGCAGAGTCAGCGTATTTCCCCCAACAATCTGGGTCCTCATTTTACCAACCTCGGAAGGATGGAAGGATGAGTTAACCTTGAGCCGGTGAGAGACAAACTGCCAAACTGTTGGCAGCTGGCAGTCAGCAGAAGTAGCCTGCAGTACTACATTCTAACCACTGTGCCACTAGGGCAGTTAGCTGCTAGGGAAGGAATGCATTGATTTCCTCAAGGACTCCAATCCCACAATGTAGCTGTGTCTACCTCTTATACTGCTCATTGACAAAACAGGCCATGGGAGATGGATGCTAATTTAACTATCATATGTTGGAGACTATTTCCCCAATGAATATATATTATACTCTCCTACACAGTCTTAAATTCCACCATGTCTTAGTCACACAAACATAAGGATATTGAAAAAAAAATAAAAATCTCAATTTTACCATTCCAGACATCAAACAAACTTGGATATTTCACATGCATCCATGTATTCATTGGTTCCCTTTTTCCAGGAAGAAAATCAGACTCATATCATTTGAATTCTACTTAACATGTTTTCATTCTTTCATTGCTCCTTTTATCCTGCTAGCCTAAGGAAGACATATCTAAAATCAAGAGGAATAAGCACTTCACCCTGGAATAGGACAAAAACCTATGAAATTAATTTGAAAAGATCATACCTCAACGAAGACAGCATTTTTAAAAAAAACAAGGCTTTGCAAGGACATGGGTATGGCAAGCAAAGTTCATTTGCTTTCATTTCTGTAGAGACCTATATTGAAAGCTGAGCCTTATCTCTAGCAATTCATGTTCTATAGCTGCACACCCATTCACCTGTGTACATCACCTCTGATACTGCAATGGCTTTTGAAGAGAAAAAGAAGTCCTTCCCCCAAAAGATCTGGAAAACATATTAACATGAGTACGGAAAAAGAAAGGTCAACCTGCAAAACCAAGTCCTCTTTCTCATGCTTCTATTTCATACTCTCCCATTTACGGGACTTAAGTGTTTATAGTGCCCAGAATTACAAAAGCAGCACCAATCTTCTGGAATGAACCCTATGTCACCTAATGAGGTTTCTCCACATTTCTTCATAGGCTCAAATTCAGCTATTATCACATGCTTTAAACAAACCCACAGGAGTAATTACTTATAATTATGTGCAATTATATCTAATTTTTGCATAACAAAAATGGATGTATTTGCTATTTTTTTCTGCAAAGGCAGGTGATTGGGCAATGGCTGAGCTCTCAGGTAAACAGGTCTCCAGACTCCAAACTAATGGTTACTAAGTATGGTCAAGCTGAGTCTTCCCTGTATAGAGTACACAAATTAAATATTATCTCCAAAAAAGAGAACAAAATAATTGTTGTCTCTCTCCATCATATTTTCAGATCAATAAGAAAAAGCCAAAGAAGGGGGAGGAATCTATTATTTGAATAATGCCAAAAAAAAGGAGGAAGTCATACAACTCCAATTTAAAGGAAGCATTGTCATAGTGTTTAGTTCCTTTTAAGCCCGAGCTAAAATGAAGCTGTCATGTGTCAAATAATTTAACAGTATTAGGCATCTATCAGACACCTGTTGCTCCTCAGAAACAATTCCAAAACCACAAGATGTACAAATTAAATTTTGCTGAACCAAGCGGACATTTCGTGCTCATTTTTGCATGGAAGAAGCACAACACTTTTGATGGCTCTTACAGGAATCCTTACTGTGTCTGTTGTTTGGTTTTAATGGTTTTGTTACTGTTTTATTGGTTGCAACCCAGAATCCATTGGGAACAGGGCAACTTCCAATTTCTAAAAAAATTAAATATCACCCCTTTTTGAATGTGGTCACATTTTTGAACATCCTCTTGCTTGCTTCTACTTCTTCTAGAGCCCAACATCCCCTTCCCCTGCAGTATCACCTGGCTTTAGTAAACCAACCTGTAGATACCTTCAAAACAGCAATCGGGACTTTCACATCTGCATTATACACCCAGTTCGGGAAGGCAGGTATCACAACTTCTCCTATCATCTTCACCACCCCCAAATACAACACAACGCAACCCCTTCTGAAGAATGAACAAGTGAAAAATGCTACAAAAGAGACAAGGTCCAATTGCCAAACTTGCCTTAGTGCTGATATCTTCCCGCTTGGTCCCTGGTTTGCTTCTTCTCAATTTGATAGAAGGAGACCGAAGTAAATTTTTAATTCTGCTCGTTATTGTGGAGCCTTCAACCGACATCATAATCTTTGTGGGGAACTAATACAGTCCCCTCTCAAATGCCTTCCCCAAAGAAGTTCAGGAGGGCTGGATTTCACATCACTTTCAGGAGACTCCAGACCTTCTTCTTTCACTTCATCATAAGGCTTCCACTCCAGGACACATCAGCTCTGCAATATGGCTATGTACAGTTCTTCTTAGGTTAGTTCAAAAGACCAAGATCAATATAGACCTTTGAGAAATGAAGGGGGGGAGAAGAAAGAGAACTAAGGTAAAATAATATAATCTTACAGGCATCTTATTCAGAATTCATGTAAAGTCACCACCATTCCCACATTGCCTACAGTTTACAAAACGTGGCTGTTTTAAAAATGGATGTGTGCATGTGACTGTAACACAAAGATAAAAATTTGAAGATAACCCACTGCTCCAGCTTTGGAGGTGAAGAACAATTGCTCCTAACAATTACATGGGTATGTTCAGAACCAACCACATTTCACTAAGCATGTGGTCCAAATCCAACTTAATCTAATCTTAATCTATAACTCAAAGCCATGCAAATCTAGAAAATTGAATTCCTTAATTCCTGGTGTAGTTTATTATAGATCTTTATAAAGGTAGCTTAATAAGTCAAACCATAATACTTGGCCCCGGGAATCCTTATTTTAGAGATGAATGCTTTGCAAATTTCCAAGGAAATTCCTCCATGCTACTCTGCATGGAGTAACAACTCACTGTTACTGTTGTTGCAAATACTTAAGGATTACCCTTTTAAGAAACAGAAATCAGATATCTAAGCCAAGTAAACCAAAATAATACCGTTGGCAATTAGATCAACTCATGGGTTTTGAGCTCAGCTTTCAATACAAGTGGGCATTTTTCAAGCCTAAAGACGATTTACTATTTCAAACACTTCACTTACGCATCAAAAAGAGAATCACGACCATCCAAGAATATCAGAGCTTCAGCCCCCAAAACCATGAATGACTGTGAAGTCAATTAAGGAACTCGACGGAGATTTCCGAACAGAAGTTTGCGTAAAAACCTCTTTCCCATCCGCGAAGGCGAGGAATGCACAAAGGCAGGTCGAATATAGTCACGCAGAAGCCGTTCCAGCTTTTTCAGGCCAACAATTGGATGACGAGGATGGAGAAATCCGCTAGTAATTCAGTCAGACCCATTTTCTTGCCCTAAAACCACGAAAGGCAGCTTCTCGCTTTAAAAGAAGCCCCTCCAACCTTTGTTACCTTGGAAAGGAGGCAGCGGCGCTCCGGAGCGGAAGCGTAAAAAAAAGCCCTCTTCCCCCCAGTTCTTGTCCCTGCAGCCGGGTTTCGTCCTTTCACGAGCCAGGGTCGCATTCAAAAGCACCCTCGCCTTCCCGGCGCTGCCGCCTTTCTTCTCTCCCCGGCTCGGCAGGGCTTTGCGGGCTTCCCAAACACGCGCGAGCGGGGGGCCACCGGGGAGCTGGGGAAGCTCCTCTGGCGGGTCCGGCGCGGGGGAAGTGAACGAGGCTAAGGGAGAGGAAGGGGGGAGAGAAAAGGGCTGCCTTCCCGCTTCGAGGCTGCTCGCTTGCAGTCAGTCTTCGCTCCTTCACGCCCGCTGACAGCAACGGCTTGGCCAAGTCGCCGGATCACCCGTGCCGGGAAGGCTGCCAGCCCGATCCCCGCCTCCCTGCCGAGCCTGGGCTCCAGCCCCTGGGTCGTCCCTCTCCTTGGGCTCCTCCTCCGCCTCTTCGCTCAGCTGTTTCTTCTGGGCAAGCCTCAAGCTGGCGACCCCTCTGCCGCCCGCTGCCCCCCGTGTATCCCCCTGGGGGAGCTCGCCGGGCTCTGACAGCGCCGTCCCCGCCAGCCAGCCAAGCCAGCCAGACGGATTCCGCGGAGGCTATGGTGGCCTAAGCAGACCAAATCACGAAACGGAGACGGGATCGCCAGCGGGACCGCCCGCCTGCCTCGATTTCACGGCGTCGATTTCGGCGGCGGCGGCGGAGGGAGAGATGGATTTCTCGACCGCAGAGCTCCTGCAGGAAGAAGGCGGCTCCTGCCTCGGCGGGGGAGAAGGCTTTGCCCGCCCTCTTTTTGGCTGCTGGCTTGAATCGGCAAGCAAAAATGAACCAGTTTGGAAACCTTGCCCGTTGTTTCCGGAGCACCTGGACGTGTGTTTACGAGCCGCAGGGCGGCCAAGCCACAGGCCCATCTGAGGTCTCTGGTAGATTGTTAGGTGGAGTTGCCAACTTTTTCTCCAAACCTCTGCAAGAACCCTCTGCTGTAAGAATTATATGGAATGCATGAAAATAAGACCCCCCCCTTTTTTTTTTTTTTGAAACCACCCTGGAAGGAATTCTGAAAACATTGGTGTCTCAGGCTTCCTCCATACAGGCAGTCCGCAACTTACAACAGTTCATTTAGTGACTGTTCAAAGTTACAGTGGCAGTGAAAAAAGGGACTTATGACCATTTTTCATACTTATGACCCTTGGAGCATCCCCATGGTCACATGATCAAAATTCAAAAGCTTGGCAATTGGCTCACTTTTGGGATGGTTGCAGTGTTCTGGGGTCATGTGATCAGCTTTTGCAACCTTCTGACAAGCAAAGTCAATGGAGAAGGCAGATTCACTTAACAACTGTGTCACTAACTGCAATGATTCCCTTGACAACTGTTTCAAGAAAGTCGTAAAATGGGGCAAAACTCACTTAACAAATGTTTCACTTAGCAACAAATGTTGGGCTTTATTGTGCTCATAACTCGAGAACTACCTGTACCTGCAAGCCAAATTTGGTGGTTGCACTAATTCAAGTACATCTGCCTAGGTTCACACACCATGCTAGGTCTTTGTATGATCTGCTTATTGTTCAATCATCTTTCCTCATTTGATTAAATGTAGTTTACTACCAATTAAAGCTAGTACAATCCACCACTATTTCTACACTAAGCTAACCTTTGCATAGTTCTACTAGAAGTAGGTTTGAATTTCTGGATTTTTCTCCCCTGTTCTTGGTTTTGTATGTATGGAGAATGTGATTGGGCAGACATGGGTATAGGTCTCCTCTAGTCTAATTATTTCTTGGCAAACAATAAGGATGCTGACTAAGAACTTAGGCCGCATTCCTAAAAATGTTTACACAAATACTGTACTTCTTTTGGGACTCAACTGACTGTACTTCCTCATGACCAGTCAAATTAGTCAGCAGACAAATGCCTTGTTCAGCACAAATGAAGTTGCAAGTGTGCTTATGTTTAAAAGCAGCACAAAGTAAATACCCGTAATAGTTTTATTTAGGCTCAAATGGTCCTAATTGCATCTTCCTGGGAACAAACCCAGATGCAACCAGAGTAGATCTCTGTCATGAAACATGTAACAATGGTTTGATAGCTGCTAAACGTTCTTGTCACAATATAGGCACCTACTAATTTCATAGCTGCCTTTTCCAGCTTTTTCTACTTCAGAATGCCACATTCCAGTACATGTTTTGTACATGGTACTGCGATCTTCCTAGGCAACAGGCTGTAATCCTATATACGTTTACAAGGATGACTACGGCCATAGGATTCCCAGCTGCATCTCAGAGCCTTCCATTACAGGTTTATTTTTAAAAGTGCTTTTCAGACCATTTTATTCCCTGTATGTCCCATCAGAGGGGGAAAGTGCTGCACTGGAGACTATATATGCAACATTTCCTAAAGCTTCAGTTCTTGACCCTTCTTTTCACACAAGCAGTAAACTCACGTGGAAAGACACGGTACTGTATAAAGCACAAACTAAAAAAATATGATTATCAAACTAGAATATCTGTTTAAAAGGATTAGGCAACTTCACAGAGAATATAATCCCAAATTGGAATTGTGTAATAGCTTGTGTAGGATCTACCAAAATAGCACACAAAGTTCTACAATGTTCACCAGATGGAGAAGAAGCAAGATAACTCCAAGCACTAGGTCAGGGGTTTGCATCATGAGGTCTGCACTATAAAATTAAGAGGCCTCGCTTTTGAACGTAGCCTAGCATCTTATAAGAGATGGCACACTAGAGCATTCAAATTCGAAAACCTGGTTTAGAGAACCTCCTACTGTCTCATCAGGAAAGGTGTCAGCCCACATTTTGTAAGTGTGTAATTTGAAGCTGCACATGATTGCTAAACCTAGCAAACTAGAAATAGCCAGAGTAACTAAACATAAGTGCTGTATTCCAAATCTTCATATGACTGCAGACTAAATGGATCACCTGCCTTTCATTCTTTCTTTACCAACATTACAGTCAGCCAAAACCAACATGACAATATTGTTTTTCCTTTCCTAGCCGGCCTTCTAACATTTGTTGCTTCTTCTCACTTCTTATTTACATGCCATATTTTTCTTTTCTCTATCTTAGCTTTTCTATACGAGTGGTGGTGTTTGTGCAAAAATATTTTGCCTGGTATCCAATTTTCTTTTTTTTTTCTGTCTTTAATTTAATCTTTAATCTAACCCTAAAGAATGAGTGGGGAAATAAGGTGAGAAGTGCCATAACCAGTATTTCTCACTGGCTGAGAAAGGAAAGAAAGCATGCACCTGGAAGCCCAGGGGAAGAACAGTGCCCTTTTCAAAACAGGGCTGTGGCTCAGAGGATTTTAAAATGATCGGAGCATATCAGTTCCCATCTCTGCAATAAATCTACATTTGTTTGCTTGTTTTGGCCTGGTGTAGAGACTAGCTTGTTTTAAAGGTTTCTCCCAAACACTGCCTAAGGTTAAAAGTTACACCTTTTCTCCTTTGTTTTTGGAATAGTGTTCTACTACGCTTGATGAAAGTTTGTTCTGAGTCATCTTTAAAGCTTTCTGCCTTGGTATCAGAAGAGATCTTAACTTTCACATCTGTCATCAATGTCCAGACATGGCAGGGAAGAAAAGGAATGTTGGAGCAGACCAAGGGCCCTGTCCTGACCAGTATTCAGTCTATGGTGGGCAAGTTGCTAGGAAAGCTACATGCAGAGAATGAAGGCAATGATCCTTCCAGCAAGTGATTTTTTGGACATGCTATTGCCTCTTAAAGACAGAATTGCTTTTTTAGCACAAGGCACATTTTTTTAAAGAAATCTGTGAGCATTTATTTCTTGGTTCGGTCCAGATTCCATAGTCCTCATCCTCCTCCTCTTCCTTTTCTCTACAAGCATATCATACTTTCTGATCTGTCACAATATTTCCCTTACTCTCCTGAAAAAAGAAATCTATCTCCCTCACAGAATATCTACTGTTTGAAGCTCTATAACACAAGTAGAGCTGACACTTGACAAGGGGTGATTTGCAATCTTGTAGAGAAGATGCCAAATAGCAAAACAAAGCCTTCCCTCATCCGTCACCCCATTTTGTCAACTTACTTTTGATCCATGGTGTGCTGTTGCACCACTTAGGCTTTGTAACAGAATTTACGTTCTGTATTAAATGCCCTACAGTTTCTTAATGTAATATCAAAGTTTGCATTTAGCCATTGATCAGTTGTAAAGCAAGAGTTCTCCAGGCAATGTACCATCATTTAATATATATGATTTAAAGTGAAATTATATAAAAATAGCACACAACATGACTCAAACCTATACAGAAAGTTGCAGAATGGCTAAGTTACAAATCAAGAGCAACAATAATAGCTGCAGTAAATACAGTATAAAAATTATTGATAAATTTCTAGTGTGTTTAAATACTTCATCCCCTAATAACCTTGCAAATCAAATATTGCTGGGGCCTCCTTCCATGATTAGAATACTGCAGGCCAGTTCTGCATTTCTTTCTGGTTCATGTATTCCATAAATTAAACATTCTTATACTATGCACATTTACACAGAGACAATTACATCATTGATAGCTTTTATCTTTAATTAAAGTGTTTTAGGGTTGCATTCTAGATAGTGAGGGAAGCCTGTATTATGCTTTATTTTAAAGATAAATGCAGGAGAGGAGAACCGTATGTTTCCCCATTCCTCATTGTTCAGTCATTAAAATAGCATAGTTGGGATAACTACATTGGAATGGCTGACATGTGACTGCCTCTCAGAGAAGATACCTGACTTTTAAGGTACAGTACTTCATGTACAGGCAACCTCATTGGACATCTTGCTGTAAGAAATACATTCCTGATTTTTTTCAAATTCCAATGGCGTGCTGATCAGCTCATTATGGTAAATCCCAGCATGTTTCCCCCCCTCCAAATTCCAATCAGTAAAATGCATGACGTTTTGTTGCATCTCACGATTGCAATTAAAGATGTTTCAGTGTCATATGCTACGCAACATCAAGCCCTTGAACTATAATAGTAGATGTTGTTGTGCTAGTTGCACTTAATTAGATGACTACAATATTCACATTCACTTTGTGTGTCACATTAAGTCTAAGGCTCAAGGATTTCCGGTAGATTGTCACATATATTTAATTATAAAGTCTTAGTATGTGGTAATAAATTGAGGAGATGAAGTAATGGAAGTTGTCATTTGTGAATTACTAAGAGCACCCTCCCTTCTTCTATTTAGTATTTATATTCTTTTTAGTAGAGATTTGCATGAGAAACTAAACTGATCTCAGTTTCTCTTATCAACTAGCTAGCACAAAGTGTCTAGGTTTCTGCATGTAAACATGAAGAGCAGCAGGGAGTCATGGTTGAATGCAGGCTGTCACAATAGAAGTATTGAATTGTAGGAAACTCCAGTCACTGATCCAGGGCCTCCATTGGTCACATATACTCCATGCATATTCCCAGTGGTAATGTCTGATTTATTTGATCATTGTATTGAAAAGCTTAGAAAAACAATTTCTTCAAAAAATGTTACATGGCTGCTGCTGATTTGCTGCCTTATTCACGGGGGGCAGCCCAATGTTTTCTTTTAAATAACTGCGTAGTTTAAGACAAACTGGTTGGCAATGGTATGCTGGCATAGGGAAAAAAACTGTAATACAGGATCGGAAAGCACCTTGGAGTCTTCTAGTCCAACCCCCCACTCAAGCAGGAGAACCTATACCATTCCAGATGAATGGTTGTTCAATCTCTTCTTAAAACTTCTAGTGATGGAGCACGCACAACTTCTGTCGGCAAGCCATTCCACTGGTTAATTGTTCTATCAGGGAAGAATAAAGAATCATGAAATAAGGATGACAAACTGTGGATTGGACCATTAGATGCATATAAAACTGGCTGAACAATTGTATCCAGTGAATGTATGTCAATGGCTCCTTATCAAGCTGAAAGGAAGTACTTTTAGCATAAAACAGACCCTATGCTTTCAACAAAGGGCAGCTATCCCCAATTTATATTTCTGGAGAGCTATAAAACATGAGTTTCTAGAAAGGCATTTGAAGACAAGACAGATCGTGCTGTTGCCAAATTGATTCATTGGATTATGATTGTACTTTTCTTTTTAATCTTGATGTATTAAAGCCTTTGAGCATCTTCAAAAATGGAGTGGCATATAAACTGCAGAAGTTAAAAACGTCCTTTTTCTATGATAATATATTGCCACTGTATATAACCTATAAAGGCTGCAAAAATAAATCTAAGAGAATTAGATTCTGCATGGGAGTCATAAAGGGGGATTAGTAGAAGCAATATGATGTAGTGCCAAGGGTTGACTAGAATGGGAGAGACCCTGGAAATTAACTGGGTGACTTTGGACCAGTCATTCACTCACAATGCAATGTATTTCGCAGGATTGTTATTGTAAAGATAACACAAAAGGACATCCCTGTGCTAAATAGCTTGAACTCTTGGAATAAGGTAGGGTGTAAATAGTTCAATTGAATACATAGCCAATCTATGGTTGACACAAATGCTACAAATCATTCAAATTAATATGCCCAAAATATTTTCCTGGCTTTTACCCATGATAGCAACAGAATCGGTGCTATGAGGTGGATTGCTCCTGTCAAGAGAAACATAGTTGCAAAATTAAATAATGATTGAATTATACAATTAAATACCTTATTGTATAAAGTGGACCATCATGCGCTCTCCTGTATAGGGAGTTTTGAAACCAAAACACTCCACTTTTAGCTTGCACTCACTATGGATTTAGAGCAGGCATGTCCAATCTTTTGGCTTGCTTGAGCTGCATTGAGGAGGAATTGCCTCGGGCTGCATATAAAATATAGTTTATTTTTTTAATATTTTTATTACCATTTTGTGGGATCGTGTTACTTGCTATCCAGAGCTGTATGCAATCCAAGGGTTGGACAACCTGGTTTAGAGGAATGGCCCAGACACCAATTGCCCTGGCTAGTAAGTGAACCACAATCAGGCGAATCCCCAAATTATCCAGAAACTGGCAATATATAAAACATGAAGATTTTTCTTTACATATACTAGATGGTCTGAGGTGATCTGAACCATTTAGATTTGAGATAAAGCCTCCAAAATTCAATGCCCGTAAAATACAGAAAAGTGCTCAGGGATTTAATCAAAGCTTTCTACACACTGCCACTAAAAGAAAATTGAGTCAAAAATTATCTTTGTTCTATCTTGAACAAAAGATTTAATATACTGACTGGGAACTGAATTTGAATTGAGGAACCCTGATGTAATGGCACATGGATAGGATTATTATAAGGTTGTACAGAACCAAAAAGTATGGTACTATAATACTAAATTCCACCTGTCTCAAAATGTGCTGTATGAGCTGGAATTCTTTTGAACTTTGCATGAATTCTCTGCACTTTACACAAGAGCTTTTTGCCTCTCGACACCCATATAAAAACTTTGTGTTGATCCAAGCAGAGGAGTCTGAAGTGTTTATCCAATGGAGAAGCTGAGCTGTACATTTCTAATACTTTTGAGAAAGATTGCTAGGTCACATAGCCCCATGAAGGAGTGTGTGCGTCTGTTTTAGTACAGCTGAGAGAACACAAAAATAATAGAAATGGTTCTGGAGAGGTTATTTCAATATGCTATCATTATGCTAAAGAAAATAAATGTTAGGAAATGTAAGTGGCCACATTTATTTAAAGACTAAGGAATGGGCAAAGCTCTCCAAAGTATTCTGGAATATTCCAAGCAAAGCTCTGTACAGGAATAGAATCCTCAAAGGTGACTGAGACAATTCACAATTAAGAACTCAAATCAAACTGTTAGCAATCTTTATCACAATAACAATGCTAAGATTTAAAAAAAAATTCAAAATATTCTTTTTTACAAGGACTAATTTTATTCCAGAATTTTATCAATAAAACTCAGTACAGTCTGTTATCCTCTCAGCTTCTCCTCTAGTTTCTGGTCTAGAAATAATATTTCAAAACCATTTTCTAGTTAGAGACTATTTTAATTACACAGATTCTCCTCTCAGTATTCAGATAGGCTTTATGGTTCAATAACTACAAAAATACAGTTTTTAGTAGATACAGAAAAAGAAGAAATATAATAGAAACATAATCTAACATTGTGTTACTAAAACATCAGTCATTTACAGATGAATTAAAAATCAATTTTACAAGCTTGCTTAAAATGAAATGAATCAATTGTCAGAGCTGATTAGAAAATACTTATAAAATTCATTCTCACATTATTCCTAAAAAAATTATACATAATTGTTATCAAGGCTACTTTTGAAATACACAGGGAATAGTCTTGTAGTATTATTTTTAAAAACTTTAGAATTGAGCACTGAAATGCAGATGAAAACTATTCAAAGAGATGACTGGGTTTCGGAATTTTAGAGTTCTGTGTATCACACTTGAATGTTTATATAGAAATTTTCCTGAAATCCTTTACTGCCTATTTACATTATAATGCACTGCATCTTTAAAATAGTCATAATAGAGGCCAAATGATCATAGTTGTAATGATAAAATTTGTTCTAAAGTGAAATGTGGAATGGTAGGATTTTCTTTAGGTACTATAACTCAGAAAACAAGCAAATACTAGGAAAAAGGAATGAGAAAAGAATGAAAAAATGTTATGTTTTAGTCAAATTTCTAGTGTAATGGTAGTTCTATAAAAGAAAGGGTTGGCATAATTTGTTTTATGTTTATTTAATATAGGTAAGCAAATTGCCACAAGCCTTCTTCAGGCTTTTTCACCTGAACAAGCAAGATGTCTGAGTACAGGATTTTATACAGTCAGAAATCCTAACAACAAGGAGTTGATGTACTCATAAGAGCTGCCTTGATTTACAGCTCTACATACAAGGATCCCATCAGTGCCAATGTTCATACAACATCTGCCAATGTCTCTGGGACAGGCTCCTCAGAGGAACCACATTCTCAGTTGCATGTCCAGAAAAAGCATTTAAAAGGCTTGTGTTCCATTGCAGTCTGACCCTTAAATTAAAAAGGTCAGTCAGATTTTATTTAAATAGTGATTTATGAAAGTTCTTTTCATGTCCTAAGGCACTGACTGAAAACAGTGAATCAAGAAACACAAGAAAACCTTACAATAAACTGAAATATAGCATAGGGGAATATGTGCAGCTGTGAAGAACAACACATTGTTTAGTATACACTGCTTAGAACTTAGACAACTTTTCCTTTCTAATATTACAAAGCTTTTAAATCAATAGCATTTGATAAAGGGAAAGCTACACCTGTAATTCAGTTAACTGTCTGAAGATTGAACAGCCAGTGCAGATGAACACAGCAATGTTATTTCTCTAAAAACCTTTGAGAAAAAAGAGTTCAGGAGCCACTTTTTTTCTGCATATATTTTTTAAAGCTCAGAAATAATTCTGACTCATGCCTGTTTGTTACATGTAAACCTTTGTGCCATAAGCACATCAAATTGCTCATTTTTCATACCTATACAGAAAACTGACTTTCAACCGTTAATTCAATCCATGTGATAAGAGAAGGAAATATGCAAATATTAATAAATGAAGAAAGCTTTAACATTTTATGGTGGGGTAACAAGAAGCATTACCTTTCTTAATGAATTTACATAAAATGCCTAAGTTTTAAGGTTTCCTATAACAACTTTTTCAAAGCATTCAAATGCTTCACATTTAACAAAAAATAGATCATTTACAATCATTTGGAAACATTTAATATCTTTTCCTAGATGAAAAATGTCATTATTGTACATACTTACAAAAATCTGTATACAAAAATATAAATCATTTACATTATGAAATCTCACACTTCACATGCTTTACAGGAGGACCCCAAAATTAAGCAACATTGTATTACAGAAAACACTTTGTTGCTGAAATGCTTTCATCGGAGCTCCTGAACACATAATATATTTATACAAAGCACTTACATTCCTGATTTTTTAAAATACTTTAAAAAAGATATTCTGTGGCAATGTCATAAAAAGGAAATAACTATGACAACTTCCCTGCCAATTTAAGAGCAACTCCACTGGAGCTTAAGCAAAGCAGTTAAAATCCTTACTACATTATGAAGAAAATAATTTAATTCTGCATTTTTTTTTCTTCCCAGAATGAATGCTCTCAAACATGTAAACTGTTCAAGAGCCTCAACATATTTTTACAAGAGTTCTACCAAAATAACAGATAAATGAAGCATTTGCATTATTCATCTATCTGGATAGTCTCTTAATTTTTTGACTTCTTAACCTCTAGTACAAAATTTTGTTTTCATAAATTACATGCATACTTTTTACAATATATGGCAATGTAATGCAAGCAGCCAAATGCATATGTGTATCCTACATCTAGATTAAATTTCAAAAGTCAGAAAGAAAGCATTAAAATCTGAAGTTAAAGTGACCATAATTAATCTGATTTTGTCACTGCAGTTGCTTTTGTGTTTGTTGCTGTAGAATCCTGATTTGGATTAGTCGCCGACTGTGCCAATTTCTTCTCTTTTGGAGCAACAGGTGCCAGTGCAGGCATCACTTTAGTACTTTGTCCTTCAGAATGTAATGAGTGATTAGCAGTTTTTAACCCCAGTGGTGCCAATTTGGGCATAGGCCTCCATGACATGTCAGATGTGCCAGCTTCTAAATTAGTTTTCATATGAAGAACGGGAGGTGAAACACTTCTTGTCTTTGCTGAGGATTCCTCGTTTTTTCCACTTCTGTTCATTTTTAACAGGTTGGAATTTCTGTCCTTTACTTCGGAGCCTAGCATGATTTTTAAAGCATCAGGTTCTGATGAAACGTCTCCGGCATTTCTATTACCAACAGGAAAATCATCATCATCCAAGTGAAGTAAGAGAGGAGTTATGGAATCACCATTGTCTTGAATCATAGAAAGATCCTTAAAATTCCCACCCATTGTACTAAATTGGAAGGCAGAGCTACTTGCTGAATTTGATTCCTGCCGATTTTCCGTATCTGCTAGAGAAAAGCTAGAACTCAGGGGGTTGGAAAGTTCTGGTATGTCTGAAGCATCATCACTCAGTTGCTGATTGAGGAATGCAATTTCATTCAGAAGTGAGGTCAGAGTTTCATCTGTATCATCATTTTCCTCTATATCTATTGAACTCCTTGTATCCACTGTTGGTTCGTGTATTACAGAAGCAACTTGCTGCAGTTCCATTTCTGACCCAGAGTCCTTGGCTTTGTTAATCTGTAGTTTTTGGAATGAGGGATTCTTTGATTTTTGATAATCTCCTCCTCCTCCATCTACCTCTTTGGCCCATGTCTGGCTTACAGTTAATTCTTCAAAGCAGAGCTTTGTTTCTGGGAAGCCCTTTAAACTGGAGACATTTAGTATTTGTGGAAAACTGTATTTTTCCTGAAGCAGATCTTGTGTTGTTCCAATAATATTTCTCTCTTTTTCAGAACCTTCTTCGTTTTCTTTGCATTTATGATTGGATGTTTCCTGAGGTAAAACTTGCATGGAAAACTCAGATGCTCGGGAATCTGTACTTAGCATTGTATGAGGTCCTTTATTTGCATCCAGATTTAAATAAGTGTCTTCTTCAGTAGCTAGTGATGTCACATTCACGATTCTTGGCATCAAGAACGAATCTTCATTTTCTGCTAGAGCCAAAGAAAACAAAATCAATCAGATTACTGATTGAAGGATTCCAATATTATTCCAATCATTCTAGTCTGCCTCCAAACTAAAGTCACTAGCCTCTTCAACAGATTTCCCCTCCTCCGTACTGTCTCCCCCAAGCATGTATTGTGTGTGTGAGTGTGTGTGTAAGGGGGGGGGGAGAGGGAGAGAGATTCAGTTTCTATAAAACAAAATAAAAGTGGGTAAATTCCAAGTGGTGGGCTATCACAAAGATACAAATCTTGAGTACTGGTGCCCATTTGGTTTACCAGCAATAAGAGCAATATTTCCCATGAGATTAGTGACTGATGGTTTCCCTGCCATTGAGGGCTAGCAAGTCCAACTAAAGGAACAGATAGAAACATTCTACAAGCCCTCCAAAGTTATGTGAATCAACTAATTCAAAGCACCCATCAGAGTGCTATTATGACCCACAGAATGCATGTAATAAAGGGCTGATGCAGAGAAGCAGTGGTGGTTTTCTTCTGCCTTGCTCATTCAAATGCTATGAGTTCAAATTTGTGAGGTTGTTGGTAATCATGGACTATCTGGCCTAAGAGGAATAATTAGAAGAATAGAAGTGTATTCCAGAGTTCCAGAGAATAAAGCCCATGAAGTAATAAAAAAAAAAATCATAGTGTATCAAAAGTCCAGAGAAAATGACAAAGTTGGTCTCCAAACTTGGAATGCCCATGTGATGAAATGCCAAACAAGCACTGGGAAAACAGAAGAGGGAAAAGGACTGTTGCAAAAGAGGGACCTCAGTCCAGAGGAAGGGAGAAGCATGAAATTCACAGCTACTCCATCTTAATCATGGTAGGTATAGGTCAGGGGTAGGCACCCTCAGCTCTTTTATGACTATGCTGACTCAGGAATTCTGGGAGTTGAAGTCCATGAGTCATAAAAGAGCCGAAGTTGCCTACCCCGGTATAGGTTGAACATGATAATTGCTTTGACAGCCTTTCAATTATCCTATTAGCAAAAAAAAAAAAAAAAAAGATTTTTTTTCCTGAGTTTGGTAGTCTCCCAGAAGAATAAAAATTATAGAGACAGGTGTACACATTCATTTTGGAATGAAAGAGATCTTTGCCATCCTTAGTCCAAACCTGACTCTTGAACTGCAGTTGTCCATTGCAGCACAGTCTGTCATAGTTAGCAGCAGAAGAGCTAGCAGCTAGAGACAGTTTCACAACATGGACTGCCTCAGCATGGAAAAGTAATGATTTCTCACTCAATGTCAGAAAAATAAATCAAGAAGGAGGAAGCTTTTGCCCAAAGAAAACACTGATATTTTGCTAAGCAAGTTTGAAAATGCCTGCTTCAAAGGGAAAGAGTAACGTTTTAGTTGTCATTCTTTTCTTACCAGAAGAGATTGAGACTGATCTGAAAGTGGATTTAAAAATAACAGGCTACAAGAATGATACAGGAAAAGATTCTACACTGGACATACAACTCCACCCTCCCTCCACAAAAACAAAACAAAATAAAAACTAGCTAATGTCTTAAGAGATATGGCGAGTTGGGTAATTTTCCCATGTTAGTTTTACAAAAGAGGCTTCTTAAAACTTTGAAGAATTCTGTGAGATGGACAAAAAAAAAAACACAAAAAGAAATCAAATTCTAGGATAGTATTGATGGGACTAAAGATCAAGATTGTTAAAAGAACAAGGAAGAAATATAAAGTTGGTTTATTTGATTAAGGTTAAATAGATCTGTTGTTATCTTTGGTAACCCTTAATGGAATTGTGTTGATCAGGATTGAAATCACAAAGCTTTAAGGATGTATTTATAGGTAAGAGTTAGAATATGGAAAGAGAACATCTGTTGTATTTTAAGATGTAATAAATTCTAAAATTGTTTATACTTATACGAAGGAGGAAATCATCCCTTTATATTTTTATTTTATTTTATTTTGACATATCCTTATTTTTTGTCTTTTCTTTTTTTCTTTCTATTTTTTTATCTCTACATCTTCTATTTTTTATGAGGACTACCTATAGATGAAACAAGTGATACAAAATTTCCACTTTGTGGACATGGACAATTTAATAAATTTCATGTCAGAAGCAAGGCTAGGTTCAACTTAATTTTTTAAGTTGTTTTCTCATTTTACCTGACTGCTCTTTTTCATCACTGCTCTCAGCTTCTGATTTTATTTCGGCTTGTAGAAGTGTAGAAGGCAGGGCAGTAACCTGTCTTGGCACCAATGAATTCCTGAATGCCAGAACCTGGCCATTTGTAGTCACTAAAAGGTTGGCATTGGTTAATGTTATAGAAGGAGGTAGGTCTCCTGTAAGAAAGCCATGATAAAGAAATGCTAGGATAAGTACACAAATAACAAAGAATTCTATTTATCTTGGCATTCCCTTTATGTTTATTCCCATAAACTACTACTGTTTTCCTATAACAACACATTTCAGAGCATACTTAAAATTTTAAACATCAAAAGCAAAAAAAAAAAATTAAAGAAAACTTTAAAGCAACTTTGCAGTACCACTATAGTATTTCATACACCAGAGTGGATGCTGTGTTTATTTATTATCTTTCTATGCTGATAAATAAATTACAGGTAGTCCTGTAATTGGGACTGGAATTACTATTGCTAAGTGGCAGTCATAAAGTGTGATGTCCCTTGACCATGCTATCTAGTGACGACAGTTCCAGTTGCCATCGATAAGTGAGGAGTTCACAGGACTGCAATTTCTAATTTCCTGCTGGTTTCCCGTTGACTTTGCCTGTTGGGCAACAAATGTCAGAAATCACGCTCCTGTGACCATGGAGATGCTGAGAAATGCCATTGCAAGTTTGAACAGTTACTGAACAAGCAGTCATTAAGAAGGACCACCTCTGTATCTTATTTCTTTTTCAATACCAAGGTTGTAATTGTGTAACACAGCAATGCATTTTAGACATGAGATGCACTATGTTCAAAAATATCTTATGGTGAGAAACTTAATTTTGTTTAGATCAATTATTCCTGTGTTTCTTTAGCTTACCTGTGACATGGTTTCCTTTCCTGGAAAGTATCAATGGTTTTGTACGTTGGTTGGATAAGACCACCGGCTTCACCTCTCCAAGGACAGAAGTGGGATCGTTTTCCACTGAAGGACTAGCAGTCTCTGTGGTTTCAATGATCTTCGCAGGATCTTTTTGTTCACTCTGCTTCCCTTTTAGAACCGCGACTGCTTTCTGTTTGGCATAAATGTATTCTAACTTCTTCAAAACTACTTCTTGTGTCTTTCCTAGAGGTGAAAGTAGTAAGTTTCTCTTTCATAATTAACATACTTACAAAAGTCTAAACTTGCAAGGGAAATTATATGCTAGCCCAAATGCAATTGTTTTTAATCTTTCTTTCTCCATCATAAACATTCTTGGGGTCTCGGTGGAGTAAATTACGATTACTTATTAGATTTTATTTTTAATCCTGCCTTTCTATATATAATTGAAGGGTGTGAACATACCTACTATTCCTGTCTCCTATTTTCCCCACAACAACAACCCTATGAGGTTGTTGACCTGGACTGAGAGAGAGTAACTGGCCCAAGGACATCCAGCTGACTTTTATATCTAAGGCAGACTCAGAACTCAGGGTCTCCCGGTTTCTAACATCTTAACCAATATATCAAACTGGCCCTCAGTTACATAATATTACTGCATTATACAGGTAATCCTCAGCTTACAACCATTTAGTGGTTATGAACATTTAGTGATCATTACAAACGTTCAGTGATCCTTCAAAGTTACAACACTGAAAAAGGGACAAGACTATTTTTCACACTTACGACTGTTGTAGCATCCCCACGGTCACATGATCAAAATTTAGAAGCTTCGCAACTGGCATGTATTTATGACAGTTGCCGTGTTCCACAGTCATGTGATCACTTTTTGCGACCTTCTAATAAGCAAAACCAATGGGGAAGCCAGATTCACTTAACAACCATGTTATTAACTTAGTATCTGCAGTGATTCACTTAACAAGAATGGTGAGAAAGGTCATAAAATGGGGCCAAATTCAATTAACAACTGTATCGTGTTGTAACAGAATTTTTAGAGTCAATTGTGGTTGTACATTGAGGATTACCTGTATGGAAAAACCAGTTCATTGTGTTTTATGGTCGTAGCTTCAGTTCATAATTCCTTGAAGGTTTTCCCACCTTCCCCTCTGTAGCAGCTTCCAGCTTCTATTTTAGGACCATTCATATATTTGACAACTATACTTCAGTTGTAGTATGTCTCTCTGACATCTCACCTGAAAGTGCAGATACTTTACGAACCAAAGTATCCTGCGTGTGCAACAATAAGTTCTTTTGTCCTGTGAGTTTGTCTGCTTGATCGGTCAGACCCTGGATCTCTTCCAAGGCCTGAAAAACAAAGTATTTTTAAATTCCAGCAGAATATATCTGAACAGCAATGGCTTCTCATCTTCATCTCAGTAAATTATTTGAAAAAAAAAAAAATATTGAAAGGAATGAAAATTAAGCAAAATAGGCTCCAAGTCAAATGCTAGCACAAAAAAGGGGCAATTATGCAGGTTTTGTTTTAGCAAAAAATGCAACAAGGAAGCAACTGATCAGTTAAACTTGGCAAAATCTCCAATTTTCGTTCATATAACAGGATAATAGAGTTGGAAAGGACCTTGGAGCCCTTATAGTCCAACCCCTTGCTCAGGCAGGAAACCCTTTACCATTTTAGTCAAATAGTTGTCCAATCTCTTTTTAAAAGCCTCCAGTGTGGGAATACCCACAGCCTCCTGAGGCAAGTCGTTCCACGGATTAATTCGCTTAATTTCGCTGTCAGGAAATTTCTCCTTAGTTCTAGATTGCTTCTCTCCTTCACTAGTTTCCAACCATTGTTTCTTGTCTTGTCCTTAGGTGTTTTGAAGAATAGTTTGACCTCCTCTTCTTTGTGGCAGTCCCTTAAATATTGGAACACTACTATCATGTCACCCCTAATCCTTCTTTTCATTAAACTAGACATTAGGCACTTCAAGATATTTTCAAGGAAGTTTAAAAAAAAATTCAGAAAAAATCCAGATAACTAAAAAGTATTATTTAAAAAAAAATAACACTGGAATTAGAAAAAGGCATGGCATTGCTTAAGTTCCAATTTCCAATTAGCTTACTAAGCTGCTAATATCTAGTCAATCTAAACTGATCTCAAAATATAAAACAGAATTGAATCCTAGTTAGTACTTGGTTGGCAATCCAACAAAGAATACCAGTATTGCAAACTAGATTGGGAAATTTTAAAAAACATATTGGAAGAAGACAATGCACTGTTTCCATAAAAGTTAGAGATATGTCCATAATATCACCAGGAATAAGCCTATGTTGAAAATGGCTTGAAATAGACTATTATTTCACTTGAATTGGGCGGGCAATAAATTTAAGTAAATAAATAAGAAAGCAAGCTTGCATAGTACTAAATAAGTCTACTACTAATGTTAAACAAGATTTTTCATCTTTTTTATATTTAAAATCAATTCTGTCCAGTTTTTTTTTCTTCTTTGATATGGCAATACAAAACACAAAATACTAACTTGTTTTAAGATGAAGCATTTGGAAACCTTTGGAAAAGCCTGCAGTCCTAATGTTGCTTTCAATTTTTCAAAGAGTCCCCTCATTTCTTTTCTACGGCGACGTTCGTTTGCTGTGTGTGTTTGCCGATAGTTAGCAAAGGCCTTCTCTTCATTCTTTAGCTTTTTACTGGAAAACTCAGATTGCTAAGAAAAGACAAATCTGATCTTGTGAACAGTTTAAAATACAACACAATAAAACTGTGATACTTATAATTAAACAACACGTGGCACAAACGCACCTGCAGCCATCAGGCTTAAAGAATTCTTTCTGGATCATGAAAATTGGGGTTATCTTAAAAGCAGCAACTGACTGGAAATAAGACTTATTCCTGAGGATACTCATTGGGGGAGGAGAGCGGGAAGAGAGGTCAGGGCCTTAGGAGAATGCTTACTATTTATCTATAGTCCTTGTGAACTGAGCTGGGCCTGTGAACTGAGACTGCCAGAGTCTGTTCTGTAACAATCACCACTGTGAATCATTTCCTAAATTATCTCATAGCTTTCTATTATGTCAAAGCACATATAAGTAAACTTCGACTTATGTTCAGTTGCTTAGCGACCATACAAAATTACCATGGACTTTGCAAAAGAGATTTACAACCTTCCAAAAACCACACCCCATGTGGTCACATGACTGCATTCTGGGCACTCTGCAACCAGTCAACAACAACAACAACAACAACAATAATAATAATAATAATAATGTTGGAAGGGACCTTGGAGGTCATCTAGTTCAACCTCCTCCTCAGGCAGTGATGGCGAACCTTTTAGAGACTGAGTGCCCAAAAACTGCCTCGCTCCTGCCCTGTCCCCATGTCTCCTGCCCGCAGGGCCACCCACCACCTCCACGGCCTGCCATAGCAGATCGCCCAGGTGGCCCAGCAGTGTCATGGTAGCCACGCCCTCTGTCTGCGCCCCGCAGCATTATCTGTATGCGATGGGGCACGAGGGTGGAGTTTTGTCCCCACTGCCCGGCTGCCATGTCCTTGGCTGCACTGCTTTGCACAGGCTGCGCCTGGGGCAACTCTCCTCCAGGGGGAGGCTGCTGGTGAGGAGGGAGCCACGGGGGGTGGCAGGGCTGGGGCGACGGCGTGCATGCCCACAGAGAGGGCTCTGAGTGCCGCCTCTGGCACCCGTGCCATAGGTTCACCACCACGGCCCTATACTATTTCAAACAAATGGCTGTCCAATCTCTTCTTTAAAACTTCCAGTGTTGGAGCATTCACCACTTCTGGAGGTAGGTTGTTCCACTGGTTAATTGTTCTAACTGTCAGGAAGTTTCTCCTTAGTTCTAGGTTGCCATATTTATGACTGTTGTGGAATTACATGATCATGTGACCACAATTTATGTTTTTGCCAGATTTACTTATGGTTTTTGGCTAAAACTGCTCCATAGCAAACAATGGGTCCACTTAACAACTGCAGTGTTTGCTTAATGACCCACCACAAAAAGGGTTTTATAATCTAGCAATCACATGCTGACCATGTGTGACTTACAACTGAAATTCCAGGCTCAGTTACAGTCATAAATCAAGGACTACTTTTATTCAGCCTTCCCTTATAAATTTAGGAAGAAAAAATTGATGATGTTATATTCCCACATGATTATCAGCAGAAAAATATACACAGATAATGACAAGATATCATGGAAAGTATCTTAACTGCTAGTTTCAAGTTTATTCTACTTTAGAAATAGCTAAGAATAAATTAGTTAATCTTTACACCGAGAATATTCTTTTCTATTAAACCCAGAAAAATGAACATGACTCTACCTTATGTCGCTTGGTAGTCATCTTATTAGAATGGTTACGAACCAAGTGCCTGATAGAGAAAATAAACCAGTTTAGTTCCTGGGTTTATATTCTGGCATTACCTGAAGCTAAATGAAGAATTAAAAATACAAAACATAACTATAGAAAATAAACCTTGAAAATATAGTAAACCCAATCAGTTTAAAAATGCCAAAAGTAATTTATTCCCTCACAAAAATATGCTTGAGGCAGAATGAAAGACTGGAGCAAAAGAGGAAAAGGAGCATGGCTGAGTTATTCTATGCTGCAGTTATATTTTTCAGGGTTAGCTTTAAAAGTTCTAAATTATTTGGAGGCAAAGTTCCTAAAATAAATTTTCTCACATATGAAACTATTTAGACCCTAATTTTAAAAGACCTTCCCTAAATGCATTCCCCTAAAATAATTCAGTTAAGCAGACACTCTCAGTTTGATATCCTGTCAATGGACGGTCTTTCATAAGAAGTATTTCCTTTTACCATATTATTGTTTCATCTTCAGGGGAAAAACATCCTGTATTTTAAGATTTAAATCCAACTTTGAAGCTCTCAAGATTTTTAAATAGTTTACATTATGTTTCCTGCACTTAGAGTTGCATTTTGTTTATTTTTATTCTTTTTAATGTTACTTGCAGAAATGATATTTTTGGTTGCATGTGGAAATTAAATATAAATTTTACTCCATGCATTAAATAAGCTTCAAGCCTTCCTTTTAAACTGAAATGTATCTTTAAAACAACATGGAAGATTTTTTCCCCTACTATTAATGCTCATTCAGATAAGTAAAACTGTATTTAGACAAAGAATTACACAACAAAAGCCTGAGAATTTGCAAATATGAAATTACAAATGAAATAGTTCATGTTTTTAAAGGGATACACTTACAACTGTTTGGACCTCAAACTATGAGCAGCCGTAGCCTTTAGGCGAGCAAGATGAACTTTTTCTGAAAATTCCTCCACCGTCTCAATATCCACATTCTCCTCAACTTCACTGAATTCACTTCCATTCTGTGACAAAGTAATGAAACACGGTAAATTCTATCAAGAGGTTCCAGTCATGTAAACTATTTAATAACAATTAGTATTAAGAATCTACACTTTAAATAATTACCACAATTCTCAACAATCTCTAATGTATATGAACAGTTATGGCTATATGTCATTTTAAAAAAATAGCAATAACTATGCTATCAAAAGTCAAGATTTGAATAACTGAAGATCTAACAAACAAAGAGTCATTCATAGTGCCAACACAACTATCATAGGATTTACAATGCTGTATTTTAGTAATAGACAGTCTATCAGAGTACTGATGGAATAATCATAGCCAAGAGATTACAATGTTGAAAAAACAATTTTGAAGAAAGAAAAGTGAATAATGGATGTAGACTAATGAAGTTCAAATACTTAAGCTAATTAGAAACAGTAAGTCAGTGAAACAGATAGTTTTATATTGATTTCTTTTTATTGCTTTATGTTAGAATATAAAATATGCTAAAGTACCAATAAAAGCAATTAAAAATATAATAAAAGCTTTAATTCATCCAGTTTTATGAGATGGAGGGGCTGAAGTTTGCTGCTTTATTTTAATTAGACAATAGGTATTTTATTGTATTTACTACAAGAGCCATGGTGGCACAGTGGTTAGAATGCAGTATTGCAGGCTAACTCTGCCCACAGTCTGGAGTTCGATCCTGACCGGCTCAAGGTTGACTCAGCCTTCCATCTTTCCAAGGTCGATAAAATGAGGAACCAGATCGTTGGGGGCAATATGCTGACTCTGTAAACCAGAAAGGGCTGTAAAGCACTATGGAGCAGTATATAAGTGCTATTGCTATATTACTGATTGCTTTGTATCTACTATTTTTAATGAAAGTTTAGCCTATCTGCCATCCAACTTTCTTTCCATTTCAGGCATAGGACCTTTCCTTTATTTTCTTTATGTTAACACTGAAATCTTTTGGGCCACTGGCTATCACCCCAGTTCACCTTTCAAAGTTAGGGTTTTTGTTTTTGGGGGGAGGGGCAGCCCTCAGGTTGGCTCTTGAGGCTGGAGAACTACGAGTTATGAAAAGACTCTTTGTATTTCATATGGACATGATAATTGTTCATTTGTATACTTTATTCCATAGTCAGCTTCGCAGTCATTAGATATCTATTAGTGGATTAGAGAAATCACAAATGAAGAACTGATTACTCGCATCCATTTGCAGTTGTGGACACTTGTGAATTTTTGCAGATAAGCTCTTCGCTCATTTGATCTCTATTCCTTCAGATCTTGTGTTCTTTAGAAATGTAATGTGAGAGCTGCACCTTGATACATGGTATGTATAATGTGGGATTCCTAACAAAGATTTATCTCTTTTAAATCAGGATGTAGAAAAAGGTTAAAAATGAAATTGCATTTTTGTATGGATATCTTTCAAATGGTCCTAGTATGAATTATGTTATATGCAACATATTTTGCTTCTCTAGAGACTATTCAATGCCTAACTGTTGATAGATTTCTAGTAAAAACCAATTAGAATGATTGAACAATCAACAGTCTGCCCATCCCTGCTATGAAAAACTCTTAGAACATTAAGGAAGCCTTTCACATTTAGCTACCTGTTTGATGGGCAGGCTGCATTATGGAATATAAAAGACCATTCATTCTTTGGTAGATATTTCTCTTATTACCTGTCTCTATTACTTTGGCCTCACCTACTGGCAATCATGAACAGGTCTCCAAAAGGCTCCTCCTTGCTTGCTAGAGAAAGTATTTCAGGAAAGCAACTGCTCCAAGAGCTGTCATGATGGTGGAAAGCACTTGAGGCAAAAGCTAAACAACCGTTCCAAAGATCCTTCAAAGCAGTGGTGGGATTCAAATACCTTAACATCTGGTTCTCTGCGTGGATGCAGGCCTGGGCCTCCGAGGCCTAGAATGGACTTCCGGAGGTGACATCAATGCACTTCCTGTGGGCTGTTCTAGGCCTGGGAGGCCTCTTCCAGATCCAGAATGCACTTCCGGAAGTGACATCAATGCACTCCTGGCAGGCCGTTCTAGGCCTGGGAGACCTCCTCCAGACCTCTGAGGCCTAGAACGGACTTCCAGAAGCAGCATGGGTTCAGCCGGTTCTCCGAACTCAACAAAATTTAGCTACCGGTTCTACCGAACCGGTGTGAACTGGCTGAATCCCACCACTGCTTCAAAGACATGAGAGAAAGGGTTTGAATCTTGCCAATTCAAGATAGCATTCAAGTAGTAGCTTTAGGCATTTCAGCAAGACATGTATGCACCAGGGTGGTGGTGGTGGAATTAACAATAACTTTGAGAAAGATATTAAGGTTGACTGCATTTCCATCCCATCCATACATAATCAGCTATTTGTGAAAAAGACATACTGATCTCCAGGACAGAGAATTTTATTATGTACTAAGCTTTGGTTAGCCACTGCTAACATTATCAAAGGATAAGCTGACATAGGAAAGACATTGCTTTTTATAGCCCTTTAAATGTCGGTAATTTGGTCATCAAGAGCGTAATTGGCCCGTCAATTCACCGCCCGCATGTGATTGGCTGTATCAACCGCGATTCAGCTGGGTTAGCCGATGTCTGCCTGGGTCCCATTGCTCTGCTTCCTGCCGCCCGCTTTATGGGCTGAATACGCTTGTCAGTTATCTATTTTTGGATGCTTACATTTTAATTTGAAGCTGATTGTAATTATATCAACAAAACTAAACTACAATGATCTTATTAGAAAGGCAATGGAAATACTGTAGTATCTGAAACCAAATCTTCTGCTTTTAACAGCAATATAACCTTTTCAAATATCAAACATCATTTTGATTGAAGCTGTTAATTAGATAGTTATCAGATTAGTTTTATACTTACCAATATTTCAACATTTACTGTATCCTCACTTTGATATCCAAATGCTTCATCAACCATCTCATTGGCAGATTCTTCTGTTTTTTCATCTTTTTCTGTATCATCCCGGGTAATATCAATAAGAGGCGAGGATTTTTTTCTGTGACACTTGGTTTTCCATGTATTTTGTTTTGTGGATTTTGTTAATTTATCTGCAAGTTCATCAACATCCACACTGATTTTATTTTGTACAGCTAAGGATGGTCCGGATATTTTGCTGCAAGTTTTACTAGTCTTGTGCTCATCTTTCTTATTTTGATTATGTTCCTGTATATCTTTAATACTTTTTTCATAGCTAGAATAGTTACAGCTACTTTGAAAACCAGTACTTTTTTCATATAAATCTTCATGAGCACTATCCAGGTATTCATTTTCTAAGGTATTATTTTTATTTTTGCCAGCATTGATCTTAGCCTTCCCACTTACTTTTTCTTTGTCTTTTTCTTTAGCCACAAAGTCACATTTTTCCTTCATGTTCTGTCTTGGCAATTTTGGATCTTCATTTTTCCATGGATCTAGAGAAGGTTTAGTCTTTGTTTGCAGCTTTTCGGTATTATTTAGAGGAGGGTTGTGCTGAGCTGGTTTCCTAGGTTTCCACCAGGTCTGTTCAACAATCAATTGTGCTTTTGTATCTAATTGTTTTTGTTCATTTTTTGATTCAGTAATTGGATTTTGCATTGATTCTTCTTGTAATGTATTATGGGCAAGAACTTCAATTTCATTACATTTTTCATTAGAATATGAAACTTTATCTAGGGGGTCTTCAACGTCTTTGTCTTGATTTTTTTTCTTAATTTCATCTTCTTCACATTTCTGCTTCTCACTGGTATAGGAGTGGTCTGATTGTATATTAGCCTGTAACATGAGAGCAAAACTGGGTAACTTCTTCAACATTTCAGCATCCTTTTCAATTATTTCTGATATATTTCTGTTACATGTTATTTCTTCAGAATGGAAGTCTGGATTATGCAATAGTAGTTCATTTTCTTTTAATTTACTAATTTCTGTTGTTTGTGAACTTATTGAATCTTCCTCTAACTTATTGGCACTGACCTCATTTTTCTTATGTGAAATTTTAATCTCAAGAGATGCAACTTTCTTTGCAATGGAACCTGAGTCATTCTTCTGCCCTGGAAACTGAAGCAAAGCAAAACTGCCTGACTGTAGAGATATTAGATTATTTATATTGCTTGGTAGCCCACTGGCGTTACATCTTATTTTAGACTGACAACCTGTTTGATCGGAATTGTTTATTCCAGGAGAAATCCTCAGAGTCAAAGTACCAACTGGGGACACCAAACCTGAAGAATTAACAGGTGTTGCTTGAGTTACTGAAGCAGAATGCACAGCTGTAGTTCTCATGTCCTGTAATGTCCAATTTGTGACAGGGGATTCCGAAGCAGCAGAAGTGCCCTCAGTGATAGAAGACGTAAGTATACTAGAAGGAGGCACAGGCAAGAGAGAATTAGTACCATTAGGTGACACTGTGAAAACCGAAGGGGATTTATCGGTAGGGGAAACAGGCGTAGTACAGGATAGAGATGATGAAATTGCAACTGTAGAAGGTACAAGTGTAGTAGAAGCGGTTGTGGGCAACAAAGGAACGTCAGTTATAGAGGTCATGGACAAAAGAGAAGATGTTTCCGTAGAGGGGGATAAAGATAAAGCATTAGAGGACATGGAGAGCATTAAAGAGGACTCAGTGGTAGGAGTTTGTGATAATATTGCAGTGGTTGTGTTTGATGTCCCAGACAAAACAGAAGCGTTCTCTGCAGTTGAGAATCCAGACAAAACTGAAGGAGATGTAGACAGAATTGAAGTTGTAGTAGTGGAAGTCACCGATGGAACAGCAGAAGCCTGACATGCAGATGTTTCAGGAAGCTTAGAAGGTCCAGGAAGTCGGATTCCTACCACAGAGCCTGTAACAAAGAAATTTAAAAAAAATATTATTTCTTGCTAAACACTTATTCCATCTTCCAAAATAAGCATTATTTTTTAATGCAATTATCAAATCCAAGGCAGAAATAAACAAATCCTAATCAGATATCTTCTCACAACTTTTTTGGGTGGCCATTTGTACATTCACCCAAACAGATGTTGTTCTTGCCTAGATTACTGTTTGGAATGGTCCTTCCTGAGCTGCTTTTTGCTGAAAGTGAAGGCAATCTCACTGAGTTTTCTCAATGTAGGCTTTTATTTCAATTCCTTAAACCAGAGATTCTCAAACTTTCTCAGTTCATGATACCCTTAGTGTCTCAGTAATTTTTTCATGGTATCCCTAGGCCAAAACTGTGAACTTATTTTATTTTTTATTTATTTTATGGATGTTTTATTGTTTTAATTTTTTTAATTGTTTTTTTTTTAATTTTAGAACTATATGATGCCCAGTCACACAGTTGAGTTGGGAGACTGTAAAAATTGAATAAATAAAATAAACTACCTTGAGTTAGTAATTTGGGAATCTTTGACAGATTTCCAGTATTGTTGTATTTCCCTTAAAAAGTCTGAAATACTGCATGGCGCCCTTGTCCAGGTAGGAAACTATTGCCTTAAATTATAGCAAATATCCTTAATAGTAGGCAAAAGTACTGAGAGGGGATAAAATTCATTTCAAACAAAAGTGGACAAAACTGCCTAGTTACAAAACATACCTCTGAAGAACTTGCATTCAACCTATAGTGCTACAAAAACATAGATAACTACATTAGAGACTTTTAAACAGTTATATTTTTGTGACTTTCGGCAGTTAACAGAAATAGAAGCATTCATAATACAACAACTTTGACCCAAATAATGAAAGCATTAAAAACATAATTAAAATCCCTGTAATAATTAATACTTTGATAGTTTTGTTAAGTAATTAATATAAATTAAAACTGTCCTTCTGAAAAAAATACAGCAGACACAGCTCAAATAGAAGAACCACCAACTTAAGTCTGGCTAAGGTAAGTAAGCAAATATATTCATGGAGAAAATGGTTTTAAAAGAAAGAAAAAAAATGTGGTTTGGCATTTTTTTGAATAACTCCATATATGCAAGCTAGAAAGCCAATGTATAGAAGTGTCTAAAGGAGTGGAAGAAAGACCATATTCTGTTAATGGGAAGTAATGGTACAATTCAAGGGGGAAAAGAGACGTTCAACTGCAAGGCCATATATTGGAAATAGTTTTGGGGGTGGCATGGGAGAAAACAACCTTCTAGATGTTAATGACTCAATTAGTAGAATATTCTTCTGGAGATGATATGTCCATCACTTACTCTGATAACTTTAAAATTGTTCACAGCTATTACTGAATTCTTCCAGGATGATTTTGATTACTTAACCTGCCAAAATATCATTTCAAATCACATGACCTCTGGACATTGTACCGATACAAAAAACAAACATCAACTTTCTTATTGTTTCTATGTTAACTTGTTAATATTATTACTTTTGCACTAATACAACTTACATTAAAGGAATGTATTTACCTTCTAGTAACAAATTATTTAAGTGCTGAATGGAGAAAATATTCCCAGAAAGTCAGGAGTAAATTAATCAAAACTAAATTTTCCAATCTAGATAGTAGGCATAATCCAGCAAATCCTGAGGAAAATCAAATTTGCGAACACAGCAGGAACAATATGTTTCCTTTTAGGTGAATTTTTAAAAAAGGAAGGGGAAAGCTCTATTTTGCCGTAGGGTTGTTTGGTTCTTTTTGCCTCCCATTTCAATTGCTTTCCAATTTGACTCCCTGTTAAGAGCTGTTCACTAATCTAGAAAAGAGTTGATACAACACTAAGAATTGTGGGGAAACGATTTAGGAATTGAAACTGAAGAACTCCAGGAAGGCCAACCCAACCACTTTCCTATACATACCCGCACACAAGTGCTTATCCATTAGAATGTATTTTAGTATACTAAAACTAGATACATAATTATAGCAGGATCCGCTATTTCAGAATTACTTACACAATCTCATAAAATAGCAAAATATTTGCTGTATTCTATACCTGGATTACGGACCATTATGGGCTGTAAACTGGACTGTGCTCCTGAAGTTTGAAGTTGATGCAAGGGAACAAGTTGGATAATCTGACCATTGGGGTGTCGGTAGAGATTAACAGCACCTGGATGTCTCAAAGGTTGCAAAACTACTCTTTTGCCAGAGGCAACTTGCATATTTTGTGAAGGTCGCAAAGTAGAACAACACTGCTGTACGGGAATCAAAATAAATCGTGTTCCCATACGATACTCTGCTCCACGAGGCAAACCTGGAGGACTTGTAGCACCTGTATTATTGTGAAAAAACATTCTTCTTAGCAAATTCTTACTACACAAGTAAGATTTACAGACTATTATACAAAGTTGAGATGCAAATTTTTCCTGTAATACTGTAGTGCTTCCCAAAATAGATCAAGAAAACTTTTAAATCCTTTTTTGCATTTCAGGGGATTTAAAGTGACAAGAAAAATGCCATGTCTTTATTCCCTCTCCTGATGAAGAAAGAATCTATAGATGGAAGAAGAGAACTCATTATTACCAAACCCAAAGTCTATAAAGGTATATAATAGTACAGTTATAGTAATAACATTAAAAACCAGGCACTGTTGTTACAAAAAAGAAAGTGCATTTCATTGGTATGGCAATATCTAGAAATAACATAATTGATGAGAAAATATCAAAATATTGTGGTTTTCAAACTGAGATTGAAACATTATAGAGGGGAAAAATAATTTTTTCATAACCATTATAATTAGTGAAATACTTAAAGGAATCACCAAGTACTCCACCATTTTAAACTATTTTTGCAGACTAGCTGTTTGGAACAGTATACATGTTATGACAATATATCCATGTTTCCTTAGCTAGGAACTGATATTAATAACAATAAAAAGAACAAAAAATAGAGCTTTTGTGTCTAATTGTGTTTAAAGCCATTGAACTGGAAATTCAAGTCCTGCCTTGGAGAAAAAAACAGCTAAGTGATATTGCACCAGCCACTCTCCACTCTAGGAAGAAGGCAATGTCAAATGTTCCTAAACATTTCCCCCCCCCCCAAAAAATGCAGACTTCTCCATGTAGTTGTTGTTACAACTGAAGAGTGACTTGAACGCAGGTGCATGCACAAACACGCATATTTCCTGCTATCTTTTGGAACACAGACTTCACTATGCCACACTAATGTGGTCCTGAAACTGAGTGAAATTGTACGCTCCTCAAATAGACAGTGAAATTGTAAGAATTCTCAGCAGAAAGGAGGGAAATGAGATTTTTTTTTACAGTGAGGGAAAAAAAATATTTGATCCCCTGCTGATTTTGTATGTTTGCCCACTGACAAAAAAATGATCAGTCTATAATTTTAATGGTAGGTTTATTTTAATAGTGAGAGACAGAATAACAACAAAAAAATCCAGAAAAACGCATTTCAAAAAAATTATAAATTGATTTGCATTTTAATGAGTGAAATAAGTATTTGACCCCTTCACAAAACATGACTTAGTACTTGGTGGCAAAACCCTTGCTGGAAATCACAGAGGTCAGACTTTTCTTGTAGCTGGCCACCAGTTTGCACACATCTCAGGAAGGATTTTGTCCCACTCCTCTTTGCAGATCCTCTCCAAGTCATTAAAGTTTCAAGGCTGATATTTGGCAGCTCAAACCGTCAGCTCCCTCCACAGATTTTCTATGGTATTCAGGTCTGGAGACTGGCTAGGCCACTCCAGGACCTTAATGTGCTTCTTCTTGAGCCACTCCTTTGTTACCTTGGCTGCGTGTTTTGGGTCATTGCCATGCTGGAATACCCATCCACGATCCATTTTCAATGCCCTGGCTGAGGGAAAGAAGTTCTCACCCAAGATTTGATGGTACGTGGCTCCGTCCATTGTCCATTTGATGCAGTGAAGTTGTCCTGTCCTCTTAGCAGAAAAACACCCTAAAAGCATATTTCCACCCCCATGTTTGACGGTGGGGATGGTATTAGAATAGAATAGAGCTGGAAGGGACCTTGGAGGCCTTCTAGTCCAGCCCACTGCTCAAGCAGGAGAACCTATACCATCTCAGACAAGTGACTGTCCAGTCTCTTTTTAAAAACTTCCAGTGATGGAGCACCCATGATTTCTGAAGACAAGCTGTTCCAGTGGTTAATTGTTTTCATTGTTAGGAAGTTTCTCCTTAATTCCAGGTTGCTTCTCTCCTTGATCAGTTTCCAACCAGTGTTTTTTGTCCTATCCTCTAGTGCTTTGGAGAATAATTTGACCCCCCTCTTCTTTGTGGCAGAGATCAACCCCGACTGCTCTTTAGAAGGCCAGATCCTGAAGTTGAAACTCAAGTACTTTGGCCACCTAATGAGAAGGAAGGATTCACTGGAGAAGAGCCTAATGCTGGGAAAGATTGAGGGCAATAGAAGAAGGGGACGACAGAGAATGAGATGGCTGGATGGAGTCACTGAAGCAGTAGGTGTGAATTTAAATGGACTCCAGAAGATGGTAGAGGACAGGAAGACCTGGAGGAACGTTGTCCACGGGGTCGCGATGGGTCGGACACGACTTCGCAATTAACAACAACTTCTTTGTGGCAGCCTCTCAAATACTGGAATACTGCTATCATGTCACCCCTATTTCTTCTTTTCTTTAGACTAACCCAGAGGTAAGCAACCTTGGCTCTTTTATGACTCATGGACTTCAACTCCCAGAATTCCTGAGCCAGCATGGACTAGCAAACCTAAGTCCTGCAGCCATTCTTCATATGTTTTAGTCTCCAGGCCTTTGATCATTTTAGTTGCTCTTCTCTGACCTTTTTCCAAGGTTTCAGCATCTTTTCTGTAGTATGGTGACCAAAATTGGTTGCAGTATTCCAGGTGTGGTCTCACTAGGGTTTTATAAAGCGATACTAATACTTTGCGTGATCTTGATTCTATGCCTGTTTATACAACCCAGGATTGTTATTAGCTTTTTTGGCTGCTGCTGCACATTGCTGGCTCCTATTCAAGTGATTGTCCACTAGGACTCCAAGGTCCCTCTCACAGTTACCGTTTTTGAGTCAGGTCTTACCTAATTTGTACTTATATCTTTGATTTTTCCTGCCTAAAGGTAAAACTTTGCTTTTTTCCACATTAAAACTCATTTTGTTGGATAGGATCCATTGTTTCAGTTTGTCAAGATCTTTTTGAATCCTGAGCTTGTCTTCTGGGATGTTGGCTATTCCTGCCAATTTATTGTCATCTGCAAATCTGATGAATTCCCTTTCTAATCCCTCATCTGTCATTGATGAAGATATTGAAGAGTACTGAGCCTAAGATGGAGCCTTGCAATACCCCACTGCTTACTTCTCTTCATGTGGATGTAGTACCATTAAGGACTACTTGTTGAGTACGGTTTGTCAGCCAGCTACAAGTCTATCTGGTGGTAATGTTGTCTATTCCACCTTTTTCTAGCTTATCAAGCAGTAGATTAGGATCTACTTTGTCAAATGCCTTACTGAAATCTAAGTATACTATGTCTACAGTGTTTCGCTGGTTCTACTAATTTGGTCACTTTGTCAAAGAATGAAATAAGATTGGTTTGGCATGATCTGTTTTTAACAAATCTGGGCTGGCTACCAGTTACAACTTTGTTTGCTTCTAGTTGTTCGCAGATGTTTTTTTATTATCTTTTTTAGGATCTTCCCAGGTATTGATGTTAGACTATTGGTCTGTAGTTTCCTGGGTCTGTTTTTTTTCCCTTTCTTAAAGATGGGAATCACATCAGCCCTTTGCCAATCCTCAGGTACTTCCCCGGTGCGCCAGGATTTTTGAAAGATTCTTGAGGTCATAGGCAGCATTCCTCCTCCTCCAAACATGGCGAGTTGAGTTGATGCCAAAGAGCTCAATTTTGGTCTCATCTGAATGATTCACCCAGTTCTCCTCTGAATCATTCTGATATTCATTGGCAAACTTCAGATGGGCCTGTACATGGGCTTTCTTGAGCAAGGGGACCTTGCGGGCACTGCAGGATTTCAGTCCTTCATGGCGTAGTGTGTTACCAACTGTTTTCTTGGCGATTATGGTCCCAGCTGCCTTGAGATCATTGACAAGATCTTCCCGTGTAGTTCCTCACCATTCTCATGATCATTGCAGTCCACAAGGTGAGATCTTGCATGGAGCCCCAGACGGAGGGAGACTGACAGTTATTTGTATTTTTTCCATTTGTGAATAATCGCACCAACTGTTATTACCTTCTCACCAAGCTGCAATCTTGTCCCTGACATCCTTGGACAGCTCTTCGGTCTTAGCCATGATGGAGAGTTTGGAATCCGATTGATTGCTTCTGTTTCTGATTGATTACCCTTTAAGAGAATACTCCTAATTTCAGCTCGTTACCTGTAAAAAAGATACCTGGGAGCCAGAAATCTTGCTGATTGATCAAATACTTATTTCACTCATTAAAATGCAAATCAATTTATAACTTTTTTTGAAATGCGTTTTTCTGGATTTTTTTCTTGTTATTCTGTCTCCCACTGTTAAAGTAAACCTACCATTAAAATTATAGATTGATCATTTCTTTATCAGTGGGCAAATGTACAAAATCAGCAGGGGATCAAATCATTTTTCCCTCACTGTACATTATTCCCAATTAAAGGATGGAAATCTATTCTTCCAGCAACTGTGCTTGAGATCACTGGGAAGAAGATAAATATGATATGCACATATATTCCACACTTCTACATAGAAAATAATTTACACGAATATATTCTGGGAGCTTCCAAATTTTGTAGGTTTCTAATTCTATTTAATGCCAGCCATATAGCCCATGATCATTAAATAAAATTTTCTTCTTCTGATGGTTCCTATATTTTCTATTGCTCATAAATCTTTTTATATTAACCTGTTAGCAGGGCATTCACACTCAAGGAATGGAGCAATTGCATGCTGCACAAGATTCTGGAGAGTAATTCAAGTTTTCATACACATAAGGATAGTCTTTTTGACCTCATCATATGGAAAGAACAGAAAATGTTAGCTAACAATCACATACTGCAGGGAAGAATAAGGCCAAATAAGTCATTCAGTAGCAGTATCTGAAGAGCAACTGACAAATTTGAATTATAGTTAGCTATATGAATTAAGGATATTCATTTTATATATTTAATTATTTAATATTGCTTAATTTTTTATCAATTATTTTCAGCTTCCACTTGCACAATCCAATGCTTGCTTTTGTTTTTGATTACATCAGCAAATCAAGAAAGGGCCTAGCATGAATAACTTACTTTTATCTTGAGCAATTAAACTATCAGGAAAGCTTCATTATGATGTCAGTATGTCTGTATGTTTAGGAAACATTGCTCTATCTCAGCATTCCCCAACCTTTACAACTTTGCAGCTTGGGGGGGGGGGAAGGGGAACTGGCTTGTGCAAGTGGAGGGCTGGCGCATGGACTTTTGTGCGCCAGCCTGTCACTTGTGCAAGTCGAGTTGCGCATGTTTATGTCGGCCTGCTGCTTGCACAAATTGAGCTTTGTGCATGTGCGATGGCCTGTTATTTGCGCATGTCAAGCTACATGTGTGCGTGCCGGCCCGCTGCTTGTATAAGTCAAGTTGTGTGCATGGGCGCTGGCCCACTGCTTGAGCAACTTGAAGTGTGTGCATATGCACCAGCCCACAACTCATGCAAGCTGAGCTGTGGTGCGCTGGCCCACCACTCACGCGGCCCAGTTTCAAACAGGCCACAGCCCGGTAGTGGGCTGCGGCCTGGGGACATCTGCTCTATCTCATAGGTTGGTTGGCAATGCAAAGATTCAATCAAAACAAACATCTGTAGCAAGAAGTGATGATAAATGTTTTACCCTGCTTTTGATTTGACAAAGGGCTTTTGTGAATTCCTGAGAGTCCAGCAGGTTGAACACAGCTAACTGATGAAGTAGGGGAAGTCACAGTGATTGGGACTACAGCTGTGGATGTACAAACTGAAGTTGAAGACTGAGCAAAAGACATGCTTGTAACTGGCTTTGTTATTTCCATAGCATCCGTGGCTGGGGATATATTTATTTCTTGTTTTCCAACAGTATTTGTAAAAGCAATGTCAGAAGGATGGATAGCATTGTTATTCTGCAAAGGGCTGGAAATTGTTACAGGAAGTGGTGCCACAGAAGTTATAGCAGTTGTAGGAACAACTGTAGTTGAACCAGCAGAAAGTAAGATAGATTTGGTATTAGATTTCTGTGTTCCTGTCAAAGATTGAGATGACCCATTTTCAGAAGCCTTCTTCTGTAGACCTCCAACTGTATTTAGAGAGGTCAACTGATAGGTCATGCCATCTAATAATGGCCGAGGAGCTGAAAAAAAATAAAGATTTTCAAAATCAATATATTAATAATTTTTATTTTGTATTTTCTACATTTATGGCAGTGATCAAATTCTAGGTTGCATTTTCTTACTAAAGGAGGTCAAGTACAAAAGAAACTCTCTTATCCTGCCCATGTCTTAAAAGCTTCAGTTATGAATCCATGTAAGGTTAAGAGCTATAAAAATGGTTACATGCAAGCAAAAGCTAATTTTAAAAAGTTTAAAATATTTCAAAGTTGGCATTTCTTGGTTTCCTTACATGACGTTTAACAGTAATGACAAAGTTGGGGAGAAATCACAAAAAAAGAACAACTTTTTCTGAAAATATTAAACAATCTATTACAAAGTATTTTGGTTTTGAATAACACATAAAATATATTGTTAAAAAAAATGAAACCCAGTTTAACAGAGGCATGGGCAGAAGCAGCCTTTTAGTCCAATGACCCAAAGGTGCTTTTTCTAAAAGGCAACTGCACTTTCTTGGTTTTTGTTTTCTTTGAAAATGTTTCGCTTCTCATCCAAGAAGCTTCTTCAATTCTTCAGAAATTCTTCATCTCCACCCACCCTCAGGCCACGCATTGTCTTGGTTTTTAGCTTTTAGCTTTTCAATTTAAGTCTTGTCATTTTTCTCCAAGGATGGTGTAGCAATATATCAGAATCAATGGTGCTATGCAATATGATAGAACACAATGCTCATCCATTCATTTCTTTTACAATACAACAGGAAAAAAATCCAACCTACCTATATGTCTCTGTGCTGAGACACGAGCAGTGGAGATTGATGTAGTATCAGGAAAAAGTGAAATTGTAGATGTTTCTAATGTGGATATTTCAGTTGACAGTGATTCAGAAACAGCAAGTTTATTACTGGGTGCCTTCTTGAGGATCATTGTTGAGAGATCAGACATGGTTGACTGCAGTCTACCCGTGAGGTAAGCTGCTAGATGACTGGCTGGATGCAATGCTCCCATCTGTCCCAAAAGAAGTTTGGCTTGAGGAGAATTTTTACCATTAACCTGAAATTAAAGAGGCAAAATGCCACATCCACTATCACGGTATGGTTCAATAGAGTCTACAACATAGGTACTGATTTAATTTGTACTTAATGCAATAGAATAGTGGTTTTAAAAAAAAATAGCTGAAATCAATTCCAATGAACTTCCTTTTCTAAAATTTACTTCAATTCAAAAAGCAATTTGTAGCTACATGAATTACTGATGTTTGGGAACATATTCTTAACCCATCTTCTTTTATATTAAGTATTTTTCATGCTTCAGAGCCTGGTCATGTGTTTTATTTTTTAAAAAATTCCATGGGAAAAACTTCACTTAATAAAATATTAAACAATAAGTATCAAAACTCTTTCCCTATTCAGAAGTCTATGTATCAGAAGTAGGTAGTCCTCAACTTACAATTAGTCGCTTAGCAACTGTTTGAAGTCACAATGGAACTCCCTGGGAATACTTAGGACCCAGATTTGAGATTCCAGCAGTTCCCATTCGCACAATCACATGACTGCATTTTAGGCACTTGGCAGCTGAGCTGCATTTACAGCCCTTTGTAGTGTTCCATGGTCACGTAACTGCCTTTTATGACAATTTTGCCAAAAACTGGCATCTGCTTCCAATTTTTGGCAAAACCATGCTAGTAGTGAGCCACCGGTTCCCTTAACAATCACTGTGTTCACTTAATAAACAAAGCAAAAAAAGGTAATAAAATTGGGTCAGTCATGTAAGTGACCCGATTTATGACCATCACAACTGCGATAGGCAGCTCCATTACATTCATAACTCGAAGACTACCTATACTTGGATAAATTTTCTTCTGATTGATAAATGAAGAATTTCTAAGCTGATTGTTTACCCTTCCTGTTAGCTCAAGAAGCACGAATAAACTTACAGTTTTTGACTTGAGTGTTTAACACACTGCCTTCTACTTCAGTAACATGGCCAAAGTTAGGGCAAAAGAGATTAAAGTCAGCAGTCAACATTAATAGGCAAGAAATTAGAAAGAAAACCCATCTGCTTATAATGTTGTAAGAATATCTGCAAGGGAAAAAAATCAACTAATTTCAAGTAATCAGAGTTTAGAGTGATTTTGTTTTGTCTCTACAAATAAGATCAGGAATCCTATTCATGAGTTTTGTCTCTCTCCACTTAAGAGTAACAATTTACTAAAAAAACATTGCTATGTAAAATTCAATAACATGAGAGAGGCTGGAGGTGGAATTCTATACATTGAAATCCAAACTGTCCCATAAGAATCCCCTACCTGAATCAAATCTGAGGAATTTAAGCCATATTTGCATGTGTGAGCAATCAGTTTTCCCACAGAAGAAAATCTTGCATAAAAGGGTAAACCTTTCTTCCTCTGTTCCTGTGATTTCTCAGGGGTTAATGTTATTTTTTCTGTCTTCTTGCATGGTGACAATCCAGCATTAGGTGACTCAACAGCGACAGGAAGGGTTTCGGTTTTGTTCTGACATGGTGACATGGTGATTTTCACTCGCGAAGAATAGATGGGTGTGTGTTTTTCATCCCAGGTTTTACTTTCAGATTCTAGCTCAATCAGAAAATGGCCTACTTTGACCGATTTGGGTATCTTATTTTTGATATGCTGTGATAAGATATTCAAAATCTCATTGCGATCCTCTTCCCAGTTGCAATCAGAAATAATCTCAATCAATTTGTTTTTGCCATCTGGGGTAATATGATGTACATAAGAAGCGAATGGATCCCCAGCTCTACCGGAAAACCACCAGCTTTTCTCTAGGAAGTAATGGAAAAAGGTTTCTGAAATACTGCAATTTTACAACTTACAATTTAACTTGGATTTGTTTTGTTATTTTCATCAACATGAAAAAAAAATCACAAGAAAAAATACCAAAAGAAACAGACCTTAGTAAACAGTATCATACTTTATTTTATTAACAATAAACGTATAATATTTAGGCATATGTTAAACACATCTGAATTTTATATTGGCCATATATTTATTAATATACTGAGATAACAAATCTTAGAAAATGTATGTTGTAAATTAATCAATTTAGTAAAAATTGTACTTTTTGCTAACCTAGTTTTCTGTCAACTTGTTCTATCATATTGCATAGTGCCATTTCTATTATTCTTATTGCTCATAATTTATCATACCAATATATAATTATCAATTCTCCCAAATATTTCCCAAATTATATAAAGCTTGTTTTACTGGCAATAATGGTGTCTGATTAGATTTTACCTGGTAACTGTGAATTTTGCCCTTCAAAATTATTTAAGAATTGTAGAATATTTTTGAATTTTTGTCTAATAACTTGTTTTTGCAAATGCTTTATTTCCTAATCCCCAGCCTGCTCCATCAGCACAGCCTTAATGCTCAACAAGTACCGAGGTTAGAGACACTCACAAGCAGACAGGGGTTTTCCCTTCATCAGCTACATTTATATAAATCTTGTCTTAAGTCAATAGTTTAACCTATATCATGATACATTATTTTAATTGAGAAATATGGATAATGTAATGGGGTTAACAGAAAGACACAGTCATAATAACTGGATGCAGCTATACTTTTAATTTGAAATGCAAGTATCATTGATCAATGTGATTTTTCTTTCCTTTTGTAGTGTTTTTCCGAAAGTGAAGGATCTACTTTTTTTCACATCAATGAAAAATTCATTGGTTACAACAGGAATTGACCAACTGGCTTGTTGCAGGGGTACGGGGGGGGGGGGGAAGAGAAGAGGGAGACAGAGAGAGAGTTTGGTCTAGTACAGGGGTAGGCAACCTTGGCTCAGGAATTCTGGGAGTTGAAGTCCACGAGTCATAAAAGAGCCAAGGTTGCCTACCCCTGGTCTAGTAGTTAAGGCATCGATCTAGAAATCTGAAGACCATAAGTTCAAGTCTTTCCTTAGCCATTAAAGCCAGCTGGGTGACTTTAGTCCAGTCACTCTCTCTCAGCCCAACTCACCACACAGGATTGTTGTTGTGGAGAAAATTTGCTTTGTATATAATAAAGTAATAAAGGTGGGAAATAAGTTAGGATATAAATAAATAAAATACATACACACATATGCAGGATACAGTTTTACATTTTTCATTAAAATTTAGACTTTCCTATTATTATTAACAAAATAACTGAAATCTATAAACTAAATTTGTAATCATTTTGTCTGATTCATCTCATATAACAGATATTTTAAATTCTAGACTTATTTTCTATTTTAAGTAATAGATTCAATGTTTTTTTGCTACTGAATTAACATAGCAATAACCAGTACTGCCTCAGATCAAACTGAGGTGGTATAGGGTAGTCCTCAGTTAATGATCATACAAACAGCCACAGTTCAAAGTTTACAATGGTGCTGAACAAATTGTAGTTATGCTAGGTCCTCAAAGTTACAATCAGTACAGGACCCCTGTGGTCACATGATCAAAATTTGCACTTTGCAGTCTGCCTGCACTTACTCTCACACTTCAGCTTTCCCACCTACCTATTTCTGCTCAATTAACGACAGCAACTGGGACTGTTATGGCCAAGCGACGTGGTCATTTCATGTTGTGCTATACAACTGCATTGCTTACTGATGGAAATTCTGAACCCAATTACCACTGTTAATCAAGATCTATCTATATTCTGTATATATTTTACATATGTACACAGATATTAAAACATAGACAAAACATGTTATTTTTTTTAATATGGCAATGGCAGTATATGGTGTGGCTTGAGGTGCTCTGGTATAGTATGGTTTTGCTCTGTTATGTTATGGTTGATGATTAGGTTGGGAAGTTTTGAAAGTGGGGTGGACTATGAAGTTGAGAGGAACAAGCTGTTAGAAATGGCTGGAATCTGGGAGCAGACGTTACTTCTACCTAATTACCATGGAATTCAGTTAACAATGGTGAGATTCAATTAACGACAGCGGTCAGGACAGCAGGGATTGCCATTGCTAAGCAATGCAATGCAGTCATGCTTAATGACCATACTGCTTAGCGGTGGAAATGCCAGTCCCAATTGCCACTGTTAAGTCGAGGACTACCTTGATGCTATTTAGCAATATTCAGAATTGTGAGAGGTTCCCTATGCAATTCCTTGCAATGATTAACATTAAATATTTACACTTTAATTCATAGTTTTTTGACTTTTTATTTCTAAACTATACAGAAAACAATCCAGGTGATGCAGGAATGTTATTAAAAAAAACACAAATTATTCACCATTGCAGATATAGATCAGTATTAATGTAGCTGCATTTAAGGCAGGACAAATTAATAGGAATACGCATTAAATCTACCCACTTCTCTGGAACATTGTTTTCCATAATCTACATTGCCTCAATCTAGTTCTGCTTAGCTTCTTCCTTTGAAAAATATTCAATTTTGTTTAGATTGCAAAAATTAGGCCTTACATATTTCATTGTCATCTGCTTTCCCCCCCTACTGTATTTTCTACTAATTCTATGTGACTGAACTGATCACACAAAGAACCTAACGACTAAGATCAAGTTTTAATTTTACCTCCAGGGTCTTTATCCTTTTCAATTTTCAGAGGCTGAGGTTCTGCATCATGTTCCTGGAAATAATATAGAAATATATATATATATATACACATATATATCTTAAAATCTGATTATAATTCAACATCTTGTTTTCCAATATGCTTATCTGAAATCAACTTTTAAATCCCAACATTTCAAAATAGTCAGATTGAGCCATATACGACAACATTAGAAACTGGTGGTTTTCTGATTGACAGATTATATGTCACATACTTTTGGATATACATGTAGTCCTCGAGTTACATGGCAAATGAAGGCAGGATTATGTCACTAAGTGATATGCTCATAAAGTATGACATCATGTAAAAAATGAATCTTGGTTGCCACCCTAGCTGCAAGATGTGCAGGTCATTAAGCAGCAAGTGGTGGGAGTCACAGGTAAGGATTGCCCTAGAGGTATGAGTGAGGCCCTGGGAACCCCAATGGGGACCCTGTGCAAGTGAGGGAGAGGGGTATGCAGGTGCATGCACATTGAGTACAAGGACGCCCAGGGAAGTAGTGGGGTGTCTGCATATTCAGGGAGGCCCAGGGTAGGAGAGTGCAGGGTGCCTGCATAGGAGTAAAATATATATTGGAGAAATTGTTCTGGGGAATTTCTCCAATGCATCAAACACACCAAGATCAACAAGGAAGAAATTATGATCTCCTTCAGTGTCACCGCTCTCGTCACCTCAACTGCAAAACCTCTACTGCAAACCCATGCAAATGGACCAGATCCTCAGCTTCGCAAGCAACCCACCCCACTGCACACAAAAGAAGCTATGTCAAGACCCTGTTCAGAAGGGCCAAGGCACATCACAGCATCACAATATTAAGAAAAGCAGAAAAGAATGACTATCCAAAAAACTTCATATTCCGACACACAGACCCAAACCACAACACACCACACAGCTAACCACCACAGAACAACTAAGCCTATCATACACAAAAGGGGTGTCAGAAATGATAGGCAGAATTCTCCAACCCCTAGGAATAGCAATAGCCCAGAAACCCACAGCCCCACTCTGCTAAGAATTACCCAAACCAAAGATACAGAAGGAGGAAAGGAACAATGTAATCTATAAAATCAACTGTAACCATTGCAGCCAATTCTATGTGGGACAAACATCACGTCAATTAAAAACCAGGCCGGAAAACACAAACACCGGCTGGCAAACGCCACAATCCCAAATCCTTAATTTTTACCCAAACCAACACCAAACAGCATCAGTTCAACTGGAGCAGCACAAAGATCATTGGCCACACTACCACCTGCCACACTCGTGAGTTCATCGAAGCCTAGCACCCTACAAGCAATACCATCAACAGACACACTGACCCACAACCAGCCTACGAACCCCTCAGAATTCAAATCAACCACAGAGACAGCACCAACCCTCAATCAACCCACACAAGCTCCCAATCCCACCAGCAGTTCACCTCCCAACGACTCACTGATGACTCACACCTGACCCATCCCAAGATCTATCACAAACCCTCACTTGACACACCCACACCTGAAGTCCTTATAAACAGAAGAACACTGACGCTGGTATCTCTAAATTCCACTGAAGATGTTACCTAGCCTGGTAAGAAACTAACCCACAAGCTTGGAGAACAAACCTTCACCCTCAGTAACAATTTAGTTTGGTAGTACTGCATCTAGGTTCTTTTCCTTAAGTTTAATTTCATATCTGGTTTGGCCATTACTGAACATGCCTCAAATTACAGTACTAACTAGTTTAATAATGTCAATCCAGTAACTATTTTATCATTTTTCTTCAAAGATCTACATTAAAAAATGGTCAGTAATATTTTACCTTTTCAATACGTTTTTCACAATTCCAGAGGCACTTTTCCCGCTGACCTTTCTCCCGTACTTTCCGTTCATATATTCGCACACGAGCACAAGTCATCATACTTTCAAAATATAGATAAACAGGGTCCTTATCTTCCTCTCGAATCTATAAATCAAAGTGAGCTTTTAATTAAATGAACGTCAGTGTAAGTTGCATTTATATCATTTGAAAATTTAAGCACCTTTTGTATTTTCTCCATAACTATAAAAAGGAAGCAGTGTCTTTCAAAAGCTAGCTAATGTTTATTGGGAATGTTTCCAATTGAGCAAGAAAATAGAAGCCAGTCTGACTGCCCAAAGCTAAGTCATGACACAGCACCAATAAATAGCATTTGAGCCATTTTCTTTTAATGCCCCCTTAAAAAAAAAAAAATCTTGAGCATGTGAGCATTTTGTTACAGTTTGCAGTTTGTTACACTGCAGTTTGTTACGCACTTAGTTACCCTGGGAAAAATACTGTGAACAAGTGGAAAACAATCCTTTTCACTTGTTATTTCTCAAGAACCTAGAGGAAATAAAGATGGAAGGAGAGATGTTTGGTACAGTAACGGTACAGATAGGAAGGAGACATATGTTTAAAAGATGGGATGTGTTTTTGTGTGAGAGAATGCACCCAGCAAGAAAGATATGTGTAGAATGATTTCAGCTGGGTAATCAACTAGCCTAGAATGTAGCAGAAAAGGTAGTTATGTCTCATTACATCCATGTAACACTTCTATTCTATAAACTGCACTGGCTCCTATATGCTTCCAAATGTAATTTATCTATAAAGTCATGTGTGGCAAAAAATAAAAATTGGTGATTTGTGGGACTGTCTTCTCCCAAAGATATCTGCCCATCCCACATGCCTTAATAGAGATGGCACGTTCCAGATCCTTTCTTGGAAACAGTATCACTTTGTAGGACCCAGCAAGCATGTGTTCTCAATGGCAGCCCCTTCCCTTTGGAATGTTCTCCTCTGATCACTGATACCTAGTTGGCTTCAACCCCAAGGGCCTTCATAAAGGCAGTCAAGATCTGACTCTTTTCCTGGGCACTTGGATCAGGATGATTATATGAGATACAAAATATTTTAGTTCTGATTGTCTTTTAATTGTTTTAGTTTGCTTTACTGATAAGTGCCATTTTTCCTTTGACCTTTGGTTTAATTAATTTGTACTGTGCCCATAACAGTTTGGGCTGGATGGTCATATAAATGTTCTAAACTAAGAAACTCAGCTGGATGAGGTCTGACAATGAATGAATTAAGCATTATTTTTTTTTAAGAAATCCATTTGAGTATATATATTTGGGAAAACTGGGTATGCTAGTCCTATGTAAATGAATACATTTTAGAGAATTAAAGTGATCTGAACTCAACATTTGTCACATATGAAACAACATTTTTATGAGAAAAGGATTTCTTATCTCTAACTAGTTCAACTGGTAAACTATGCAGTCACTTATGGATTCTGTATTTGTACATAACTATTTTTAAAAACTTTTATTACCAGTGTTTTAATAGGTATCCTGCCACTCATTGTAAAATTTCATGCTCAAAACGTGTGTTTCACTTTCCTATTCGTTTTATACTTTAAATCAAGATAGACTTAAAACAAAACAACAGTACTTACAATAGGAAAAAAGGTAATCTGTGTTGACTTCGCAGATGACTGAGCAAAAAATTAAAACAACCTATATTTTTCATAATCTCTCTTAGTCCCATGCAAAAGAATATCAAAGTAACTCTTTAGGAGATGGAGCAGGAACTAAGAAACAAAGAAGTGAACTAATACTACAAAAATAATTAAATACTGTAGTTCCAAGATATCCAACCAATGTTTAACAAAAAAAGTGGATGGAAACCATGTAGCAACATAACAGTGTTATATAATTACAAATCACCCAAGAAAAGCTACATAGCTTATTATTGGAGGAGTCAGAAATTTAATGAGTCTTCATAAAGATCTGAAATCAGTTATACAAACTGCCAATATATTCATAAAAGAGAACAATATTCTGAATTATAGGCAGAATGAGATATATTTCTGGTTTAGCCTTAAACCTTACTTCTTTTACTTACCACTGGATTGGGTCTAGGTGTATATACTCGTAATGGCTTGACTCCATTGGCCTCTGAATTAACTTCAGTTTCCATAGGCTTATCATCAGTTGACATGATCTCTGGAATAGGTGACATCACAGTTTTTGTTGCCTCAACATCTGATGGAGTTGGGATGTAAATTGGTTCTGGATCCATCTCTCCATCTTTTTTTACCCACAATGGAAAATTTTTAACAGGTTTTTCTGGTTCTGTATCACAAATAGCTAAGAAAAAAATGAAGTTGTTTTTCAAAGAAAAGTCTCCATTATCACAAAGTACTGCCTAGACATAAGACTTCTCTCAGCAAAATAATTATTTATAGTGATAGTCTGTTTTACTTAAGTAATCAAAGAAATACTGAGCAGTCTTTATGAACAAAAAAAAAAAAGAAATAAATGAAAGTGCCTACCACCACAATAATTATAAACAGGGAAAGTTTAATAAAGGAAACAGGAAAATAATCCTTGAAATTAGATCTTTTGTTACCTAAATTTATTCCTCCACATAATCACAATTCATCACATAATTCTGCCAATAAAGATCAAGCTTTCTAAACCTATCCTGAGAGAGCCTAATGCTTTGCCTTTTCAACCAAATCCTCAGTCTTTTCCATCTCATTTGAATCAGATACCTACAAAGGTATTTTTTCCCTTTTGAAAAAAGGTGGAAGTTGCATGGCAACAATTCTGAATTGTTTATCAAATTATGTGAGAAGGTGAAAGCCAAGCTTGCAATTGCCTCTTGGGTGACCTGTGAAGAACAGCTAAATTGTCATGTGCTTCCAAACTATGTTAAATGGTTGTTTTAAAATTTTAGGTGTTGCTATGTAGCCCTCTGCACTGATAATGCTGTCTAGTTCAAGGAAATCCATGTATATAATACCATTTGCACGTCCCCAAAAACTAACTCTAAGTTTCCCTGCCAAATCTTTCATCATCATGTGGCAAATTTAAACTCTTGAAACTTTCATTTCTGCAATATGCATGTAAGGAACCCATTAAGCACAAGCTTTGCAATACTAAAGAACATCAAAAATATGGTCCACCCAAATATTCCTGTGGAATGCCAATCATGACAGCAATTTCCCTTTGAGTGATCTGGCAACTAATTTTAATCAGTTTATCAAACAAAATCTCTCAGTTGCTGTCATAGTTGTCTACTTTCTTCTTCATTACAGGTAGTCCTTGACCTACGACCACAATTGAGCTCCAAATTTCTTTGCTAAGCAAGGTAGTTGTTAAGTAAGTCATGCTTTATTTTAACGACCTTTTTGCATGGTTGTTAAGTAAATCACCAAATTATTAAGTGAATCGGGCTATCCCCATTGACTTTGCTTGTCAGAAGCTCCCAAGGAAGGTTGCAAATGACTTTCCCAAGACCTTGGGATACTACAACCATTGTAAATACATGTCAGTTGCCAAGCACTCAAAGCTTGATTATGTGACTGTAGGGATACTGCAACGGTCATAAGTGTAAGAACTAATCATAAGTCACTTTTTTCAGTGCCACCATAAGTTTGAACAATCATTAAACAAATGGTTGTAAGTTTAGGACTACCTGTAAATAAACCAGCTCTTCCCTGTTTACCATTTTAACGTGGCACAATACATATAATCTTCAAATAATGATGGCAAATGGGACTGAAATTTCCATCAAGTTGCAAGTGGAGACCACATGACTGTACAACATCGTAACTGTTCACCATCCAGAATCACTTAAGTAGGGAGCTATAGAATTTAACTAACTAACTAACTAACTAACTAACTAACTAACTAACTAACTAACTAACTTTCTTTGAAGTCTGGTCAGAAGTACCACTCATCCAGTGTTACTACAAATTTGAATGGTCACTGAATAAGTTAGCAAGGACTTACAATACTCATGTCAACATAGTCATCACCATAAAAAAAGTCCTATATTTGGTGCTAAATTTCAACTAGAGAAATTCCTCTGCCAATAAAAAAATTAAATGACTTGTTTAAAGCACACATGGTACTTCTTGGGGGGGGGTTTCCATTTCATGCACTGCAATATAGCCTTTTCTCACAGTAGCTTCTATCAACTGAACTGAAAGAACAGATGCTAAAGATCATGTTAGAGCTTCTATTTAAGGGTATGCCACAAAGAAGGGGTGTGTGTGTGTGTGTCAACCTATTCTCCAAAGCCAGAATGGGATAACTTGGTGCAGCCAACTAGTCATGGCCAATTCACCATGGGACAACTTGCTACAGGACAATTCAACAATTCAATTTAAATGTTTAAAATAATTTAAAAAGTATTTTAATTTCTGCCATTCAATTTCATTTTGTCCCTTCTTTTGCATCCTTTTTCTAATGATTCTATTCCACCATTTCTTCGATATTAGTGTACCTCTTGTCCCAGAGCAAGTTGGCCATCGCAAGTTGTCCTGTAAGTGAGTTGGCTGTGGTGAGTTGGCCATGCCGAGTTCACTATGCTGAATTGTCCTAGACATCTCCAAAGCACCTGAAGGCAGGACATGAAGCAATGGATGGAAATTAATCAAGGAGAGATCCAACCTAGAACTAAGGAGAAATTTCCTGACAAAACAATTAATGACACTGGAGGTTTTAAAGAAGAGATTGGATTATCTTTGTCTGAAATGGTATAGGTTTTCTGCCTGAGCAGGGAGTTGGACTAGAAGACCTCCAAGATCCCAACTCTGTTATTCTGTTGGCAGTTCAGCACATTGAAGGCATTATCTTTCATTCAACCCTTTTATAAATCTTGTGTGAGTTGAAGCATTAAAATATACCAGTGTTTTTCAAACTTTTACTCTCAGGACCCCTTCCCACTTTTAAAAATGTTTGAATGATCTCAAAACATTTTTTGTATGGGTATATTTAGTGATATTTATCATATTAAAAATTAAAATTGACACTTTACTGCCTCTACCATTTCTCATGACTCTCAAAGTATTTTAATATTTTGATAATATTCTATCAGTATTCTATCTGGGGGACTCCCAGAAGTTCTTGGATCGCACTTTAAGAAACATAGCAATATACTTATTCTTCAACTTCAGAAGGTATTGCTGTACTGAAGTAAATATCTAGAGTAAGCTATTTTCTTGCACAGTAAACATAAAGAAAACTCGGAAGAGAGGGCCAGTTGCTTCCAAGCACCATATGCTACAGAGAAATTGCCCAAGCAATTTGTATTTGGGTGAAAGAGAGGGATAAAATGATAATAAAATAAATGCACAAGTTTGTTCAGATTTAGTTTAGGATCATATCTGGCCTTCGAGTGGTGTGCTAGGAGCTGCACTCTAAAATAATAGCAAGGCCAGAAGAACTGACAAAGAAACAAACTTTCTATCCTATTATATTTTTGCTAAATTATGTAGTTTTCATAGCAACATATAACATCAGTATCATGTAACAGCCTCAATAAAGTTGTTATACACAAATCTTTAATATGAATATTCTTAATGAAACAGAAGGAATCTAATGTTGGGACTTGCAAGACTAAAGGTAAATCCCAGCAAATAAAGCAATTGATAACAAGAAGAAATATCAATTTGTTCCTTCTAAGAATCCGTTTAGCGTAAGGATTCACAAGGATCAAGTGCCTCTGATCATCACAAAATACAAATCTAAGAGAATTCGCCTGCCTCCACGATGAGTTGTCCTTCACTCTGCTGTCTAGGTCCACCTGAAAGAAACCTAATAGTTGGGCAAGTCCTGCTTATGTTGAAGACAACTTTCCCCTGCATCAACAAAGAAAAGTTCTCTGTGTCAATTTATAAATGTGAATCAAGCTTGGTCACTTAGCTACTAAGATGGTGTCTATTAACACTTTGGGAACCACCACTTCCATGAATTCCAGGTGCTAATATGAAGCCATCCTGGGTCTTAATATGGGAAAAGAGTTTGGCCACTCTAGAAAATGCCAGGTGCTCAATGCTCATCTCCAACAGAATTGAGAACCAATGTCTCCTGGTTCAAAAGGAAACAATGATTATTTGTCCTGTGCAGCATTCTTGATAAAATTGAGAACAGAGGAAATGCCTACAGTAGCTGATGAAGCCAAGGAGTCACAATGCATCAGTCCCTACTTCCTTACATCATGGAAGTGAAAGAACCATGTGGTCCTCTTCCTATTCTGTTTTCCCTTGTGGCAGAGAGGTAAACCAAAAGGACTGTTCACAAATCTTTAATTATCCATAAGACTTCTGAGTGCAATGTCTATTCTCCTAGGGCAGAAAATGTCTTCTAAACACCACTTAGAAGATACAATGTTTTCTGGCCAGAAAGACAGGAGAGATACTGTAATATTATTCACTTTCATCTCTTTCCCCTCTCCATGATTCTTCAGGTGCATTTTTGTGAAGACAATGTCAATCCAAAATCAGAATGTGATTCTTTTCTATCCAAGTTGACTCGTCCCAGACCAGGTGCTCGAGACAAATGGCTGATTTAGATTCCAGCTACATAGGCTGGCTTTCATGTTGTACGATTCTCTGAAGATTATTTTCCTGGAAAGGATGATTAACTCAAAACCACCATTTGTGGGAGCTGATCACTGTATTGGGCCTTTAAAACCAAACATATCTTTTAGGCAATCTGCTCCTAAAATCCAAGTAGATATCACTGTAACAATCATATAAGTGGTTGTGGCTTAAGGCTCTTTTCTATTTTAAATGCATATCCAGTGACATTTCTCTCTTGTGCCAATACCTGTCTGTGATGTGGAAGTCTTTAATTTGATTCAATAAACTGTTCAACATTTGTAGGATTAATATAAATTAAGAATACATTTATAACAAACAGTAACAAGCAGAACAAAAATTAGGAAAAAAAGTTTTGAATTGGCCTGGTCATTCACTGAACTTTTTGTAAGTACCCATAATGATTCAACTTCTGTAGAATGTAATTTTTTCATCTGGAAATAACATTATCTATTAAAACTATGAAAACCAAACCTGTAAAGAAAAAGGATAATTTAACCCAACGTTACTCCACATTGTTGTTTCTACTTTGATTACACTTCCTTCTTGGAAACCTATTATTAGGTTTTCAATGCAGCTACTAGGACAAAAAAACCCAATCATTTGTAATTTTTCCACTACACTTACTGCCAAATCATCTCCTAAACCAGGTGTGTCAAACTGCCCCCCCCCCCGGCCGGATGCATCACAAAAGCCGTGCCCACCCCATTGCCGGCAATGGTAAAACCGTCCTGATACATTGCACAATGTCATGTGACGTCGCGAGTTTGACATATCTGTCCTAAACTGAAATTCCAGAGCTACAAAAATAAGTAATAAACATGGTTATAATTGAAACATTTTTACATTTAAAGATTATGTCCTACATCAGTTCCATAATACATGTGTGCTGAAATAACACATTTTTTTTTGAAAAAAATAATGGATATAGCTACCGAACAGCTTAGCAAGCTAAATAGCTTATCAATACTTACTATATTCAACCTTCTTTTTCTTCTTCTTATCTTTTAGTTTCATTTTTTCTTGCTCATCTTTTGCTATTACATCTGTTTGTTGTTCCTGATTTCTTTCACGATATAATTTATGCTTCCCATGCAGAGGCTTCTCCTGGATCTTTTTGTGCTTAACTAAGACAACTTTTCTTTTTAGGCAAGTACATCCAAACATGCAATCTGGTTTGCGGCAATGTGTTGGCTGACGTTTTTCAACAGCTAAACTAGAACAGATACACCCAAGCCGACAAAAATCATTGTTGCATGGTGGTGCTTTCTTTTTAATTATTTTGTGAATTGGTTTGTTTTTGAGTGATGCCTGAAAAGTGTTATATAGTGTTATATAGTCAGATAAATATTTGCAGAGCCACAAATGAAAAGCAAATGTCATAGTATAGTTCACAGAATTACTGACAAAGAATTCTATATAGCAGGCCAGCATTCAGAATCCAGTAGGGTGTTTAATCTATTGCAGAAAAGCAGCAATATAACACTGACATATTTATTTCAACAGACTAAATATCTACTATTAATACTAAAATCAGCTTATTTATATTACAAAATTATAGGAATAATATAATCAAGATGAATGTGTATGTTATATCAAAAGCTGCACATCTTCCTTGATATTTTTCTAGATCAAAACACAACCTATACAGGTAGTCCACGACTTACAAACATTCATTTAGTGATTTTCAAATTTACAAGGGCACTGAAAAAAGTGACAACCAGTCCTCACACTTATAACTGATGCAGCATCCCCACGGTCACATGATCAAAATTTGGGTGCTTGGCAACCGGAATTTATTTTTGATGGTTGTAGCGTCCTGATTGCCATTTGCAACCTTTCCAGCTGGCTTCTGACAAGCAAAGTCAATGGGGGGAACCAGATGGGCTTAATGACATGATTCACTTAACAACTGCCTTGCTTAGCAACAGAAATTCTGGCCTCAATTGCAATCATAAACTGAGGACTATTTATACATTTCAATAAAATCTAAATAATCCCAGAGCTGCTAACTATAATATCAATAATAGTTACCAATATAATGCAAGACTAAAGTCTGACAAACCAAAATCAAGGTAATTAAACAATTGTAGGTTTTAATAACTGAAATATGATGGCCTTTACCAGTGTAATGGATTTAGATACCCGTCAGCTTTCCGGAAACTCTTAAGTATTCTATGAAGCTATTGTCTTATTCCAAGGAAAGGGAAAGTCTCAGTAGGAATATGTTCTTTAATGTTAAATCTAAAATCTTCTACTCAGAAAACTGAATCACGAAAAATGACACTATGCTTTTTGACTCTTAAAAGGACACTGAATCATGTTCTGTTTTCTAGTACAAGGTAATTATTGTAGAAATTGTTCAGACAATTGTTAGACAAAATTTATATTTTCATCCTTTAAACTTACCTGAGCAGTCAGTAAAATTGTCAAAGATAGTTCAGCTCGTTCCTCTGTAATGTATGTCCGTGGTTTACCATCCCATAATGCACAATCTTCTAAATCCAGCAGTTTCAACTGAGTCTTGGATAAGGTTGACAGGCGACTGCCCTGTTGCTGCTGCACCTGACGCACTGTGATCTGTTTGCTCTGCAAATTTTCCTCTGTTGCCAACATCGTCAAAGCATCTTTCTCGGTAACTGTCTGATCAATTGCCTGAGATTTAGAAACTTTATCTTCTGACACTAATTTATGTTTGTGGTTTTTTGCAACAGATAAACCTATTGTATTTTTGGGGGGAGATTTTTCTTTGCCTCTTGAGACTGCTTGCTTTTTGTTCTTAACTTTCTCTTTTTTCTTTTTAGAAATAGTAGGTAAGCCAAGAGGTTTGGAAGTATAAGAACTCAAATTAGAAGCAATGGATTGTTTTTTTAGAACACTATCTAATGTCCGCACGTAGCTGGTGCTTTTAGTTGGAAGCTGATAAACTACAGGAGAACTAGATGTGCTAGGAGAAAATCCAATGCTTGTTTCCATCAACTTTCCTTCATTTTCTAAGTATTCATCAAGTTTGTCACTGCAGAAGGCAGATCGATTCTTCAACAAGCCTTCTAAAATGATGCCTGAATAATAAAAATAATTTTTAGATTAAGAGTACTTAAAATCTCAAGTTGCAACATGCTTACACAAATTCCATTAACTGAATATTCTGAATATTTCAGAATATTTAGCTAAGCTTAGAAATGTTAAAAACTACAGGAATTTAACTGTAAATGTAAAGAGAAATAAATATTGGAAAAGATTTCAATTATGATTGTAATTATGAAGCCTTCCAGAAGACATCCCTCTTTCTTCTTTACATAAATTCAATTTGGAAAACCTAATTATTCCCAAAGGTTTAAAGGTGGAGATATTAATAAAAAGCTCATATCAATGTCTGACAATTGCAGTTTCAGCAACATATTGCTTCCCTACACACTAGGAAGATGAGGCCAGAGTGTATTTAATGTAAATTATATTGATTTCTAAATCACTATTTAAATCATTTCTTGGTCAAATTAAACTTTAACTTTTTAAATCACTAGTTGCAGTGTTAAGAAAAGAGAGCACATTCTTGTTTAATATTCGAGACTGATATGTCCATTACATACAAAAGGCACAGTGCCCACAGCCTATAGAAATGTTTTTAAAATCAGAAATATTAAGCTCAAGGAACTCAGTGTTCTATTATCCTAATATTGAGAACTTTTGCTTATGGACAAAACGTTTCTCAATATTGTTCAAAGCTGCTTTTTAACCTGATTGGCTCAACAACTCAATACTCGGTTCCACCACACGTTATGTGAGCGTTAACTTGTGGGAATATATTGCAATTTCAATATCAGTCTTGAGCACCAAAGTCTTTTGCTAGAAAATGCATCAAATTAGAACTGCAACTATAGTTGCAGTGGCTTAGATTTCTTCTTATTACTGGATGAAAATCCAAAACATCTTTTCCTTTTCTGACAGATCAATATATACCTAATTATTGCTTGTTGTTCTATGCTATTTCTAATAATTCCAGACAGTATCAATATATAATTATCAACTATCTATTCCAGGCCTGAATCTGATCTACTTAATGTCCAAAAGCAAAGAATTATCTTTGTTCCATATTCTGCTATTTGCAAATACAATGTGGTAGCCAATGTATACATAGAGCTTTAAGTTTAAAATATGACATTCATTCTGTTTCTTCTAGTAGAAAAAGATTTGTGCTGTGTAAAAAGTTCATGTAAAATTGATAAAATCCATACATATTGGATAAGACCAACATAGGCTTATGCAATTTGGCAACTATTATTAGAAATGCTTGGCAGATTAGTTTTTTAATAATTAGGTTTTAATTATGATTTAGTGCTTCCTTCTTTCAACAAAGAATAATCTATAAATAACATTTGTAACTGTATATTTTGCCTAAGGCAGGGGTCCTTAACCCCTGGTCCGTGGACCAGTACTGGGCCGGCATGCCAGCAACCGGTCCACACAAAGCCCTATCTGTGGAATGCAGGCAGCACACAAAACCATGTACCCTCCGATCCGTGGAAAAGCCTCCCTTCACAGAACCGGTTCTTGTGTCCAGAAGGTTGGGGACCTCTGACCTAAGGTTCTTTTCTAAGGGCCAACACCAAAAGGCCCAGAGTCATTTGGGTAGTGAGATGGATAGCATATAAATTTAATAAATAAAGGAAGCTAGGTCCATTTGTTTTTTCCCAGCAATATGGCAGTCACTTCTAGTGAATATCAGATATGCTTTAACAGGCAATGTAAACTTAGTTGCTCAATTCCTAATAATGAATTGATTTGAATCTTCAGCTAAAAGATCTGTTGACGGGCAAGCAAGCATTTTATATGGTCTATTAATACATTAAGATTCCCTTTCCACCCTTGCCACGTCATGTATCTGGGAAGCTTTAAATAAGAGTAAGCCAGCTAAGAATGTGAGCCAGATATTAATAATGTAATGCATTTTTGGTCTGTAATTTTAATTAAATTTGGGGGGGGGAATCTTGAGTATTTTTTATCTAACAAAATTCTAAAAATAAACTTGTTTCAAAAATATAAAATATACATGCATACTTTATTATCTGTCCTCTGTGATCTATAGTCACAGAATATTTTGAAATCACAATTCTATGCATTCTTTCTCTCATTTTCTCATTTCATTTTCTTATAGTAACATTCTGTATCCAACGTTTTCCTCTTACCTTCATTTTTTGAAGAGTTGTGAAATTTTCCTCGCCAACCCTTTATTTTTGTGATGTCATTTGTCTTTCCAGTCCTTGAAATAAAATGAAGTCCAGCATCTGGCAGTATAAATGAGTTGAGAAAAATGGGAACAAAAGAACTGTGAGATCATTTTGCTTGACAAACATGTTAAAAAACATGCTACAATACACACAAATACATAGCTGCTACGATGTACTTAACATGTGTGGTCCATCTAGACTTGCAATTCCTTTGTGCAATTTCATGCTCTGTACCAATTGTGCCCTTTCCTGGACCATAAGGCTTTATTCAGTTATTCTTGCCCTGGTCACCTCTAGAATGGATGACTGTAACCTGCTGTTCATGATGAGTTGGCAAGATGGTTGTGTAATATGGTCTCTCCTACTACCTTGAATTTTTAAAAAATCTTTTTTGTTTTCTTGTTTTTACTTAGTGCTTTATGATGTTTGTTGTTATGTACTATAACTGCTCACAGTCACGTTTTGTGAGATGGACGGCTATATAAATTTGTTAAATAGATAAGACAGTTACATATGTAAATTCTAAAAAAATACTCCGGGTTTTTTATTTTCTTTGGAGATTTAGTGCAGTATTACAAATTCAGTATATGTTTTCATTTAAATCACTGAGCTTAATATAAGTCAAATGTTATAGATGTTTAATATGACAATATTGTCATCTACTACTTACAGGAGCATCCAATTATAAATGCAAATTGTGTTAGCTTACATGATGTTACTTATCTCATACTATAGTACAAATGTGAGCCCAGCTGCTACAATAAGTAATGGTTTGTAGCCTAATGAGGCTATAACCAGACTAGTATGATTCATCTAATATCTACAGCTGAAACAAACCATGTACTGTACAATGTATAAGCAGTCACCTTACTGAATAATATATCTATAGATGGTAAAACAAAACATGGTGTATTGTTGCAAATCTCTTTCAAAGATACAGAAATACTCTACAACTCATTTTAAGCAATCCTGCATTAAGATGCTGACTTACCAGCAGAATTAGAATCAGTTCCTTCATTTTTCCATGAAGCATATTCCTCTGAATAATTTAAGGGCAACTGCACACCCAAATACTTCAGATCAATGCTCATTGTTGGGTCCACAAAATTCAGTTTTAAACCCACTGAAGGAATGAAGGAATTTTTATACCATTATTAAAACAATTTTGTATGCGTATCAAGATCACTGTCGTGTTTACTCTTACCAGGATTTTATTTTACAGAATATAAAGCTGAAAAACAATACTTTTCAATTGGTTTCCTACCCAGAATAAATTATTCCACCTTAATTAAATTTTACATGGATACAAAGATTACCAAATTAGATGCTACAAAGTTTCCCCTTAACTGTTTGTAAAATACCTTCAAATATAACTTAAGAAGACATCTAGCTGGCATTAAGTACAGCTTCATTAAACAGTATCAATACCAAATTTAAATGTTGATATAACTCATCACCAGAGTTCAACTTAATGAGAAAAGTATAGTACTGAAAAGCGGAAAGAAAAAAGAAATCCACTATAAAAGCCAAATCTCATGATCAAAGTTGAAGCCACAATCTACATTAAGACAACATCAATCTGTATTTATGTTTTTACCTTCCACTTCCCAATGTCAGCATTTCTTGGATCTAAAGTTAGCTTGCAGAAGTAGAAAAACATTTTCACAAGACAATCTCACAATTTTCCAATTTGATTACCGACCCTTGTGGCCTGTCATACTATCCCTATAAAAAGAAAACTCTCCAGCTTCCAACTCATTTGCCTATTCAGATTTCCAGATGTTTTTTTGTGATTTAATGATAAATGAGCATGTAGTTTCCAGCAACATGTGACTTTGGGGGCACTGCAGCAGCAGGAACTCGAGTACTAGTCATAAATCCCTTCATAACTTTGAACACTCGCTGAACAAATAGCAATAGCACTTAGACTTATATATCACTTCACAGTGCTTTACAGCCCTCTCTTAGTGGTTTACAGAGCCAGCATATTGCCCCCAACAATCTGAATCCTCATTTTACCAACTATGGAGATTCTCAGTCATCCAGGTCATAGTTATCCCAAAGATGCTTTTTCATGAGGCAACTGGACTTTCTTGTTTTTCTTTGAAGACGTTTCGCTTCTCATCCAAGAAGCTCCTTCAGAAGAGCTGAAGAAGCTTCTTGGATGAGAAGTGAAACGTCTTCAAAGAAAAACAAGAAAGTCCAGTTGCCTTGTGAAAAAGCATATTTAGGCATTTAACTGACCTTGGAAGGATGAGTCAACCTTGAGCCAATCAGGATTGAACTCCTAGCAGTGGGCAGAGTTAGCCTGCAATAATGCATTCTAACCACTACACCACCATGGCTCAAATGTTTGTAACTCAAGGTCTAGTGATAAAACAACAATATAGTGGAAATACAGACTGCAGTTCCTGAATATTTTTGTATTAAATCAACTGCTTTTAAACATTCAATTGATATGCTTTATAGAGGAAGATTCAGCTTCAAACCTATCCAAATTATTTTCCATCTGATACAAATTATTCATTCTGAAGATAATGATAATAATAATCTATATACTCTCTGCATTTTTATCAACCAAATTGTCACATCTGATTCATGACATAAAATACAAAATGCATAATTTACACAATAAAAATAATCAGGAGTATTTTCACAGAACCTACCTTCTTGAAGACTTGGATGTATTACTTGTTTGTACTTAAAAGATTTTAAATCTTCTAACAATTCTTTTTCCAACTGTTGTATTCTTTGACCATCTGCCAAACATACATTTATTTGTTTATATGTTCCCAAACAATTTTAGCTACAAAAATGATAACTGTATGGAAAGAATAACCTTAGCCTATCAATCAAGGCCCCATGAAATGAAAGCAAAATTAATTTATCCACTACATTATACTTTTCAGCCTGGAAAGCTTAGCAGGAATTCATAGATCCTAGCAATGTCTTTCTTCATAGTAGAGGGAGAGAAAGATTGCCACCTAGAACCAAACTAGAGTTATAAAATGTTCACACTACAAATTATATTAGATGGAAGAACTGATAATGATATAAGGAGATGTAATTTATTTCTTTCAGGGCTTTCAACTGTAATGCTGAGAAAAATCCTCCTCAATTGGAAGATTCATTCCTAGACCTAGTTCAATGGGAAATTCCCCATATTATGAACATCAATCTCCAACTTAATGAAGAAGATACTGATCCTACTCTTGGTTAATAATCAGAACCTATAACTGATACTACTTAATAGATATATCAAGTTGCTAGTATTAAGTTTAACCATTATTGTTACCTGAATCAGTGCATGGATTACATGTAGTCAGTGAATTGTTCAGTGTATTTTGCAATTCTTTTTCTTCAGCTCTATCAAAACTGTGGATATCAAGTGCTTCCTACATGCAATAAAAAACATACTTTGACAAAACCTTTGTGCAGGGTTTATATTAAAGGCATTCCAAAGTTACAGGAAGCCACACTTTGACATTAACTTAAAATGATTTACGTTTATCATTTAAAAATACTACATTTGAAAATTGCAAGAATTATAATACAGAATCCCAAAGAAGTATAAATTTTGGGTATAAATTTACCTTGGATACAAAGGATACAAAAAGCATTCCATCCACATCCTCAAGATCAAGATTAATATCCAAATGGGTACTAGCAGTTCCCAAAGAAGCATAATTATTGGTTGTATCAGATTTTGCAATGCATTTAGGTGATCTCCCAGCTTCAGATAACTTTGATTTCCGTGGTCTTCCTCGTTTCCTTGGGCCTGACACCCCAAAATTTTGATTGCCAACAATACTCTTGCCAGAAATGTGAGTCTTCAACATATTTAACTTTTGGTCATCAGAGATAACTTTAGCTAAAGAAGGGCTGCTGATGGCAATGGTCTTGAGATCACAACTAGACTCTTTCTCAATTGTATTCAGGCTGCCACATGCTTCAATATTTCTCCCTAGCATGTCTTCTTCTGAAGGTACCTGTGGTGCTGTATTTTCAGATACCATTTTATCAGTTGCAATCTTGTCAGTTTCCTTGTCCGCAAAGGGGCTAGAGATATCTTTATTTTCAAAATGAGCAGGGAAAGAATCTAATGAATGAGTCAGTGGAGACTTTTCATTCTTAGTTGTCGTCAGTAAGGCCTGTGAAACATCAGACATTTTCACTGTATTCCTGCTGATTGTACAGGGCTCTAGGTAAACTACAGGCATCTTCCCACTATCCAATTTTAGCATTTTTGCTTTGGCAACACCCAACTGGTTTATTTGTTGTTCCTTGTGGAATTCAATATCCATTTTATCTATTTCGCTGTATTTCTGCAGCTGCTGCCTCAATATGGAGCCATCACTGTTGGAATATTCTTCTGCAGTGTAATTGGTTTCTTCTTCCTTCACATTTACCCCTTCCATGCAAATTAGAGGTTCATATTCATAGTTATCTAATGGTTCTTCTTTAACAGACACGTTGAGTCCTCCCTTTAGAGTAAGCTGGGATGTCACATGTAACATTTTTTGACAAGGGCTGGATATTGGCCTGAAAAAAAGAAAGCAAAGCAAATTGCAGAAATAAGCAGACCCTCACCTTCTTTTAGGACAGACATGGAAAGTACACTTGGCTTACTCAAACACCCACCCACCCCTTTAGGCATCACTCTATTCACACATTGCAACAAACTGTTAACGTTAAGGTTAACTTGACAGCAACTTTATGGATAGAAAGTTTATTGTTTGGGGCAAAGTTAGTATCAAAAAAATTAAGAGTTTTGGATTGTGAAGAGAAAATAAACTTTCCACCCAAAAAAAAAGACTAGGCCAAATAAATAAATATGCTATTCATTCCTTCATTCTTCCAGCAAAACCGCAGGATGGATATGGAGGCAGAGGAAGGGAAAAAAGTTAGATGGAGATAAGGAAGGGATAGCAGGAAAGAAAAAAAGGATTAAAGCATTACAAAAAGTTCTATAAGCAAATAATAGCAAGCAAGAGCTAATTTTCAAGGGCATCAATCGTTCTATAATAATAATAAAGTTGGAAGGGACTTTGGAGGTCATCTACTCCAACCCCCTGCTCAGGCAGGAAACCCTATACCATTTCAAACAAATGGCTGTCCAGTCTCTTCTTAAAAACTTCCAGTGTTGGAGCATTCACAACTTCTGGAGGCAGATTGTTCCACTGGTTACTTGTTCTAACTGTCAGAAAACTAACAAGCACTGCTACAGTCAACAACCTCTTCTTCTCTATCAGCAAATATAATTATTTGGAGAGAAAAAAGCTTGACTTTGTACTTCCTGTTGGAAATACGGTAAATCACAATATAATGTACTGAAAAAGCTGAAAGTGAAAAATAAATCATTACCAACCATTTGTTGGAATTATGAATAAGGACTTTTATTCCCATAAAACTAGTTAAACATAAGACGTAATCTAGAAATTCATGTTCTAAAGATAATACATCTATATTTTGTTGCATATTTCTTTTTGATAGTCCTTAATTTGTTGTTTTTTATACAGAGGACCTTTGCTAGTCTGTCCATGTATGATTCATGTAGATAATCTATTATTGCTTCAGAAAACTGCAGGATCCTTTGCCTTCATTTGTAAGAGTTGCACTGATTCTTTGTATTTCTTCTATTGCAGTGGTGGCGAACCTATGGCACACGTGCCAGAGGCGGCACTTGGAGCCCTCTCTGTGGGCACACATGCCATTGCCCCAGCCTTGCCTCCCCCCGCGATCCCCTCACCAGCAGCCCCCCTGGAGGAGAGTTGCCCCTGAGCATGGCCCACGCAGAACAGCACAGCTAAGGACATGGCAGCCAGGCAGTGTAGACAAGACTCTGCCCTCACACCCCATCGCATGCAGTTGATGTTGTGGGGCGCGGGCAGAAGGCATGGCTGGGCAGGCAGGGTGGTGGCGGGGCATGGGGTGGAACAGGGGTGGGGCCAGTTTTTGGGCACTCGATCTCTAAAAGGTTCGCCATCACTGCTCTAGTGCATTCATTTTAATTAAAATCAATTTTAAATGTATTCTATATTAACAAACTGTTTTAACAATAGAAATACAAAATATGGCTACATACTGACCATTTCTGAATCTAATATTTTTATTATTTGTTGAAGTTATAATATGATGTATGAACCTGACCTAAAGATGCATATAATTCATTTAGCTCTGGTTTACTGTGATAAATGAATTCTGACATACATTTTTTTTATTTTAATTCAATTTTCAAAGTTTTTGCTTTTTAAACATTTTCTTAGAATGTATAAAAAGCAGTTGAAAGAGGGTATCAAAAGTAGCACTCAAACATTTTAATTATATTCTAGAAGCATATTAATAGCACTATATTAAGATATAATGAATAATATGATATACTATCAAATTCTATTTTGTATGCACTATATATGAACACATAGATAGGCCCCCACAGCTCTAAAACTGTATATATTAATGAATTTATAATTTGGAAACAATTTATTCATTTTTGAACTTGTCAATGGGTTTAAAGTAGCACATCGAGCATTGTTCTAGTCTGAATACCATTTCAGCTGGAGTTGTAATAAGATAAATGTTTCAACACTGGCCAAAATACAAATATTCCAGGTTTTATATAGCTATTTGGCTGAAATTATATATTTAATGTTTATTTTTTGAAAAAAACTTTACATATATTGTTAAAATTCACAAATGTATACATTCCATATTTTACTAACTTTCACTAAGATTCCTCCACTCACCTTGTTCTTACACTATGGCATTTAGGATACATGCAGCTTTCTCTCAGGTGGAGCTGGTGGGCAATTTGGGGGTCCTCCTGGATTCACAGTTTCTTGCAGGTTCACCTTGTGTGCCAGTTGCACCTATTTCTGGATCAAGAGGTCCTACTCATAGTAACTCATGCTTTGGTCACTTCCTAATTGGATTACTATAAGGCTTTCTACATGGAACTGCCCTTGAAGAGTATTCAGAAGCTGCCACTTACTCAGAATGCAGCAGTGTGGGCAGTGTGAGATGCTCGTGTAACTACTCCACTTCAGGCTTCTACTGCACTTCCAGGAGCTAGTTTATTATCTAAAAGCTTTATATGGCACAGGACCAGGGACCACCTATCTTTGATTGTCTCTGCTCACTTCACCTGCATCGATGGGGCTGGCATGACCCAAGTCTCCTCTATCAAGAATTGTCATTACGTGGATTGTGTGGAACCAAGGACACCTACTCTATGGTAGCACGTCCTGAAATCCAAATGGCTCTGATCTTCTGTAAGGAATGAAGATCTAGATGTACTATCAGGCAACTGGGCGAGGAGATTAAGTGAGCCCTGCTGATTGATCTGTTTAATTCTTGTCTCTATTGTTTAGGAGTGGAATGATTTTAGACCTCAAGCATATATTATTCTTTTGGGCTATTTACTTTTGTACATTCTGTCAATTATGGTTTTAACCCACTATTCATTGCCTAGAGGCACTACTGTGTGATGGAGACCAATACAAGTTGTTTAAATATTTTTATACAAATGCTGATTATTTTTTATGTAAAAAACACAACCCTACCTTTCTGATGCTTCTTCCTTTAATCCTCGATCGTCACCTGCATGAGCATCTGTTTCCGCAAAATGTAAGAACTCATGATATGGACTAAGGGACTCTTTCTCCAGATCTGGGTCACATATCCCACTAGATGGTGGGTCTAATTCTCTCTGTGATGGATCAAAAATATTCCCTTCAGGGGGATGCCTGTGATTAGTAGGAGAACTCGTGACACTATTACCTTCACGCTCTGAGCTACCATTTTGCTTCACGTCACGCTGCAGTCTACTACTCAGGCCATCTTCTCTGAATCCTTTAGCAAATGGATTATAGTCTATTTTTAGTTGTGTAATTTGGATGTTTTGATACGCAGTCACAGCGAAGAATTCTGTCTGCGGAAAAGTGAAAGTACGGACATCAGGACCATTCAACTGGATAATCTCTGTAGCTTTTTCAGCAGGCACCAGGTGTAGTCGAGGTAAATACCGATGCATAGAATGCAGAATGATATGTCCTTCCTGGTCCAATGTATTATTAGTAAGCTTCAATTTGTAGAAAGATACTGGTTGATGCATCCAGTAATGACCAGTAGAAGGTGATTCAGGATGAATAAATACCCTTCCTAGCACATGGGGTTCTGCCTTTCCACTGGGTTCCCAACTATGGCCATTCCACTTATAGCGGAAGTTGTCAACAGGAGTAATATCCATGACTAGGATATACTTGAGGTTGGATTCTAGGCCTGTTATCCAGTATCGACAATATGGAAACATTCGTCTCCCTTGTTTTGTCAAAATCATTTCTGTGCTGCGATGATAGAATTCATTCCACATATTATTGTTGTCCAGCATAACAGTGATATTCCCTGAAGCACAATCAGCTGGAAGATATGTCTTAGTTTTAGATTTCATTGGCTTTGCTGCACTGCTGAGTAGACTGCTGTTATCTTGATTTGAAAGCAAGGTTCCTTGATCAGATTTACCAGTGCTCTGCTTCACAAGAACATAAAGAGCAGGAGTTGTGCCTGACATGGTTCCAGTATTTTGGTTCCCTAATATAACTGGTTGTTTCTCCATTATGGGAATAGTTGAAATATCCCCAATATTTTCCATATTTCAAAATTCTGGCAACTTAACTTCACTGATTTTTAATCATCTGTAGGGGAGAAAAATCAATGAAATAAAATTCATACAAAATAGTTAAACTTTGTGTGTTTGTGTGTTTCCATTCCCACCGCAACTGCATACCAACTAGGACTACAAAGATAAAGAATACATTAAGAGGATAAACTCCCACTAGTAATTTTAATAAACCATACTGTATATTTACCCATATGTTAACTTCTGTGAACAAATGTCTTTAAAAGGCCTCTCCTGCCAATATTAGTAGCGCAAAATACTTTAACATGAAGTCCCTTCAATAGCTATGGCTTAACATCAACACCACTTTTGATTGAGACCAGAAAAACAGCACATAGTGCAAGATAGTATTCACTAGTTAGTAGTTCAAAGTCAAATCTTTCACTGACTGTAATATCTAGATACTCTTCAAGAGATTATATATGAACAGTAAAAGGTAGCACAGTAAATAAAACTGTGCAATAAGTCTAATAATATAACCTGAAAATACTAATATAGGAGAGTATTTGTAGCTCAAGGTTGAAACGAGGGGAATGAAGTGCACGCTGAGTTCTAAATGCCCTGCAGCTGTACATATGGACAGGCTGTCAAGCACCCAAATTTTAATGACTGCAGGGACATTGTAATGGCTATAAGGTAGAGGACCAGATGTAAGTTAAACCACTGTTTTATATTTTCTATTGTTTAGACATTTGTACCGACGAACCTGCTTTATAGTCATCTTCTTTTCCCAGAAGCTATTGTATGTGGAAACATTAGTCAATTTATGTAGCTGTCAAAGGAGGAAACAAAAGATAAGTATGTCAAACAATTACTCATCTTTTTAACAAAAAGAAATCAAGCTCAATTAATTTTAAAAATTAAATCATTGTAGCTTATTTTTAAAAAATATGAACAAATATCCTAGTATGTTATACATCTGATAATTCAAATTAGCATATTATTATTCTTTATACTTTAACTAATTTAGAACATAAATTAAGATATTTTTCTTAGTCAGGTTTTAAAATTCTAATATTTTTACTATATAGATTTTGTCTTTTATCTTTTTTTAGTTTCTTTAATCATGATTCTCTGATCAAATAATTTGAATGAACAGCAGGACTAAAATAAATAAAGTAAATAAATAAATCTGCTCTGGAAACATCAGAACAGAATTGGGTAAAAGGAAGCACACAAAGGGAAGCATATTTATTTTCAGGTTGTATATAGTATATACAAGCATGTTATACTTAAAGATGTAACTATATTCTATGTTTTGTTTTTTAAATGAAAACATTTAATTTAAAAATATCATATCTAAATCATTATTATGATCATTTCCTGATCCCCTTTTCTGGGATTACTCATAAGCATTTTCATTACAGTGTTACATCTTGAATAGTTATTTCCAAGTATGAATTTCAAGAATAATAAAAATAAAGGTAACTTGCAATAGATGCATCTACGTTGCCTTTCAGTTAAATGGTGACTATACAGTACAGATAGTCCTCGTCTTACAATAGTTCATTTAGTGACTGAAGTTACAACGAGATTGAAAAAAGTGACTTATGACTGTTTTTCACACTTATGACCGTTGCAGTATTCCCGTGGTCATGTCATCAAAATTTGGATGCTTGGCAACTGGTTCATATTTATGATGGTTGCAGTATCCTGGTGTCACGTGATTACCTTCTGTGACCTTCTGACAAGCAAAGTCAATGGGGAAACCAGATTTGCTTACCTGCCATGTTACTAACTTAACAATTTCAGTGATTCACTTAACAACTTTGGCAAGAAAAGTCATAAAATAGGGCAAAACCTACTTAACAAATGTTTCATTTAACAACAAAAATGTTGGGCTCAGTTGTGGTTGTAAGTTAAGGACTATAACTGATAAATGTAAAAGACATTTTAGCAAACTGGATTGTACTTTAGTGTTTTGGTTGCAAAATAAAACTACTGTATGTCCTCTCAAATTTCAGAATATTGCTATTTTCAAATATTTCACTGAATCTAATGTTTACAATTCCAGTGTCTTGGTTCAAACACTAAGCAGTTGTTCAACATTACAAGAAAAAACAAAGCCTCTTTCTGGGCTCTCACCCTCTTGCAGTCCTTTTTTCCCCCCTAGGACAGCCACAGATCGACCAAGAAATTCTACTTCCATTTAGATTGAATATAAAATACAGTTAATTTCACTCCTATAGATTAAGTATCTGTAGTGAAAACTAGCCCGCTTCATAAATGTTCATTTTTTCCCATTTTTTTGCGATTAACCAATTTATCTGCATTCAGATAATAAATTCTAAATTTCTTCTTAGAAATACACAAAAGAACATAGGGAAACACAGAGAGGGGAGACTAGGCTTGTTCTCACGGTGTTAAATGCTAAAAGTACCAAGTACAAGTAGTCCTCTACTTACAAGTTCATTTAGTGATTGTTCAAAGTTATAACTCTGAAAAAAGTGACACATGACTGTTTTTTACAGAACTATTGCAGCATCCACACGATCATGTGAACAAAATTTAGAGGTTTGACAACTGACTCATATTTATGACAGCTGTACTGTCCTGCAGTCATGTGATCACCTTTGGGGAACTTCTGGCAAGCAAAGTCAATGGGGAAGCCAGATTCATTTAACAACTGTGTTACTAAAGCTGCAGTGATTCCTTTAACAACTGGGGCAAAATTCACTTAACAAATGTTTTGCTTAGCAACAGAAATTTTGGGTTCAATTGTAATTGTAAGTCAAGGACAACCTTCACAGACAATTGCTGGTTAAACTCCTTAAAATACTTCACATTTTTAAACCAATCTGTTGATGAAGCAGTGATCAGCTCTGAAAAATCTGCTAAGTGTAAAATTCTTAGTCTGAAAACCAACCCTCCCTCATATCTTATTAATATTATGAATGAATGCAAAATTGTAAGAAAAGCACATGTAGTATATCCAGAAATTTAGGGAAAATATTTTGTAACAACAAACACATTGAGACTTTAGAAAGAGTGGAAAGAGCAACAAAGAAGATTAGAGGACTAGAGGATAAAATATACAATTAACGTTTGCAGGAACTGGGTATTTCTAGTCTAACAAAGAGAAGGATTAGAGGTGTCTTGATAGCAGTCTTCCAATATATGAGGGGCTCCAAAGAGAAGAGGGGGTCAACCTATTCACCATAGCACCTGAAGGCAGGACAAGAAGTAAGAAATGGAAACTTATCAAAGAGAGATCCAACCTAAAACTAAGGAGAAATTTCCTGGCAGTGAAAACAATTAATTAGTGGTACGGCTTGCCTCCAGAAGTTGTGGGTGCTCCTTCACTGGAGGTTTTTAAGAAGATATTAGACAGCCATTTCTTCAGAATGGTATAGGACAGGGGTAGGCAACCTTGGCTCTTTTATGACTCGTGGACTTCAACTCCCAGAATTCCTGAGCCAGCGGAGTTGAAGTCCACGAGTCATAAAAGAGCCAAGGTTGCCTACCCCTGATATAGGGTCTCCTGCTTGAGTAGAGGGTTGGATTAAATCTTCAAGGTCTCTTCCAGCTGTTACTATTTACATATTACATCTTTCAAAATTCAAAAGTTGCATTTGATGCTAATGAATCCAATAAAATTCTTTTTAAAATTAATATAAAAATCTTAATAAGCTACACCAGTGGTGGCGAACCTATGGCACTTATGCCAGAGGCGGCACTCAGAGCCCTCTCTGTGGGCACGCGTGTCGTGCCCCAGAGATGGCGAGGAACTGGCCCCTGCCGGCCTGGCCCTGCCCACCCAGTCTGCCATGACCACTTCAGCCACGCCCATCTGGCACCCGATGATAAATAAGTGGGTTTTGGTTTGGGCACTGGGTCTCTAAAAGGTTCGCCATCACTGAGCTATACCATAATTTGTTATTTCACTCCAGCTATTGTTGCAAACCACAATTTATGGTTTAATAAACTCACTGATATTTGTGATAAGAGTAAAGAGAATGAAGCTGAATCCAAATAAACATTTATATGGAACCTCCCAAAAGAAGACTATGTTAAATGGGATGGTGCCAGGCATGAGAAACAGGGAAGGAAAAGACTTTAAAAGTAGTTCATTCTATTCAGTCAGCTTCCCCAATGCACTGGCAATGAACTAGCACAGAAAGGGGAAAAAAAATCAATCACCTTCCATTTGTTCCTTTCTATAGTTAAACCAGATAAAAGCCAACATATTTTATTTCTTGAACTGTATTTTCAAAGAAAAAGCACATCTGAAATATTTATGCAAAATCAAAACAGCATATATACAAGCAGAAAGACAATAGCCAGCCATATTAAAATATTACATTTTATAAACACCAATAATTTCAAAAAAATAGATTTATGCAACTTTATTTATATATACATATTACTTAACTTAAATATACCAAATTACAAGAAGAATCAAACACACAAACATGCACAATTCTTAGTGGGCTCATTAAAAAAACTGAACATGCCACACAGCACTATCCGATTCTATTCAAATCTGGACTTTTCTATTGGTAAAACAAAAAATAGTGACATATCATCTATTCTAATTCAACAGAATACTGTTCCACTAAAATATATATAAGACACTTGGATTGATGAACGGAATTTGAAGTCTACCATTCTAGAACATTTTACACCTAATTTTGGAAAAAAGAAAGGAATACACCTAGTACAGCTTTGAACATACCAAATTGATATCTCAACAGCTTACATTTATTCCATAAAAGTAAATCATTTTTCTCTGAAGTATTTGTATATTCGGAATAGGGGAACCAGAAAATTATGCATTAAAATCTTCAAACACAAAACTGAATGACCTTGTATCAGTCACAGATTGAATCTGCATTTTGTACTAAATCACATTCTTTATAATTTAATTTCCACAATTATGCCAGAATCTCTGCATGTCACTTAGGCCTTATTTGCATTTACTTCAAAGCACATCTGTTCAGGTTGACTTTCAGCAGTCTAGAACAAAATGGTTTGTGGAATGTTATTACATTAGAATAAGGACAAAACTGCCAAAGAGCCAATTGTGTTAATGATTTCTATCATATATCATTCAGAGCAGTAATTTTAAAGGAACCACTAATATTACAAGATCATAGTAATAGTAACAGGGCTCGTAAAATATTTTAATAAGTTTGAAATATAGATTTTACTTTTTTCTACCCACTTGGATACATTTAATGGTCATCTGGAGTTTTGCAGTCCAGATTCAGTACCCTATTAGACTTTGGTTCATGTTTGCAGGCTTTTCAACCAGTCATCCTAGATAAGTCACCTGCTCCCAAAGACAGCTGTGGACTGCCTCTCCAGGTTACTGTTTCCTCCCCGCTTTATGGTTGCACTCGCAGGACACATTTTACCTATGTATAACTTGATCACAGCTTAGGGATTTCCTATGTTGACATGATACGATGAATGCTAAACTAGTTAAGTGTGAATTGTGCTTTAGACTGGAAGCCCCCCTTATTGTGGCTCAGAGCCCCCTGCAGCTCTACCTTAAGCAGCGCAGAGCTCTGGCCCGCTTTACCAGAGGTAAGGTTCCCAAGCACGGCTAACCTGCCACACGCGGCTGAGTCAACAAAGGGGGCGCTTGGCGGGGAAAGAACAGCGGGAAAACCAACGGAAGAAAATCCGAAGGCCCAAAGGGGCAGAAGCGCGCGTTCGAGACCCAGGGGCCGCCCAGCGTACGATAGGCACGTACCCTCCCCGAAGGCCACGGGGATGCCATCCTCTTGCGCAGCCCGGGGTTGGCAGCGGGGACGCAGACGCCGCTCCTCGCTCCACACACGGCGGCGCCTCGAAAAGCGAGCTCCGCGTGTAGCGCGAGGAACCTCTCCCTGACACGCGAGGCGCCGCGCGCTCCCGCCCGTTCCCGCCCCTCCCCCTCAAGGGCTTCGAGACGACGCTCATGGCCGACGGGAAAACGGGTGTTAATTTTCTCAGCTGGCAGCCTTTAGACAGCAGGAGGTATGCGAGACACGCGGAAAGTTGCGCGCGATTCGCTCCTCAGTGGAAAGCAGAATAAAGTTCTCTCCCTCCCTCCCGTTCCCTCCTTTCCCCCCCCCACACACATAGGCCCGGTGCCCCCCCTCCGACTCCGCTGTTACCGTGCGATCGCGAGTGGGACGATGTAACCCCCTCCCCCTTCCTGCTATATTCACAGCCAAATCGTGTTACCCGATGGAGAGAACGTGCGCACGCACCCATGTGACGTCGTCGGCGCGCCTGAAGGGGCGCAGGCGCGGTGCTAGCCCGCGCGACACCTCCTCTTCGCCTGCAGCTTGTCACGTGCTCTTGGTGGCTCTCGTCTTCCTTTTTTCCAGTCTCTTCCCTCCTCTCTGTCTCTCTAGACCCCCCTGCTGTTTTCCCTCGTTTTTCGTGCTTACCGGTTTCGCTTACTTGGGGACAGTTCGCGGCTGGGGAAAGGCTAGACCGTTGCGCAATCGGGATTTCTCCGGCCGCCACCAAATAAAGGGACTCGCCCTTACAAAGGAAGGGCGAGAATATGGGAGGAGCCCGTTTGACATTTCTCGTGCTTAAAGCACCTCGTTGCTGTTTTGCTTCCCTCTTTCGCATTTACTCGAAGCACTCGAGCGCGCCGAAATTTCTCTCGCAATGCACTTCCGGCTCCGGGCTCTGGGTTTGTGGTTACGCTCCGGGGGCAGTTAAGCGTTCCCGCAACGTCGTGGGAAAGCGTGTAAGACGGTTTATTCTTCACAGAGGGGGGAAAGGACGGAAGAAAGCCTCGACAGTATCACACCAGTCTTGTCCCGTTTCCAGACTGGGTCTCCGTCCTTTGCACCTCCTCCTCCTTTTGTTGCGGAGAGACTCGAGCAAACAACAACAACAACAACCCCCCCCCACAAAAACTAAACCATCTCCCTTCGCACGTCTGTAAGTGCCGGCTCCTTTTCAATCCACCAAAGTAAGGGCGTTCATCGGCCCTCGATTCCCGGGTAGTAGGCATATGATGCCTGGCCCAAGGACAGCCCTTTTTCGAGGCCTCCTGTGAGCTCTTTTCTAACCTAAGACTTTTGTTTTCACTTCCTTAAAAAAGTGAAATGTAATCAGTACTACATTTTCCTTGTTGGTCTATATAACTCGCATTTCAGCGATGGAAATTACAAAATGAAGTAAATGATTCAAATTTAACTCCTTTAATTGTACAATGAAAGATTAAAACAGTGACCCTGCTTGCGGATGGTTTAAAGCCATGGTTTAACAGTGGTTTATTGAATAAGCCACTATTCAAGGTCACATTGATGAGCTATTAACCATAGTTTGTTGAATAAGTCAAGACATAGTCTGTTTCAATCAGCTTATGTGGCCAAATATGCTTAGTTGTTGGAATCTTGGCCATACAATAATTCTTTTATAGTTCTTGGTCACTATATGATGGCTTTCTACTCTTTTGGCCAGATTAGTAGTATATTTTATATCAAATCACTGGCAACTAATCATAAATTATTTTATTTCGAGAGAAGGATCAATGCTGGATCTTCACTGTTACCTTTATGCCTATTGCTTATTGAATATTATCTTGTGATAGGTTGGCATATAAGCTGGGTCAAAATGGGTTAACATGAGTTTATTTTCTCATCCATCTTTCGGCACAAAATAGTAGGGAAGAGCATTTTTGTAACATTGAGGTTGCTGCAACTGTTTTGTTTATGTGTATACATATAGTCAAACAAAGGAGCTGTCTCCAGTGTCTTCAGTTACAATGTAGCCATTTTTAAAAATCAAACTGATAGTTCAGTTGCCAAGCTTTAACCAGGAGATTGTGATTTCTAGTCCCACTTTAGGCATGAAAGCTGGCTGGGTGACTTTGAGCTTGTCACTCTCTTTCAGCCCTACTCCCCTTACAGGGTGGTTATGAGAAATATAGGAAGAGAAAAGAGAATTAAGTGTGTTGGGCTGCCTTGAGTTATTTATAAAAATAATAAAGATGTGATATTTTTTTAAAGAATTTTAAATCTAAATAGGAGTAGGCAGACACAAAAAAATGGCTTCTCTGTTTAGCTGGGGCTTCTTCAATTTTCTAGTTCAGGGTAAGTATGAGAATAGTATCTGGTACAATAAGGTATGTTGTAGGAACATATCTTTTGACATTCCATTTATAAGAATATAGATTCTGACATTTTTTCTTTTCAACTTCAACTTCACATGCTCTGCTGTGCAAAAATGTGATTGGCTTATTTGTAACAGCATGTTCTACGAACCCAGCCATAGAATCAGCATAAATAACTTGAGGGGTCCTTGGTGCTCTCTGGACCCCTCATTTTAATCCTGAGCTACACATATTGTTTTTTATTGATATCATAAAAAACTTATTGGACTTTGGGCTATCGGGACAAAACAATTTTCTTGTCTTTATTTCCTTTTTTAAAAAAAGATAATCTCAACAATCTACAGCTTGTGTTGGTAATTGGAACAATTTTCAAAACTGAAATTGTGTGATAATTGGAACAATCCTTGGAGTTGCCTTTTTTGGCAATGGAATGAGCACTGATAATTTCCAATCCTAAAACACAAGGCTTGTGATTTTTCTGTGGCTTTGCATATTTTTTTATTTAATTTGACACCCAATTCACTGTCAGACTACTCTGGATGGCTTACAACAGTGATGGCGAACCTTTTAGAGACCGAGTGCCCAAAACCTGCTCCCCCACCCCCATCCCCACTCCCCCCTGCCAATTGGGTCACTCACCACCTCCACGGCCTGCCACAGATCACCCAGGCAGCCCAGCAGTGCTATAGCGGCCACGCCCTCTGCCCATGCCCCACAACATCATCTGCGTGCGACGGGGCGCAAGGCGGAGTTTTGTCCCCGGCTACCATGTCCTTGGTTGCGCTGCTTTGTGTGGGCCGCGCCCAGGGGCGACTCTCCTCTAGGGGGGTTGCTGGTGAGGAGGGGGCCGTGGGAGGAGGCGGGGCTGGGGAGACGGTGCGTGTGCCCACAAAGAGGGCTCCAAGTGCTGCCTCTGGCACCCGTGCCATAGGTTTGCCACTGGCTTACAACATTAAGATAAAAGTGTGTGTGTGTGTAAAATCACAAAATTATATAAATTCTTGTATATGTTCAACAGCTGTTTCAATTATGATCATTTGAATTTCTTGTCAGCGTACATCAAACAATGCCTATTTTTCATCTCAGTTGCACACTTGGAAGGAATTTTGGTGATGTCAAACTTCTTTGGTGGTACTGTCTTTCTGATGTTGCGTAATTTGATCTTAGCCACCAACAATTCACGATCTGAACTGAAATCAGCACCCAGATATTTCTTGCCAGCGAGGGCTGAACTGGACCATTGATGGTTGCATAGGATATAATCTGATTACGGTGCACTTTATTTGGTGAGGTCCAAGTGTATAAGCAACACTTTACTGTTTGAATCAAGTATTCATAATTCAAAATCAATTTTTATGGCAAAATTAAACCAAATAATTGCCTGCACTGTTCTTCTCTCCAAATCCAAAACTGCAAGTGATGCCTCTTTCTGCCTGGCTGCCAGCTTTTGCATTGAAATCACACAGTATGTAAACAATGTCTTGTTTGGAGATTTGCTTCAGAGGGTTTTTTTATGCTGGCATAGAAACCCTGGATTTCAAGCTCTGCTGCATCAGTAATTGGGGCATAGACTTGGACAACTGTGATTTTGAGGAGATTGGCTCATATTCAGATGACCATAATGTGATTATTAACCATCAAGAAACTTTCCACTGCTTGGGCAAATTTCTTGCTTTTGATAAATGCCCCTCTATTTGTTTTCCTGGTGTCATGTAATAAATAGTGGATTGGGTCATGTAATAAATAGTGAATTCCTCAAATTGAAGATATCCATTTTCTATCCAGTATATCAGTGGTGCCAAGGAGATTAATTGTCAAACTGACCATCTCCTATTTGATGATATCCAATTTACCCTGCTCATTTATCAGACATTCCACATTGCTATCCAATCTGTCTTTGCGTAGCACAGATTCTTGCTTTCACCAATGGCTGCATTAGCATTCAGGACTGCTGGATTTGGCCCAGGTAAGCCACTAATGTTTGACTACTCACTGGAGATCCTTGTGTTTCCCCAGTAGCTTCTTGGGTTCTTTTGGGCCCAGGGGGTCCTATTGTTGGGCACCATACCTGATTTATTTGAGACGCTTCCCATAAAATTTTCTTGGCAAGGTTTTTACAAGGTAGTTTGCCAGGTTTTACCTCAATCCTCCCCATTTGTCTGGGCTTAAGACCAGCATACAAGTTTATTAATGTGTTTAGAAAAATGGAAATAGTAAAGTCTTCACACAATTATGGCATTCTGTAACAAATTTCTTTTTGCTAAGTTTCAAACGGTTTTCCCATCCTCTTTCTTTATTTCTTCTTTCTTTTTATTAAACTTCTGCACTATACTTCCTTTTCCTTGATAATTATCAAATGCACAAATGCTCTCTATATCACAAGAGAATAATCCAACATTTGGCAGCTATATTCCAAAGAAAGAATTATATCAAGGGTAGTATGTAGCCTGGGAGCTTAAGCTGGTAAGGCAATCTATGAAGAGTTGAGAACAGACATTGAAAAAAACCTGATAAAAATTGATTTTAGGCAATAGTATTTTCAGTTTTCAAAATATGTCATAGTTTAATTTAGGAGGTTCTTTAAGCAATGTAAGATGCATCGAGAGCGTTTATTGAGAGCTATGCCTTGCCTTCAGCAAACTGAAACAGAATGTTCTTTCTCAACCATCACTATAGCAATTTGCCAGACAGCCAACACTTCTTTCGATTCCCAACTACTCTTCCTCATAGCTGTGCAAATGCAATTTCCTCCAGTTTGAGGGTCAACACAAAAATATCACAGCAGACTTTTTTTCATCATTGTTGAGGCAGAATAGTGCCCTATTCTGAAATCTGAACTACCTCAGCATTGAGACTGGGGAATTGTTACCCTCACCAATTTAAAGTGGGACTATTTAAGGAAAGGGCTTATGCATGCAGAGAGTAAAGCTATCACCTTTCAGTTCTTCGGATTAGACACTTCCCTTCCAGTAAAACAAATAATGTTCTCTTGCTTTACTAAGTAGTACCAACCCTCAATCCCGGCCAGCATTTTTATTTTTTATTTTGTTTATATCCTGCTTTTATTGTCTTTATAAATAACTCAAGGCAGCAAACATATCTGACACGGCTTCCTCCTCCTATTTTTCCACAACAACCTTGTGAGGTGGGTTGGGCTGAGAGAAAGTGACTGGCTCAAGTTCACCCAGCTAGCTTTCATGGCTAAGGCGAGACTTGAACTCACGGTCTCTTGCTTTCTAGCCTGCTTTAACCACTAGATAATTTATTTGATGGCCATCTTGCAGTTCAGTCAATTCTGAGCGGCTTATATCAAGATAAAACATTCAACAATTTTTTAAAAATCCCTTTTTACGATCCTGTAATCCCTTAATTTGGGGTAGAATCAGGGCCGACTGGATGGTGCTGAGTGTTTACTGGCTGGATGTCCTTCCTGACATCATGTGGAGTTCACAGCAGTTATTTTTTCTTTGCCCTCTAGGAGAGAAACAACTGCTGCTATCTAGGATTGAACTCTCAACATTCTGAGTGGGAGGTGAGTATCTTCACCACCACACCATTCAAAACAAACATTCAATGATTATAAATATAAAAATGGATTACAATGACAAAAATTTTAAAAGCCAACAGCTTCTCCTTCAGGACCCCGTGCCAGCCAGCATTGCCAGTTTTAGGCCTATCCTGAAGGCTAAAAAATAGGGGGCAGATCTTATTCTCTGTGGCAAGATGTTTCCAAGGGCGGGAGCCATGCTAGAAAAGGGTCTTCTGGATTCTATCAGCCAAAATCTTCAAGATATGTAATTGTCCCGAAGGTATTAGATGTGTCCTCCTATGTGAATTTGCTTGGGCATTTACTTTATTCTGCTTAGTTTTCCAGTGTGATTAAGAGTATTAATTTTACCCTTTATATCTGTTTGTTTTTCTCTACCTAATAATTTTGGAGTTGGAAATTTGTGAGTTGTTTGTAAATTTCCTTAGGGGACTTTACTGGATTAGAAGACAATTTAATAATAATCTGAATAAATAGAAGACCCACAGATAAAATCTAGTCTAGAATACTGTGACACAGTTTGCACAAAGATTAATAAAATACGAAGTATATGTATTTTATAGCTTCCAAACATTGCCTTTCTAAAAGAGCAATGGCCTTCTTACAGATGCCGACTGGCAGTGATCACCATTCCCTCAATCTCTCAGAAGGGTGAATTTCGCACATTTTGAATGTACAATTTGGAAAATTTGGAAAAATCTCACTCTTCCGAGAGATTATGAGAATGGTATCCGCTTCCAAAATGGTCCCCACTTCCAGGATGGCATGAGGTGATTCTTAGGAAGGTCATGTACCTCATTAGTTGAGCACTCTTTCAGAAAAGCAATCTTTGGAAGAGGTAAGCAGAGCAAGACTGTTAGAGAATTTTAATTTCTCTATTGGTGAAAAATAAATCAGAAGCTCTCACAGTTGACTGCATTTAGCTGATTCAAATAATTTTATATTTATATAAAAATATTTACAATGCCATTCTTTTTTACAGCAACATAGCTTAATGAAGACGTCTTACAGAGACAGACCAGAGACAAAACTTTGAGACAAACCTTGAGACTGGAAATCCAGCTCCTAACTCAATACTCTTTTTTTTGCACAGACTCAGTAGCACTTTCTTCACATTGGCTGACTTAGTTACCACATGACTCTTCCTGTTCATGAATATTCCAGCAAAGATGTTCCAGGGTGGGGAGGAGGCCCAAAGCCTCTGGGACCCAGCAGGGCAGGATGGGAGGAAGGTAGGTGGGTAGGAGCAGTTGCCACATCCTATGGCTGGTCATTTGGGTGGGTGGATTGCCAAGCACTTGAATTTTCATCATGTGGCCATAGAGGTGCTGCAGCAGCTGTAACTTCGATGACATGTTGTATTCCCTTCCTATAGCACTGTTGTAATTTCAAGCAGCCGCTGAACAAATGGTCGTAAATGAAGGACTACTTGCCTGCAATTTTCAAAAAAAGGAATTAAATTATGCACCTTACATAATACAGAATTTGAAAATGCTGTGTGAACAATATGGATTACCAAGGAATAATAGCACTTTTATCAGCACAAGATCCCATTTCTGTAATAAATGAAACCCATATTTTGATGGTATTTTTAGAGCCTGCTCATTTCTGAGTTCTTCAGAACTCTTTGTCAGACTGATATGACATTGAAATCAGGGGAAGAAAGAAAAACAAAACTAGGTCAGATATTATGAACAAGGTCTGAAGTTTAGATTTTGTCTGAGGATGAAGAATGTAGATGAAATTAAGTCAGTCTGCTGAGCCACCTCCTTCTGCATTTTTATATAAAACAGCATGCAGGCATCAGTATGGACATAGAAGCCAGTTATTTGTGAGTTTGTCTCCACTTTTCTTTGTCCATCTCATTTATTAAGAAGCATCATCTTACAGGACCTAGGAGATATGCCTTCTTCATCACTGTAGCTGGAACATCAGTCCCCTGATGGGCTGCCTTTTAAAAAAATTGAATATGGCTCCCACCCACCCCAGTCTCTGGATCAAGAGATCATGTGAGCCCATTTTAAATGTTTAAATGTATGAATTGCCATCAGTGTGATGCTTTTGATTACTTTGGCAAATTGTTTGCCATTTTTAGTCTTCCGCTACCTGTTGTTGCACAAATGTATGAACGGTAGTAACAAATAATCACATAGGAGTGGTTTGCAATGCCTTCTGAGGTTTTTTGAGACATCCTAACACTACAATATTCCTCCCAATAGACCCCCTCATAACAACAGTCTCATCTCCTCTAGAAGTCTGGTTTGGCAAGTATGAGGACCTCGCTACTGGCATATGGCCTCACGTGCAATGGTGCCATGCCTATGATAATACAAGATAAAAGTTTGGGATTCATACATGTCCTTAAGCCTTAGAAGAATGTGCGGTACTGGGGTTCATTTGGAGTACAAATAGGAAACGTTTTTTGGTTTGGAGCTTGTCGCTACATGAAAATCAGTCTGGTATAGTGGTTAAAGCACCAGACTAGAAACAAAACTCTGAGTACTAGTTCCACCTTAGGCACAAAACCAGCTGGATAACCTTGGCCATTCACTCACACACAGCCCTAGGAAGAAGAGAAGGGTAAACTGCTTCTGAAATCCTGCCCAGGAAAATTCAGGGAGTGTCCAGGCATTCACCAGGAATCAACACTAACTCAAAGAGACACACAGACACAGACACAGAGTACATGATGTATCTTGATGTACTACTGGACTTCATAAAGCTTTCCTATAATGCAGAGATTTCAGTGGAAGGCTAAAGATAACTTTTCACTTGGCTTTAAGGTTTGGGGGAGGTAAAGGGTAAAAACAGTTGTTTTGTCTCTTGGGACCTTTATTTCCAGGCTTAAAAGGCTTTTTATTTCAAGTAAGAGTTATGGCAACCAAAATTAGCCTTTTGTCATATTTGAGAAGCACCATATCAGGATACTGCTAGGAAAAGTGTTGGGGATCTCCTGCACATTACTGTAGTATAGTTTGCAAATGTAACCATTGAGGTTTGCAAACCATGGTTTACATTTAGCACATTGTTTGAATCCTAGCATATTATTAATGTATTAAGAGTAAGGTTGTATAATTTCATCCTATGCTCCAATTTTGCCTATTCAGTCTTGCAAAAAAAGGTGATCATTTGTTTCAATGCATTTTATCTTATTATTCCATCGATTCCATGCATCAGTGTAATCAATTCTACTCTGGTCTTTTAAAAAGCAACCAAAGTGAAATGAGTAAAAGACGAATTGAAGCTTCTGAATGTTGGTGTTGGAGCAGAGTCATGAGGATACTATGGACAGGTAAGAAAGCAAATGTTTCATCAAACAAATCAATCCAGAGTTTTTACTTGAGGTATAAATTATCAGGCTTCAGTTATTCTACTTTGGGCACATAATGCAAATATCTAGCTTTTGGGAGAAGGGCCTAATACTGAAAGGAAAAAGAAGAGGATGATTATTAGATATATCAGGGGTCTTCAAACTTGGCCCTGTTATGACTTGTGGACTTCAACTCCCAGAATTCCTCAGCCAGGCATACTGGCTGAGGAATTCTGGGAGCTGAAGTCCACAAGCCACAAAAGGGCCAAATTTGAAGACCCCTGAGATAGATGGACAGTGGTATTGGGTGCACTGTAGGAAGACCAAATTGAGAGCAGTTCCTCCTGGAGAATATGTATGTGGTTGTTAAGAGTTGACAGCAACTTAACAGCATATAACCAGTCAATTAATACGACACAGTATATATTTTATTTTTTTAAAAAAATCATAAAAACTAGATACATGCTTCAGAAAATTAGATTTTATATGTACATTTAGTGTTCTTGCCAAATGGCTGCTGCAGAAACAATCTGTAATCCCACAGGCATTTATTTGGGAGTAAATCGAATTGAATTCACTGTGACTGAATTCCTACACCTACAACAAAGCACTAAGTGTTAAAGGGGGAAAAAATCTCTGGACATCTTTCTCTCTACTCCATTCTATCATCAGTCTAACCATTCTCCAATTTCATCCCAATTCTTTCCCCCGGATTCTGCGATCATATTTTTTTTTATGTACACAGTTTTAACCCCCTCCCTTAAAAAAAATCAGAACCTGTTCATTGTGCATGATTTTTAGTTTTCTGCTATTGAAAAATACACAATGAAAAACATTCAGATCTTAGTATGTTGGTACAGTATAATGGGGCCATATTGATGCTCACTACAATGTCTTACATCACATAGTATGGAAGCCAGGATATGGCTGTGCAGTAGTCTTCTATGTTTCTTTTAAACAAGCTTAATAGAAGGGAAGTGCTTTGCCAACGTCCACTTCACAGCCAACAGGATCCATGAGAGCATGCTTATATTTGGTTTAATTCAATCAAGTACGTACCCATGAACTATTGCAGAACATTTATTTATTGTTGAGACTTAGATGAAAATATGGTATTTGAAACTGGGCTACATAGCTTATTTGATCCCAACTCTTTCACTTCAAGCCAGAACATGAAATATAGAATTCCTTAACATCACTGACAGGACTATTGTTCATAATATATCATTAGCATGCCCCCTCTTTTACCATGCACCACATTAATGACTTGCTTTTGGTATTGCATTGTGACGATGTGAAGTTTCTATTCCATTGTGTACTAGATTGGGGAGAAAGGTCCCTATAGTGAATGAATGTGGTTGAATAAGGCATAGGAGCAATTTGCTGTGCTCCCAAACACATACACACAACTTTTGTTCAGATGTGGAAGGCTTTTGGACAACAATCATCCTTGTTATTGCCCTTTCTGGCCAGGATGGATTGTGTTTCCCTGCTTTTATGTAAAAAAAAGCCACAAAATATGCAAACAAGGCAGACAAGGAAATAAACATTATAATATAGTTCATAGTGGTTGTTAAGGAATCTGGTGATAGAATTTAAGAAAATGTTTCCATAGGACAGATAGAAATAGAAAAAGGCCAAATACTGTTTCTGCCTTTTAATAAATTGTTTCTCTCCCAATTGTCTGGTGGGACCATTTTTACTATCCTCCAAATGTAGCATAATTAACTAATAGAAATAGTATTTAGACTTATATACCACTGCATAGTGCTTTACAGCAGGGGTCCTCAGCCCCCATAGGAACTGGCTATGCAAGTGAACAAACGTTCATCTGCACGTGTGCAGGATATAGGAAACGTATGAAACCACGTACCCTCTCCCCAGTCTGTGAGAAATTTTTTTTCCACGGAACCTTCCCTTGGTGCCCAAAGGTTTGGGGTCCACTGCTTTACAACTCTCTTGAGCGGTTTACAATATCAGCATATTGCCCTCCACAATTGGGTCCTCATTTTCCTGACCTTGAAAGGATGGAAGGCTGAGTTAACCTTGAGCCGGTCAGGATTGAACTCCTGGAAATAGGCAGAGTTATCCTGCAATACTGTATCCTAACCTCTGTCCCACCACAGATCAGTAAGACCAAACCATTGTCTTATCTGTAGAGACTCCGGTGGATTCTATTTCTTAGCTATGTGGAAAGGTGATAACGGAGGAGCCTTCTCCAACTCACAACTCTTCAGATATTATAGAATGCGATTTCTTCTATCAGCACACTTCAGTGTCTTGTGATGGAATTTAACATTCACATTTAACGTTTATCTGGAGAGCTGGGGTAGAAAAAGGCAGAGATGGAATAGCAGAGATGGAATAGCACAGATAAATTATTTACTTTGTAAAGTATTGCCACCTGACTATGCCTCTTAATTCTTGGAGGCATATCATGTTTAAGCATCCTATTTTTGTGGAGAAAAAAGATTGAAAAAAATAATTAAAAGGTAAATTAATAGGTACAAAGAACTTTGTCAAGGTCCCTCCTGAGGATTTCTTTGATGGCTGGAATTACAGAAATTTTAGATTACTAATTTTCTACAACTGAGAAGAAGAAACATTTTTGGTGAACACCATTAATGAAGAGAGTTTTAAGCCTTTTTACATTTTTAAATCAGTGAGCACATTTAGCATTTTAAAAGAATATTATAGGCTTTCCCGCCAAATGGCTGCCAAGATAAATGAGATTAGTCACAAAACTTCTTTTACTAGAAGGAAAATGAAATCCCAAATTGCAGCCACTGATCATTTTAATTTCCCAAAATACCATCAGAGCCTATGAGAGTCCAGTGATATTGTTGGAAATTTAACCCTGATGCTGTGTTTGAAACATGCTAGCTTCCCAATCATTGTTGCTTACTAAAAGAATGTAAATAAATACAATCAGGTAAGGTATATTAGCAGATGTTAAGAAATGTACTGGTAGGCACATTGCTGCTTTTGGACATCACATTAGGGACCCAAGCCACAAGGCTTACACTGTATTTGAAATAGCTAGAAGAACAAATGTATTCATTGCCATCCCATTTGAAAGCACACGATATGGTACTTTCCTATTGTGATTAATCATTCAAGTTGAACTGAGAAATCACAGATTAAAAATGGAAACTTTTTTCTGGAATGTTGCTGAATTAGGTAGCTGTATCAGAAGTCAAGACTTGAAGGCACAAAATAATGCAGTGGAACTTAATTTTTACAGAAACGCTGAAAAAGCATTTAAGAAAACCTTTAATTTTACAAGCCAGTGATTCTCAGGCTTTCAAACTGAAAACAACTCTTTCTTTGTATTAGGAAGAGAAAGTTTTCCACTAATGTCAGTCGATCATTTATTTAATTGCGCTAATATTTATTAAGAAAAGAAAAGATGGCAGGATAGATGCATAAAATTAATAGGTTTTTAAAGAATTTGCCTCCTTCTATTGTTTTAGACATTGTGTGTGTTTTTGTAGCAATAAAATGATATTGCTTATACTTATAAGCTATATATACTTATAACCCATATGAAACCCCTCAGCACTTTGTTTTTCATTTTGGGGGAAGTCTAGCTCCCTCCAAATTCCCAAGAAATACATATGGAAATCAAGGCTAATATTTCAGCCACATCATTGTAGTAACTAGACAGGAAATGGAAGTGAAGTTATATGCCAGAAAGTGTGCCCACTGAAATAGAATTTTGCAGTTTATAATGCCTGTTCATAAGTAAATCCCACTGAATTTGTGAGATTACTGTCAGGTAAATGGGTCCAAGATTGTAATCTTAATGCAAAATTATTCCAATGCAGGTGTTTTTATTAGTTTTGAATTATTCCCATAAATTCTAACACTCTGTACATGGTCAGTTTTGTTATAAACGGGGAAAAATCTGTATGATTCAAATCAGAAAGTAGAAAAAAAAGTAGGCAAATAAGAACCTGTGGGGAAAGATGGAAATCAGAATACCCTTGCTCAATCTCCTTATCTTGCCAGGAGTGCTTTCCTCTGCCAACTAAACACCACTCTGAGAAAAAGCCCAGTGTTTCTTCATTGTAGAGAAGCAGCAATATAGAACCCAGTTCGAGCACCACTGAGGTAGCTACTGCTAAATTAGGCTCTTTGTTTCTCATGCTCTGAAAGATAGTATCCGTTGTTTGGAGTATGTGGCACATGCCTCTTCTCCCATATCTGTTAAGGGAAAAAAAAAACACCCTTCACCCCAAAATATGCAGAGTACTTAACCCCAATTCTCAGGGATAATACTGTGACTCAGCCGGCTATCCAGAGGCCACTCCCACTGCATTTCCCAGACAATTGCAGGGTTTCCTTCGGAAGGCCAGGAGGTGATTCTATCAATTTGAGATGTTAGCTCCAAAACAGCTGTCAGAAGCCACAGATGCAGCTGACGTTAATTATTACAACTTCTGTTGGTTAAAAGCAGCTTCCAACTGTCTCTGTTTGGTGACACCATAAGATGATACAATAAGATACACACATCTTATTGGAGGAAAAAGTAAAGTCTAATTTTTTTTGTTTGGGTTAACATAGTTTTGCTCCCATCTCCAGATCGTAAAGGAGGCTCTGAGCTTCTCCATCAGATAAATCCAGATGTCTTTCACTTTCTGCATCATTTCCAAGGCACAACGGGTTCATGATATAACGGTAGTTACTAGTCACAGCCGCAATTGTTCCTGTTTCCCCATTCAAGGTTCCAAAGGGACAATTCATGGCGACTTCGCTCCTGCAAGCTTCTTGGGATCTCCCAACATTGACATAAAGAGGGTCCTGACTGTTTGAAAGCAACGACAGTCTTGCCAAAATCATTTCAAGCTGCAGTTTCAGAGCTCCAAAGCTTGGACGTAGCCTGGGTTCCGAATGCCAGCATCTGCCCATGAGATCGTAGCTGCAAGGCAAGCCAGAGGACAGAGTGCTGAGACAAAACAAGGAGAGCCATCTGCAAGTCCCTTCCCTCTTGAAAAATGGCTACTGATAATGAGCTCCATCCTAGGGGTAGGTACGGAGGCTAATGAATAGTAGAAATACCTATTCTGTTCACTGGATGATTTCTCAAGATACTTAAAACTGAACGTACGTCATTAATATTTTTGCACCTTTAATCTTCATTTACATTATAATTCCATCATTGCTGAACTGCTACTGTATTTAAATTATCTGCTCTGTGTGTTTATTAAGCAGAAATCTATTTTTTGGGAATGCAGTATTTTTTTTTTCTTCCTAGCATTTTCCCAAGCGCAAGATCCGCTTTTTTTTTCAAATTAATCGAGTGCTGTATATAAATATGACTGTGAAACAATCACAGTTACTAAACCATAGCTGGAATTATCTATGGCAATAATAAATGAATATTGAAATAATGCAATGAGGACCACCTGCAATCTATATAGTTTTCAAATTGTTATTTTTGATTCCTGGAATCCTTTTGAACTAAGATAGTGAATTTCGTTGTAAATTTGTGAATTTTGGTTGTTTGGGAAATATATTGCAATGCTATATTAAATCCTAGAATAGGATTATCCTGTTTTAAAATTTCCAGAACTGGGAACTTTCAAAACTGAGAACAAAGGAAAATTTTAGTTCTATGTATGTATGAGGAAATAAAGACTTCTGGACACTAAAATGCTGAACATCTTTGACATACTGGAACTCATTCCCAGTAAACATCCATTATATATGCTCTAAAAGGAAATCAACCCTGGCTGTTCTTTGGAATGACAGATACAGAAGCTCAGAATCAAATACTTCGGCCAACAAATGAGAAGAGAGGAGTCAAAGGAAAAGCCCCCAATGTTGGGAAAGATTGAAGGTAAAAGGAGAAGGGGATGGCAGAGAATGAGATGGTTAGACAATGTGGCCATGGTTTGGGACTGTGGAGATGAGGGGGCATGGGTTTGGGACTGTGGAGATGGGGGGCCTGACATGCTCTAGTCCATGGGGCCACAGAGACATGACTTTGCGATTGTACAACAACACAACATATGTGCTGTGAATAGAGCATTTGTATGGTGGTATACCTCCATGTCTGTTTAGGTTATAAATACTTGTTTAAAATAATTTAGAAACATTTCCTTGAAGCACACCAGATTTTTTTTTCAAATTAAAAGTATGTGAATGCAATCACTCCTATAGGCATAGTGCATTGGTAGGTAGGTTTTCAAACAGTACTGAAATGCACTTGAGCACTTGTTCAAAACTTGACAATTTTTGCCAAGGCCTGGATAAGAAAATAAGCTGATAAGCCACTCACATGTCTTCAAGGCACTCTGGCGGCTGCTTCAGTCTGTTCCCACTGATGAGGTAGTTGTAAATTTCTGCATTTTCAATGCCTGCATACGGAGTTTGCCCTCGGGTCACAATTTCCCACATAGTCACACCAAATGCCCACTGAAATGGAATTGAAACAGGTGAGGAAGAAAAGGAGTTACATATACAGAAAAAAACAAGCATTTTCAACTGTGTCTGGTAATCAGTAGTGTTTTGCATGAACAGGTTATTTTTTAAGAACTCTTCAGTATGCATACACACACACAGAGACATCTAAAATTTGGATTGCTAGCAAAGAATTAAGGGAGAATTAAGCTGAGTATATATATATATATATGTTTTCTGAGGTTTTCGCGGGTATTTGTAGGTAGGTCTTTGGTTGTTCGGGTTTTCTCCCACGTAAAATTGGAAGTGTCTTGGCGACGTTTCGACGAAGTCCCATTCGTCATCTTCAGGCTGGTGCTTTCAGCTTCGTGCCTCGAGCAGCAGTGTGTGGTCTTGGCTGTTTCTTCCTTTTAACTGCCAGTGGAGGTATGAACTGATTGGGTGGGAGCTTGGCTGTGTTCTGATTGGGTGGAGGTGTGTTCTGATTGGTTAGCTCTGATTGGCTGGGGGGTTGGCTGTGCTCTGATTGGCTGGGGGGTTGGCTGTGCTCTGATTGGCTGGGGGAGTGTTCTGTTTGGTTGTGCTCAGGTTAGTCTGAGTTGCAGAGGGATTCAAGATTTTGGGCTGCCCTGCCATTCCTTGGCTTCGCGTTCGTGGTCGTGCTTCCTCTTCATGGAGGGTGTCAGTTTGCTTCATGTATGGATTGGGGGGGTTTAAAGTGGCTAATGATGCAGCTGTGGTCTGGCTTCTGGTTTGTGGTCGTGCCTCATAGTCAGTGTGGCTTTGGGTTTGTTTTTTGCGTGGATGTTGGTGGTGACATCCTGTGTGGTTTTTGTGAGTGTGGGTCTGGTATCATTTTTTGTGTTAGGGAGTCGTTTGTCAATAAGGGCGGGTTTCCAAATGGCTGGTAGGCGGGAGGTATCATCTCGCTTGTTCATGCTGTGTGGGCGTTTTTCTATCTCGATGGCTTCTCTGATTATTCTGTTATTAAAATGTTCACTTTTGGCAATGGTTCTGGTATTTTTAAAGTCAATTTCATGTCCTGTGGCTTTAAGGTGTTGGACCAGGGAAGATGTTGGTTCCTCTTTTTTGACTGAGTTCTTATGTTCTTCAATGCGTGCACTTATTCTTCTGTTGGTTTGTCCGATGTATGTGGTGGGACAAGTGGTGCATGGGATTTCGTATACTCCTTGATTTTCTAATTCAATTTTATCTTTGGGGTTTCTAAGGATGGTGGATATTTTTCTGTTTGTGCAGAATGCTGTTTTGATGTTGTGTTTATGGAGGATCTTACTGATTCTGTCTGTGATGCCTTTTATGTATGGGAGGATGGCTTTGCCGTTTTCTTGTTCTTTGTCTTGGATTTTAGTGGGGGTTTCTTTTTGGATTAGGTTTGTAATCTTATTTCTATGGAATCCATTGGATGTTAGTACATTGGTGAGAGTGTGTAGTTCGGGTTTTAGGTGTTGTTCGTCAGCTAAGCGTTTTGTTCTGGAGATGAGTGTCTTGGCTACAGAGTTGATCTGTGCTGGGTGGTGGTGTGAGAGAGCGTGCAGATAGCGGTTTGTGTGTGTTTTCTTCTGGTAGATGGTGTGTCCTAGGGAGCCATTGGATTTCTTGTAGACTAAGACATCCAGGAAGGGAAGTTGGTTGTTAGCTTCTGTTTCCATGGTGAACTGTATTTTGGGGTGTAGGCTGTTGAGGTGTGTGAGGAAGTTGTCCAGTTTTTCTTTCCCATGTGGCCAGATTATGAAGGTGTCGTCTACGTATCTGAGCCAGAGTTTGGGTTTGTGATCCGATTTTTCTAGAGCTTGGGTTTCAAAGTGTTCCATGTAGAGGTTGGCAATGACAGGTGAGAGGGGTGATCCCATGGGTGCTCCTTCTGTTTGTTTGTATTTTTGTCCATTATAGATGAAGTATGTGTTGGATAGGCAGTGGTTGGTCAGATCTAAGATGTGTTTGGGGGGGTTATATTTGTTTTGGATAGCTGTCAAGGCTTCTTTGATAGGCACTTGGGTGAAGAGGGATATGACATCGAAGCTCACTAGTAGGTCGCTGGGCTGTAAGTTTTGTTTCTTTATGATCTCTATAAACTGGAATGAGTTTTTTACGTGTGAGGTGATGGATTCTGCATAGGGCTGTAGTTGTTTGGCGAGAAATTTGGCTAGGTTTTGTAGAGGTGAGCCTATGGAGCTGACTATAGGTCTGAGTGGGGTTCCTTCTTTGTGTATCTTGGGGAGACCATAGAGTTTGGGGCATCTGGATGATTTCTCTCTGGGAATGATTCTTTGCTGGATCTCTTCGCTAATGGGGGAGGCTTTTATTTTGGATCTGGTGGTTTTTTCCAGGTAGGTGGTGGGATCTGTATTTAGGGGTTTGTATGTGGAGTCTTGGAGTAGGTTGGTTAATTTGGTTTGGTAGTCAGATGTGTTCATAACCACCGTGGCGTTGCCACACACACCTCAACAGCCTACACCCCAAAATACAGTTCACCAGGAAGAAACAGCCAAGACCACACACTGCTGCTCGAGGCACGAAGCTGAAAGCACCAGCCTGAAGATGACGAATGGGACTTCATCAAAACGTTGCCAAGACACTTCCAATTTTACGTGGGAGAAAACCCGAACAACCAAAGACCTATATATATATATATGTATGTATGTATGTATGTATGTATATGTATATATGTATATGTATGTTTTCTGAGGTTTTCGCGGGTATTTGTATGTAGGTCTTTGGTTGTTCGGGTTTGCACTTCCAATTTTACGCGGGAGCAAACCCGAACAACCAAAGACCTATACACACACACACACACACACACACACACACACACACTCAGCTTACATGGACATGTACATAATAACCAAAGGAATACATGTGGAATAACAAAAGAGAGGCTGTACTTTCCTGTACAAACCACCTGGGTGATGGTTATACTTATGCTGACCATCAGAAGGCAGTATGTGGCAGTTTTCATTTTATTTGGAACAATGGAATTCACACTCCCTCCTGGGAACTGAATTCACAAAGACTTGTACTTTTAAGTGATTGTGTATTGTGCATTAGTTCTGAGAAACATCCAAGTCTTGATACTCATCACCATTTCAAGAAAGGACCTACAGAGACTTCAGATTAGGATATACAGTCCACCTTCCTGTTCATACGAACTCAGAGAAGTGTAGATGTTACATTCTAGGTAATTCTTGCTTTGCGGCCTCTTGTTCAGCGACTCATTGAAATTACGATGGAGATGAATGAATGTTTGGAACTCAAAGTTACAGCCATTGCAGCATTGCATTCCTGCAGTCACCTGCTCAAAATTTAGCTAAGTACACATCAGCAGGAGGAAGAAGACTGAACATCAGCTGGGGTTAGCAGAGGGCAGGGGGAGCAAAAGAGCAGAGATTGGGGAAACATAGAGGGGCAGAGAAAATTGAAGTGGAGGCAAGCATGGCAGGGCAGGAGACGTGTGAGGCCCTCCCTTAATGGCCACAACTGGAGTTGGTGTCGCTAAGTGGTACAGTCACGTGTTTCACATAATGACCGCTTCACTTAGAAATGTAATTCTGCTCCCAATTATGGATTTAAACCTGTATTTCCTGTCCTGCTTTTACAAGATTTTGCATGATCAATATGATACAATTCATCATCATATTTTATATATAGCACAGCATTTAAGCAAAGTGTAGATACAAGCTTGGAATGATATAATTGGCCATTATTATGTAATAAAGTAGAAGGACAACGTTACATAAAGAAAAGAGAAAGTAGAAAATCAGAAGTGATAAAATAGAAATCAGAAAAATGCAGAGCATTTGATAGGTATCAAGGGTCCTATATAGACAATAATAAATGCCATGTTAAAGATCTAAAATCTATTCTACCAATAAAACCTTTAATGTGCTGACTGGAGAGGATCCAGATCTCATTTCTGCCTATGTATTTCAAAGGAAGGTATGAATTAAGCTGCTATTTTCTTTAGGAATTATCTCTGTGATTGATTGTTTTGCAGACCAAGTGTTGCAGCTGCAGATTCAGGTCAAAAGCTAGCACATTCATTTTTCACGATCTGGTTCATGATTATATGGCAGAATAAATCTGGTTGGTTTGTACTCTGACCTGTATCAGCGCCTATAACAATTATGGTGCAAAGATCATCAAAAATAAACATGACTGTGATCACAGAATACCTAGCCAGCAAAATAGAATTATATATTTCTTCATCTCACTGATAATTATGAAAACAAAGCAAAAAAAAAAATCTCCACTCACCACATCACTATGAGTTGTATAGAGATTGTCCGCCAGGCTTTCCAATGCAAGCCACTTCACTGGCAGCTTTGAGGCAGAGCCCTGACGGTAATAATCTCCACTATAGATTTTCTTTGAAAGCCCAAAATCAGCAACACAGACATTCATGTTTTCATCCAGCCTATCACAAACCAAAAAAGAAGGGGTGGGGGGAAGATGTAGAAGAATGCACGTCAATTGAAAGAACACAGGAATAGTAGGTTTAGATTCTCTCCTTCAGACTAGAGCTCTTTCTTTGTGCCAACACAGCATGCTTGTCAGGAACAGATAGAGAGATAAAAGTTGCTCAGGCTGTTGCTGAGCCAAAGTCCTCAGGGTTTAATGGCTGCCTGCTAGTGCTCATGAGCCGAAGTTAACAACTGACTATGCTCTGTAGAGGGGGAAAGTAGGTGATTCACTTCATGTTGCTTTCCTCACACATTTATTTTCTACATTTGATATAATTACTCTTTGTGTATTTAATACTTTTCTATACCACAAAAGCTATGGCACTTTCCAGAGGGATTCTGGGGTTGGATCCTTGCCTTCAGGGAGCAGCATTATGCATTTCTCATACACAGTCTCAAAGAACTTGGTTATTCAATAATTATCTGTCTGCCAGCTTGCCTGCCTGCCTGCCCCCCCCCTCTCATCTATCTATCTATCTATCTATCTATCTATCTATCTATCTATCTATCTATCTATCTATCTAATTTGATTATTTTCCCACTTTTATTATTTTATAAATAATTCAAGGCAGCAAACATACATAATACTTCCTATTTTCCAACTCCTAAGGTCCAGCCCTGAATCAAGCGATATTCTTCCCTGGAACAGTCTGGTCTTTATCCAATGACTGGCTCAATTTGAAAGAAATACTAAATCGAAACCTTCATGTTAAGAATAGAACAAAGCTGGGAGCAAGCATGCATCTGTCGCCCTTCAAAGTCATCCAAACAAGAAACGCAAGTACTAATCTTATTGTAAGATTGCAATAATACAGTGGTTCTCAACCTTTCTAATGCCGCGACCCCATAATACAGTTCCCCATGTTGTGGTGACCCCCAACCACTTATACATCACCGGGTGCCAGGGGCATGGCCAAAGAAAAGGGGGAAAAATGGCGGACAGCCTTGTTTGGCGACCCCCGTGAAATGGTCGTTCAACCCCAAATGGGGTCCCAACCCACAGGTTGAGAACCACTGCAGTAATAGAATCTTGCGAGTCTGAAAGCACCTCTTCCCTCCCTTGCCTTTACTTTTCAGAGAAGAAGGAAGGGTTCCTTCTGAGATGCTTTCTCTAGCCCCACCCACCCACCCATTACTTCTGGGGGGGGGTGTTGAAATATCTCTTGTCTGGCAATTATCCTGGCTGTGGTTCCTCCTCCTCCTGTCTCCCAAGGTCACTCTCACATCCCATTACAATATCTTAACTACCAAAAGCCTGGCACAGAATTTCAGCTGGGCGGTGTTCCTAAATTCAATAAATCAGGATATACATTGTCATTGCTCCTCTAAGCAACTAGGCTAAAATGAATAGCCTTAAAGAATACAGATGACTTTTATCCAAAATTGCCTACCTTTCTTATTATTCTTTTGTTCGTTCTAACAACTAGAAAGGGAGAAAAGTACAAATACACATTCTCTGAAACAGTGCCAATTCCTCAGCTATCATATCAAAAATATTTCTTCAGTGCCTAATCATTCTTAATGTTTTTGCTGAAAAAGTATCAGAATCTAGAAGTCAAGGATTTATTTGATGCCGTTCGCTTTGATCACTTAGAACACCAAAGTGGATAGTACAGTAAGCCCCAACGTACAGCAGTTTGTTTAGTGACCATTCAAAGTTACAGCAGCGCTGGAAAAAGTGACTTATGGCCATTTTTCATACTTACGACCGTTGCAGCATCCCCATGGTCACATGATCAAAATTCAGATGCTCAAAAACTGACTCCTATGTATGAGGACTGCAGTGTCCCGGGGTTATGTGATCCCCTCTTGTGACCTTCTGACAAGCAAAGTCAATGGAGAAGCCAGATTCACTTAACAGCCCTGTTACTAACTTAACCATTGTAGTGATTCCCTTAACAACTGTGGAAAGAAAAGTCGTAAAATGGGACAAAATTCACTTAAATTGTCTCACTTAACAACAGAAATGTTGGGCTCAATTGTGGTCGTAAGTCGAGGACTACTTGTATTTTAGAATAAGATTTCAAGTATTTTATTTTAACCTCAGCCCCAGTCCTTCTCCAAACAAGTACAGTTAGGCCTTCCCAATCCACCGTCTCTAAATTTATTTTTTTTATAAACGCTTTAACTCTTCTAAAAGGGTGTTGTGGACTTACATGCAGTTCCGAGCAGCCAAATCCCTATGGATAAAGTTTTTGGAGCTCAGGTATTCCATGCCACTAGCAATGTGAATCATAAACTTTAAGAGGGTCTGAAGTGGCAAACTCTGTAAAAAAAAAAAAAGAGAGAGAGAGAAGTACAGTGGAAGGTAGATTATTAGGGAAAAAATAAGCCATTATGAGTTCCAGAAATGATAAAAACAAAATTAGCATACTACAGTACAACACTTAGAAAATAGAAAAATCTTACATCTTAAATCCTACTGTGGAAACAGCAATTTTGGTCTTTCACTAAATGAATCAATATCACATGGAAAGCAGAGGCTCTCTCCACTAGTAATTTTATAGGTCAAATGACAACAAATTCCCTGCACCTAAGAAGACGGACATCAGGAGAAGGAGCTTCTTTTTACTCTGCTGTATGCTTTCTCTATTGGGCAAAACGTTAATAGGAACCCCTGTCCCTGGAAGACCAAATAGCATAATGTAGGAAAAGCCACCCAACAACTTTCTTCATTTAAATGATATCCATGTTTTTCTTCTAAAAAGAATTGTAACTCCAAAAATCCATAAGCTGTTAATGTACAGATATGAAATTCAATTTTCAGTTCAATTTACTGCGGTCAAAGACCAGTGCAAACAAATAAAATTTAAGAGAGAATTAAAATTTAAAAGAGAGTTAAAATACATTTAAAAAATAACCTAACTAGCATCTAATACTTTAAATCCAGGATATAGCCTATTATAATGTAAACACTAAAATTATATAAGTATGATATCTAAAATTACAAGAAAATAAAGATATCTATTAATATCAGTAAAGTGGTAGTATGTAGAATTTAAATGACTTATAGGACTTGCATTGTGGGATATTGGCTCATCAGAGTTCAAGAGATCTTCTGTGCTACTGTACAAAACGTAGCTACATGCATGCAACAAGGGGTATTTTATCTATAAGCAGCATCTGGGAACAGGCCAAATCTGGGCGACCAGATATCTATAATGTCTCCATAAAGGGAGCAGTGAAGAAGGACATGTTCTGTAGTTTCTACCTCTCTGGAGTCATGGGGGCAAATGCTTTCAGCCAATGAAACTTTTTTATATTTAGCATCTAATAGTGCAGAGGGAGAAACATCGCATCAGCAAGAGAGAAAGCTTTCCAATGGCTAGGTGTTTCTAGCTGTGTAAGATAGCTGGCAACAGTGACAATATATCGGTTATGTACTGGTGTCAGGTAGATTACAAATATCAATAAATGTGTTTTGGTTTTTTAAAAAAATCCTTTCCTGTATTTCCTTTAAAATCTTCCCAGTAAATATCTTACAGCTGAACCTTGTCCTTACAACTGGTCTAAGGGCCTGACTAAGCAAATCCAAGCATTGCATATGCTCTAACATGGCTGAGAAAAATACTTCAATAAAAAACCCAAACAACACTATTGCAGCATTATCAGTCTGAATGCAAAGACTTTGCAAAGGTCAATGCTAGTAAGTAACATTTTTTTTCATCCTGACCTAGACCAAGCTAAGTCGTGAATATTAAAGAATTCCTGGAAGTCTGACATGATGGATGACAAATCAGCCATCAAAAGGTACATCTACATACCATTCAAAAGAGACAATCAAAAAGAAAAAAGGAAAGAAAAAGACCAAAAACCTTCTCGCCAGCAATCCACACTCAGATATGCAGAGATTAACACGAAAATTAACACTAGATCAACAACCAAGCTGTAAACAACATCCCAATCCAGGTGTTGTTTACCAACTCAGACAATCAAACAGTAAACAACAGCCTAATCAAGGAACCACCAAAAACATTCCCACCAACACTGAGGGGGAAGCCACTTGCATATAAACTGAGAGTAAACCCCACTCCCTTCTAGCATTGATGATGTTACTTAATCCAGTAATGAAACATCTGCAAGGAAATAACTAAACTCAGAGAGCCCCATGGATTCCTTGGTTCAGCCCTGAGCTGCATATATTCTCTTTTAGAGGCATACTTCCATGTCTTTTCTCCAGCACACATACAAAAATTAGCAAAGGGCACTTCTACGGCTATTGTCAACAAAATCCCACTGATTTTGACCACTGAAATGCAGAGTTAGCATTTCTGAAACTGAAATGTAATGGGCAGATAGCAGAGGGGTTCTAAAAATAGTGATGACTTCCCACATAGTTTACATGTTTAGAAGCCGTTAACCATTTTCATTGTATATAATTAAGAGCCCACATAAGACTTAGATTACTATAACTTGCTTTACAAGGGGCTGCTCCTGATGACTACTCAGAAACTTTAACTGGTTCAGAATACATCCTCTCAAAAATTGAATTACACTCCTATTTTGGGAGCTGCACTGATTTTCTGTTTTGTTTCAGGTGGAATTCAGGGTGCTAATGATACTTTTAAAGCTCTACAAAGCTCAGGACTTGGTTATCTAATATAGTGCTTTCCTCCAGTGGCCCAGTATGATATTACCTAAAAATAAATTCACTTTAGTTTTCTTCTCTCAAGGATAATCATCTTTTTTTTAAATCAAATTTATAGTACAAGATACAAAGAAAATACAAAAGTAAAGAGTAGGAAAAATAAGAAAGGGAAAAAGGAAGAGAAAAGTGGGGGAAACCAAGGAGAAAAAAGAAAAAAAAGGCATTGACTTCCGACTTCCTTTGTGCAGTAAAATAGAACATTAACATCAAACCTTATATTTTTACTTTTACATAATAGTATAAACTAGCCATTTCGATAACAACAAATGTATCTAATCGGTAAAGCCAAAAATCAAAATTTCATTTTTTTTCAAGCACAAAGTCCAGAAGCGGTTTCCATGTAGAAATAAAAGTGTTTTGTGTTTTTTTCTTTAATCAAAACAGTCAATTTAGCCATCTCTCAAGGATAACCATTTTGAAGAGTCATGAGGTCAGGTTGTCTTAAATGTAGCCCCTCTTCCTTATTTGCATATTTTGGGTTAGCTTCCCCCTTAAACTCTTAGAAGCTTCCAGAAAGCCACTAATACTTGGATGTTTAAGAAAACTCTGAGAGTAGAACTGATAGAAGCTGCAAGTCCTTTTATTGGTGTGCTTTGATGTTTGTCCCTGGGTTGCTGAAACCTTTTATAGCTTTAGTTGTCACTGTTAATAGTTATTTTATTGTTTTGTTTTTAATTTTAATGTTTAACCATCTTACTGGAAGAGGAGAATGCCAGCTGTGCAGAACCCTTATGAATTGTAGCAGCAAATAGAGTAAGCAGCACAGCAAGCAAGCAAGCAACTAAACAAATCAATACATGACAACAGTTTATAGCAGGGTAAGCAACAGAAGATCAATTAATCTCAGTGTTGCCTTAAGAGAAAAAACTTACAAAGGGGTTTTCTCCAATCCTAGACATCAGTAGAAAAGAGTGAAGGTCTCCATGCTTCATGAAGGGCAGGACAACCATTGGGATTGGAAGGCGACCTTTAGGCCGATTACGCAAACTGACCCCTTGTTCGAGAGAACAGAAACGTGCAATTAACAAGATTCACTATACCTGAAATAAATTATAAATAATTAGCCTACTTCCCTCTTCACAAACTGCTGAAAATTACACTACATCCTGAGAGAGTAACGTTTCTAAACTCTTGGTTTGACCGCGTCCATGTATTAATCCCATCTATTCTTATTATGCTTCACAAGTTTATATTTAAGCAGTACAGGTAGTCCTCAACTTACGACCACAACTGAGCCCAACATTTCTGTTGTTAAGTGAGACATTCGCTAAGTGAGTTTTGCCCCATTTTACAACCTTTCTTGCTACAGTTGTTAAGCGAATCACTGCAGTTGATAAGTTAGTAACCTGGTTGTTAGGTGAATCTGGCTTTCTGATTGACTTTGCTTGTCAGAAGGTCACAAAAGACGATCACATGACCCCGGAACACAGCAAAGGTCATAAATATGAACCAGTTGCCAAGCATCTGAATTTTGATCATAGGATCGTGGGGATGCTGCAAAGGTCGTAACTGTGAAACACGGTCATATTTTTCAATGCCATTGTAACTTTGAACAGTCACTAAATGAACTGTTGTAAGTCAGAAACTACCTGTGTAAAAAAAAAACCCTAGGCATCCTTCAAATAATCTAACTTTTTATCTGGATCAAAAATACCATATGATAACTCCAAGCTGTTTTTTTTTTTTCTTATTTGGACTCAGAAACATTCCATCTGAAGCAACAGGATGGTTTCAGCCTAGTAGTTATATTTCTCGGCTATCGCAACTACTTGCTTCCAATTCTGCAGCCAATTTATAATATTGGCTCATTTTCTCAGGCTCATTTTTGAGAACCAATATATGCTGGAGAAATGAGAACTATCAAATCAGAATAGTCTTTAGGAAAAAGTATTTGAAATGTAATAATATATATACGCACTGAGAACGACTATACTCTAAATATATTGGTGACTACTGTTCCTTCTTCTAATTTTATATTACATGGCTTGTTGAAAGTCTCTATTAATTGTTTTGTTTGGGTTTATTTTTGGTAATCCTTGTTGTTTTTTAAATTCTTTGCTAATATTGCTTCTTTATTGTTTCAATAGATTTCTAGCCATACAGGGTTGGATTTGTGAGACAGGCAGCCATATTGATAGATTTAATAAATTAATACATTTCCTTTTACAAATAAACTGTAAACTATATAGTTTGGGACCCTCTAGTGCAAACATTAAATGTGAAAATGCTCACCTATTAATTTAGTAATGTGTGGATGGTTGAACTCCTTCATGCAAGCAGCTTCTTTCAGGAACTCCTCTATGTCATTGGAAGTGAAGATGTCAGCTAAAATAAAGGGGAATACTGTTGAGATTTCTTTTAAACTCATTGGGGGCAAATTCAAGAAAAGGAGCAGAATGGACAAGGAACAGTTGGGAGTCTACAGGAAAAGCTGAAAAAGTAGTAAAACAGGTGAAATGAATAAAAGTTCAAGACAGGCACACTGCAGTCTGTTTAGTTCATAGAACTGGCCATTAAATATAAGTCAAATAGATTAACAAATAGATTGGATATGAACAGTGTTACTAGTTATATTTTACCAGTGCTAATGGGCAGGTTGTGGATCACATTTGTCAAACATTTAAGTTATGAAAAAAAGGAATATAAATGAAACCATAAAGTACAGCATCATTACACTATACTGAGGGGGGCATATGGGAATTAAAATCCCAATATATCTAGAGCAGGGGTGTCAAACTCAATTTCATCGAGGGCCGCATCAGCATGCGGTTGCCCTTGGGGGACCGGGTGGGTGTGGCCAGGGTGAGTGTGGCCTACTGGATGGGCGTGGATGGAGTGGGTGTGGCCTACTGGGTGGGCATGGGCAGCTCTTCATTGTTGCATCAAGGGTGCCTGTGGGGGTCTGGGCAGGACAGATCTGAGGGTCTCTAGCAGAAGGGGGTGGGACCGGGGCAAGCACCAAGGCATGGTTCATTTCTTCATTCCTCATAAAGAGTGACACCTCCCCAGCATGCACCCATGGGGTGGGGCCAATGTGGCAAGGGCTGGTTCTTCGCTGTTTCTGAACGGCCTTGTGGAGCTAAGACTGAATGCATTTCAGCATAGATGGCCACCACAAAATTGTACATTGGCTCCCGGCCGGCCTGGGCCAGGGCCAAGGCAGCGGGAGTCGTTCCCTCACTGTTTCCAGGATGGCTTTGCGGGCCACATGAAACCACTTTGCGGGCCATACGCAGCCCCCGGGCCTTGTGTTTGACGTGTCTGATCTAGAGGATGTCTGTTGGTTTTGATGTCTGTTGGTTTTGATGCTATACTTTTGGTTATGCTTATATCTCTACTTTTTATGCTTATATTGTTCACTGCCCAGAACTGTGCTGGTGAGAAGGGTGGCCATATACATTGAAATAAGCAAATATGCATTCAAGGAATTTGTGTCAATTATAGGCAATATGAAGAAAAGGGAAAATGAGAAGGAAGGTTAAGCACAGCCAACTATTGTTTGGTGAGAATACACAAACTCAGAAAATGGAAGGTTCATGGTGACAAAATGGCATGGAGACAGTTCAAAAAATTTAGAGTACTCACCTTTTAGCATTTTCACTGCAACTTTCTGGAGAGAGCCATCAGGCATTTTCAACTGACCCTCCCTGACAGAGCCAAATTCCCCTAATAAATTATAAAAAAAGTAAAGTAAAGGAGGGTGGTAATTGGAAAAGCTCACTGTAGTTAAAGTTTGTTTTAGGATTAAGAGTAGAATGTTTAGTTAAAAGTTATAAAGATGTAAACTACTAAGTTAGAGTTTCTTCCAGTTTCTTCCATGGTAACATTCTCTGAGAAGGAATATAAAAACTATCATGTACTGAAAGACTACAGATTTTTTTTTTCTCCAAAGGAATACAGAAAAACAGGAATTGGTAATAAATAGCCAACTTATGCTAGAATCAATAGGACATAAAATTGTTTAACTGTATTGTACCGTATATCTAGATCAGTGGTTCTCAACCTGTGGGTCGGGACCCCATTTGGGGTCGAACGACCATTTCACGGGGGTCGCCAAACAAGGCTGTCCGCCATTTTTCCCCCTTTTCTTTGGCCACACCCCTGGCACCCGGTGATGTATAAGTGGTTGGGGGTAACCACAACATGGGGAACTGTATTATGGGGTCGTGGCATTAGAAAGGTTGAGAACCGCTGATCTAGATATTAAAGAGATGCTATGTAAAATGGAGTTTTGATAGGGTGCTAGTAACAAGCTACAGCAATAATCTTCCTAAACCTCTTTTAATGCTCCAAAAATATTTCTGCTGCCATAACCCTTGTACTTTCTACTTCCCTATTCGTTTTGTTTCTATTCATTTCCTGCAGCTTTCACACATTTTGTAAATGCATTCTCCCGTCCCACTTTCATGCTATTCTTCATTTTTTCCAAGTCTCTCATATTCTTTGATATGGTAAGTTCCTTGTGCCCTCAGAAATGCATTTAATAACCACAATTTACAAGCATAGAGTACTTGCATTTTTTAGCCCTATATAAGTCAATCTATCAGCCTCGATTCTCTTCTAAAAGCACCTATGGAATGATAAGTATTGCCGATCTAAAACTCCAGTTCCTAGCTACAATCAGTTGAAACTACTGCCATTTAGGATGACTAAGTCCTTAGAAATCAGATATTTATAAACGACTATATAGGATTGGGCTTAAACAAAGTAAGGCTTTGGATGACCACTTACCCTTGCCTAGCATTCTTCCCAGAGTAAACTGTTGCTCCTGAATTAGGACATCTTTCAGTTTGATCTTCAGTTCATCACTGATTCCTATACTGTCCACTGGATAAACAGAAGAGAACAAAGGCAACTTAATCAGGATTCAGTCTAGCTTTAATCACTGTCTTGATTGATATTCTTTTGATCCAAGGTATAGTTAATGTTATATAATTTAGAATAATTTCCCCTCAGCTTGGGCATTGAGATGTGTTAAATTACAAGCTCCCATTATATTTGGCTAGCACAAACTTTGATTCCATGACTGGAAAACATAGGAATTAAGGTTAGATGCACTGAAGGGTAGCAGGTTGAGGAACATTAAGTGTGTGTGAAAAACGAACAAGCTTGTTTTGGAAATACAGTAAATTCACTCTTAGTCTCTAGGACATAATTCCTTTCTTTAGTCTTATAACATATATAAAGCAACAAAGATACAATAAAGTTGCTTTTTTTCAGTGCTATAAAATTTCAGAGTTTCATATTATTGAACTACTTTCCTTGAATGATAAAAAATAGAGGAGTTTAAAATCCAGCCATTCCCATCCTGGTCATCTCCACTTAATGACTGGCAATTCTGGGAATTACAGTCTGGAGAATACAAGTGGGAAAAGACTGCTTTAAGCAATATCTATGAATCAACCTCAAAGATAGCAATTTATGCTTCAGTCTGAAGATGGCAAGCCATCACTTTTACGATATAATCAAGTTCCAAACAATAGCACAATAGTTGAACTCTGATTTGAAATATAGTACAAAAGTGTATCACTACTTCAAACTTCAGAGTTTGATCATTTCCCTCCCCTACCCCCCCACCCCCAGTTTATGTGAGAACAAGGGCCTCTGTTGTCAGCTGGATTTATATCCTAATGAATGTGCATAAGATATTTATTTTACTCATAAATAATCTGAGTCAGGATTTGGCTAAAAAGAAACAGAATGAAAATAAGGCCTAGATGGCATGGAAATCCAGCTTTGTAGGAACTCCCCCCCTGCAGAAGTCAAAGGAACATGGGTACCAATTTTGCATAAGGCATAGTCTTATTTAGTCTTTCAATTTGGGAAATGAATAGGATATTACATATATCATCATCGTCGTCGTCATCATCATCACAGTACTATTAGGAAATGGTTTAATGGAGGAAGAGAACAGCACTTTAGCTAAGAGAATGGAAATACACTTGCTGAGAGAAAGAGTCACATATATTTTACCTACATGTCACTTCAATAAGTTCTGGGACTTCTCGGTTGAATGATCGCACTGCTCTGAAATGGACTACAGGATCACCTCCAACCATGCTGCCAAAGGCTTGACTAAATGGGGGGGGGGAGGGAGGGAAGCAAAGAACATCTCATGAAATGTGCAAAGTACTACCAAACCTAAGTTGACATGTATTTACTACAGACAACAGCTAAGAATCTTTTTATCTTGGTAACTATTTTTTTTTTCTGAGGCAGTGCAAAATATCAGAAGACCCAGGAAAACTCTTCCATACTTCCGAAGGGTTAGGGTTAGGGTAAAATTAGGGTAAAAATTAAGATAAAATTGGAGAACTCATGGCTGGCTCAGGAATTCTGGAAGTCCAAAGTCATAAAAGGGTCATAGTTCAGATGGCACTGGTACTTTAGTTAGTTTAGTTCCCCATCCTTGCTCTAGTGGCTATGCCACTCTTTCGTTATGGTTCTTTCTTTCCCTACCATCTTAGTGGCAGTGTGTTATATAATCAGTGGCAAAGGGAAGTCTTCAAGCCAATTCTACAAGTTGTTTAACTGGAGGGCAATTTGTTGACCCAATCAGTCTTTCCATTCCACAAACCAGATATTTTAAGGTTGCAATTCTCAATCAGGAGGATAAAGACCATCATATTTTCCATACCCGTGTGTGTGTGTTGTGTGTGTGTTGTGTGTGTGAAAGAGAGAAAGGGAGGAGGGACGGGGGGGGGAGAGAGAGAGAGACAGAGAGACAGAGAGACACAGAGAGAATACAAAACATCAAGTGAAAATGAAATGCTTTACATGATCAAAGGCTATGCCAGCTAGGAATTCCCACTGACATATCAGGGGCCAACATTTTGAGGACCTCTGCGCAAAGGGATGCTGAAATTACAATGGAGATGATAAACAGCAAAATAAGTCTTTTACCCAAATCGCGTTTCTTTTCTTCTTTTCCGTAGAAGGATTAGGGCTAAGGCAACTGCTGTAACCAGCGCAGTCAGAATTCCTAAAACCACAGGAACCCAGGATGTTCCATAAAGAGGCTGCCTTTGCCCCCCTGTTTAGAAAATAAAATCCTTGTGAAAAAAAAAGCTAAATATGTTCACCATATAGACATTTTTCTCCATGAAAACGCTTTAGCTCTAGAAGGAGGTCCACTAGTCATATTCTAAATAACTCTAAAACGATATAGCAACACAGCCAAAGCGGCTGTTCTGCAAGGTTTGATGTGGCACATCTCCATCTGGTCAGTTTCAGGGCTGCCATCATTAGAACAGAAGAGCCAAAACTGTCAGATACTTTGATCGGAGAATCCTTATAAACCATTCGGGGGGGGGGGACTCAAATACAGAAAATATTATTTCTATTAATCTAGGCCATATCACGCTCACAGATTTTTTTCATTTTTTTTAAATAATACATTAACATCAAACAAATGGTAAGGGAGCCATTTGTATGGTATTGATATTTTCCTTCAGATGCCAAACTTTCCTTTACACAGAAAATTTGTAATAGTCCCAGCCAGTCCCTGCTTCTGCTAGATCAGTGGTTCTTAACCTGGGCGATATTGCCCCTCAGGGGGCAATTTCATTTTTCAGGGGGCGATAGAACAAAAAGGAGTGACGCGGGGGCGAAGGAACGAAAAGGGGGCAATATGGGGGCGATGTAGCAAGACGTTTTGGGGACACTTTGGAGACTTTTTCGTACAGTGAATTGCTGTATATCTGTCGTACAAAAGCATCAGATCGCTCACTATTAGTGGATTGAATTGTGTTTCCAAATGTTCCTCCAGCTAGCTTCAGTACAGAACGCCGTACATATGTGAATATGCATCGCTTATCTTCATGCGCGTTGCGCAGCAGCATCTACCCATACAGTGGCATGCCACTGGCCAGAATGGGCAGTGATGCAGGAAGGAACGTTTCTTTCGAAACATTGCATGCTGAATGGCTGTCCCCTGTGACGTCAGCTGTAATGTTGACATCACAGTTTGAGTTTTCAGCTTCATTTTCAAATTTTTGTTGTGCTCTGTAAAAGATTTTGTGTGTCTCTTTGTATTGTACTTTTTTAGCGTGCACTCCAGTTTGATATTATATTTTCTTTGTGTCTTTTTAATCCTTTTTACAGTGTGCGTGACTATATATACTTTCCTCAAATCTTAATTTAGTTTCAGAGTTTTCGTCTTGAAATTCTTAGTTCCTGCATTGCGGTTTGTTCTTATGCCCTTTTTATATTTCTTTTTGCGTCTTAAATTTCACTTGTAATTCAATCATTAAATGTTACTGTTTTTCTTTTCGGGCATTTCACTTTCTTGCAATTGTATTTTGTTTTCAATGGTCATTACATTTAAGTGTCTTGAATAAATAAGATAATAATGAAATACATGTATCACGAAGTTTGGCAATAAAGTGCCGGGTGGCAGCAAAATTTTTCACACAATTGAGATCTGTGGAAAAAGACTGGAAATAAACTATTTGCATCGATATATCCTGATGACAATTTTAAAGAAAACAAAAAAAGTGTTTGCATAAATTGAAGAATTATTTTCTATGTTGTGATTGAGAGGTTATATTGGAGGAGGGGGGCGATGACAACTTCCTCATTGGCTCAAGGGGGTGATTTGTTCAAAAAGGTTAACAACCACTGTGCTAGATTATTTGAAGCTATTTAGTTTTTATCTGTAAGAACATAATACAAACGCAGCTGGGAATATTGGAAAGAGCACAGCCAGAGAAATAGTACAATAGTACCAGCTCTCTCACTGTTCCTCATCTGATGCACCATATTAACAACAGCCCATTTTCCTCAAACACAAACGCTTCCTGCATTTGCCACTTACCTATTAAATCTTGAGATGTAAGCAATAAAGGCTCACTCCAAGGTCCACAACCAGCTGAACTGAGTATACAGACCTTGATCATAAGGTCTTTTAAGGGATTCCACATAGAAAGGTTAGCTCTTGCTTCCTTCACAATCATTTCCCCCTATAAACAAAAAACCATAAATGGTGCATCGTCATTCAAGTGACACTTATTCATTATTACCTCTGAATCAGAAAATCAGTTTCTTCTGTTCCAAGTTATCCAACAATCCTGGAATTATGGTTCGTTGCAGTCTATTATTATTATTGTTGTTGTTGTTAGCTGTGGTGGCGCCGTGGAGGAACTCATTGCCACAAGATGCAGTGAAATCTATTAGCAGCATTTTCAATTTATATGAAGGTAAGAACATTTATCACTGGTAATAAGGATCAATGGGTTATTTAAACTTCTGTGTTTGGGCATTTACGCATATTGGACAGTCATTACTATATTTTCCTGCTTGACCACTAGCTAGCTAAAGGATGATGGGAATTGAAGAGCAATCCATCTGCAAGCTATAAGATTAGAAAAGGTTCTCTTAAATAGACTTTGTCCTGCTCCACCAACAGCATATGCTTCTCGGTTTATTACCTGAGTTATGTTATCTTGGCTCCATTCCAACCTGTATTCTAAGGCATTCTCCCCAAACATTTCTGGAGCTACTGCTTCCCATTCCAAAATCAGACAAGAGTCTCTTTGGATAATGTGTACATTTTGTGGAGTACAATTTGGAGCTGTAAGGGAAAGAAAATCACAATGTATATGTTGTGTTGTTTAAAAGTACGCTACTGAATGGTAAGCCTCAAAGTACAGAAGAGCTTTAGGAAAACCAGATATCCTATAGGCTATTAATAATCATTTATTAAATTCGTAGTTAAGTTCTACACCAGTGATTCTCAACCTGTGGGTCGGGACCCCATTTGGGGTCGAACGACCATTTCACGGGGGTCGCCAAACAACGCAGTCTGCCATTTTTTCCCCCTTTTCCTTAGCTGTGCTACTCCCTTGAATAGAGTCTAATTCTATTGGCTTTCAAAAGCCAATAGGAATTGTCCAGGCTGTCTCTGCCCTGCTGAGCCCGCCAAAGTCCCATTCTGCAAACGGTGCTGCACCAGTTGAATAGTCCTCGACTTACGACCGGCTGAGTAGTCCTCGACTTACGACCGGTTGGGGGTCGCGGCATTAAAAAGGTTGAGAACCACTGTTCTACACAGTCTTCTAAAAGGTTTCCCACCTTTTCAACAAGCTCTAAACATTGAAACATCCATTTTATCCAGATACTTGGAAGAACTAGTAACATTTCCAGAGTTTCCAATTAACTGTACAATAGAAAGCAACAACCATAAAGGGAGATGACTGACTGCTTGAAGCAGCACTGAGTTTTGCATGTCGCTTGCAATCTTCGTTTAACCAGACATGCAATACGGTTGTTCAATTAATCAAAAAAGTTGCTGATATCCAAATGTTTTCTGATTCAACAGGGAAGAATATCTTTTAAGAGTTCCATGCACTCTAGCCCTCTAAGACTTACCTAATCCCAAGGTCTGAAAATAGACCCAATCTGAAAAAGGAGAGCTGCCCATCTCATTAGAGCACTGGATTCGAACACTGTAATTGGTGGCGTGCTTTAAACCTGGTAAAGCCCTTGTAAAGGGAGGGACAGAGAAAACTTCGGTGACCACCTCATCCTCTTCTTGCAGCTCAGCTACCTGCTGAAAAACGGATAAAACAAAAACGTGAACAGATTCATGGATTTCACATAAAACGTGTCACTGAAGAAAGTCATAAATCCTTAGGAGAGTTGCACTAAATAAATGATGTATTTGAGACTAGAGTATTTTGAAAGTTACTGCCAAAGTCTAATGGGTCTTGATGAACAAACAAATGTATTCCGTAAATACAACCTGAACCATGTCCTCCTCCCCATCTTAGAGCTCAGTAAAACTGCGACTAACTTCATTAATGGAAAAATGAGAAATCTCATATGTCTACAATAGTTGTGAGATCTCACAGGTGAGGATTCTTGGAATTGCAGCCACCTATGGAGATCAATAAGAGGAGGAAAGCTGCTACATGAAAATAAACATTGCATCTAGGTTTTTTTTTTTATCTCTCTGGGCTTTGTACTTTGATTTCTTTTTTTATTGATTCCCTTTTTTCACGGCATGCTTCTCTCTTAGTTTCAAAGAGAAACCTGTTCAGTTATCCAAACAATTATTGTTTAAAAAACACATTTATTTCACATTAGACATGCACACATATCTTTTATTCCAGCATCAACTCCAATGAAACAGACTCTGCAGTCTGTATACCTCTGTACTGTATGCATTATGGTTAGAGATAACAGTATGAGTGAGCCTGCTTTTCATAATGGTGTCTTTACAAGAATGCGTTCAGCTCTTTTCTCCAGCCCTAGAAAAATAACAAACCTTCCTTTCCTGCAAGCACCAGGGACTGCTAGTAGTAGAAAGATGGCTCAGAAGGCAGTAATGTTTACAAATAAATGCATATTTGCATTTCTCTGCTGTGGTAGCTCTTGTCTCCAGTTGATCTTTTTATACCAGATCATGGTTGCCTCACTAAACTCTGCAGATCAGAGAATGAAATGCTTCTTTGTTTTTCCCAGCATGGGACAGAGATGGATGTAAAGGGGGATGGGGATGGGGATGGAATCCACTGTCTAAGAAGTTTGCAATTTGCTCCTCTCTCCCAGCTTCACCCGTGGGGGAAAAAAAGGTTGTGGGGTGGAGCCTGGAACTTAGAGAGATTATCACTGTGTGCAGTGACAGATGGACGTGCACATTAGGAAGAATAGGCTGTACCTAGTACAAGCAGGCAGCATTCGAATGTGCAAGAGGAAATTCATTCTGATCTGTCAAGTGTCCCAAGAAAGCAGCAATAAACACGATGCAGGGAGGGCTGCATGCAGGGAGTAGAGGGTAGTGCCATTAGCTCAAAGGGCCTTTTGGTTTCTTGAAAGTCATAGATAAGAGGGCATTCTGCATCTCTAATGAAACAGAATAAAAGAGACAAATTACAGCCTCTACCTGGTTGTTCATGCTTTCAAAGTTACAGTTTTCTTTGTCCCTCAGGATTAAGTATAAGCTGCGGCCAAAAGCACCTAGAAAAATTGTGTTTAGTCCATGGCTCCATCACAGGACTGAGTTGAATCTAAAAAGCCCAAGGCTTTAAAAATAACCATTCTCTTTTTCTTTCTTTCTTCCCCAGTTCTATTTCTGTAACATCACTCAAACACCTTGTTCTATCAGTTTGATTAGCCCTAATCATAGTTGTGTCCATGCAGTCACCACAAATCAATGTCTCAAGGGAGACATTTTTATCTTAATCATGCTCAACTATTGGAAGAAGGCTTTTTTTTAAATTTAAGAATACTGATTGCTATAACAACCCCCTGGAGAAGTCCAAGGTAGCTAAATTAATCTATAGAGATAAGTTTGGTCATTTAGAATAAGGGGTCTTGAATTCTCAGCTGAAATTCTCATCTCTCCTTACAAATGCCCAGACTGAAGAACTAAACCCATAACAAATTTGCAGTCCTGAACTCATCTGTGGAGGCTGACTCATGGCTTTCCTCAGCAAGAAGTATAAAGCATACCATTTACTTCAATATATATATCTATAGTATTTGCTTCAAGGATTGCAAAACTCCAGCCCAGTCATTTGGCTCAAAATCACAAGTAAACAGCTTCGTGCCAGACCAGACCATTTATAAAACAAAACACAGGTGAAATTATCCTTCCTGCTTCTAGCCCATTGTACCCCCATGAAAATTCCTGATTTTTTTTATAATGGCTTTATTAGCTCTTCAACAAAAAATCTACTTAGCTGATTTTTCTGTGTCATTAGTCCTTTCCCATCATCTCAGTTGCTATTGAAAAAAGCCTTGCATTGGCACTAATAGTTTTTTTTTACTACTTGTGTTACGCTAAAGGAAGAAATAAAAATAACAGCTAAAAATGTTAAGTTCAAAATTAATCATAGTACTAATAAAGAAAGGCTTGAATATTTTCTTGGGGGAAAAAGACTGCTTCTAGTGTGTGGATAGCTGAGCTGCTGCTGGAAGGGAAGAGTTAATTTTTTCTTCCTCTTGGACTGCAATTGGTCTTCCAAAACTGTATTGTCAAAGAGGCTTGAAAAGCACTTTCTGCTGAGGACTATAGGAAGCTTTTCCAAACCTAGCTCTTTGCGATCAGCATCTTTAGCAGTAGTGTCTACCATAAGCCATGATATCATGGGTGTGTAAGCTCATCATGTAAATTATGTACTTGCATCCCAATATCTGACACAAGTACATAAGTTGCAGGGATTGGTGGCCAACAGATCTAAATATATACCATATATACCTATATCAGCTATCATCAGACATTACCATTTATCAATCCTTTCTTCATTCTATGGTAAAACATTTTGGGGCAATTTTCAAGTATTCAAGAATTAAACAGCAGAAATCTTCAATGCCTAAATAAGCTGTAGGAACTAACAAATAAAATTTAATTGCCCAGTTTAAAAATCCAGGAAGAGTTCCATTTATCATGCCAACTCAACTAGTTTAAGAGAAAGTCACTGGGAATAAGTGAGCTTTACGAGATTTCTCAGGCCTGAAAGGAAGGGATTTCACCCAACAGAAGACAGCTGAAAGGGATTTTCCCCTTGCATTTGTTTCAGAGTTAGGCAGCTCAGCACAGGGCTTTCAGACAAACCTTGTAAGTCTAAATGTAGATGAAAAATCCTTTGGGGAACTTGGCCTCAAACCATTTCAGTTTTACAGCATAACCAGTACTTTGAACCAAAATGAGAGTTCAATGGCAACCAGAGCAGCTAGTGAAAGTACCAGTGACATCTGAACCCATTGTCACTTGGGTGACCAATGTGATGAAACAATAGAGTACTTACACCCTAGTAAGGCAAGTGAAGAGTTAAGTGAGAACTTCCTATAAGAGGACAGAAAGATAACAAACTGGAGAGGTGCCTTTGCACCCACACACACAACTGGCAGTAGACATTTGGTAGTTGTAATTAATAGTGCTGGCAAACCACGTGAAAAAAGAAATTAATTCTGACCATAAATGTGAAGTTCTGAACCTTTCAATAGAATAGAATAGAACAGAATAGAATAGAATAGAATAGAATAGAGAATAGAATAGAATAAACTTTATTGTCACTTTAAATGTACACTAATCAGCATACATTAAAGTGAAATTTCATTACATTCAGCTCTCAAAGAGTAACCACCTCCAATATATAAACATAACAAAAGAGTATGCATATAACCATATACCACACATATATAACACAGAGGAATAACACAGTCTAGTTCAGATGTATATATATATATACATGGCGAGAAAAAAGAATCCTGCAAATTTACAAGATGGACGGCATAAGGAACAAAGCTGTTGTAGAATCTAGTAGTCCTGCTAGAAATACTTCGAAACCTCCTCTCAGAGGGAGCTACAAAAACAGACTGTGAAGTGGGTGTGCAGGGTCTCTAACAATGCTTTGAGCTCTAAGCACATAGCATTTATAAGCAGTTCCCGAATAATGGGAAGCGAGATTCCTACAGTATAATCTTCTCAGCTGTCCTTACCACTCTCTGTATGGAACTTCTATCTGAAGCACTGCTACCACCAAACCAAGCAGTGATGCAGTTTGTTAAAATGCTTTCAATTGTGCCTCTGTAAAAAGTTGCCAGGACGGAAGGAGAAAGATGTGCTCTCCTCATCCGATGCAGGAAATGCAGACACTGGTTTTCACGAAAACCAGCAGAAACATATAATCTATTCAGACAATGTACTCTTGTTAAATAAAATGTTGAACGATCCACTGACAGTAAACAAAGAGACTGGCTATAATACTCCTCCCTGCCTACCACAAGAAGAACTAGAGAGGGGACAACCTCAATATATAAGGTCTAAATTTATAATTTTGGAGTAGTGATTTTGAATTTATGCCCCACAAAACTTTGCAGAATATAGGCAACTTCTGACCAAATAAATCTAGCAACTTTCTCATCAACAGAAAATTCCAAAACATCTTCAAAAATAAACCCAGGTAAAGTAAATTACAGTAGTCCAACCTAAATGTTAAGTCCATGCATAGATCTTCTCTAGACAGGACCACAGCTGGCACAACAGATCGGTCTCAGAAAAAATAACTGCTATCACCAAGGTTATCTCAACATTAAAAACGTAGGAGAACTTCTACACTGTATATTTGAATTTTAGAAGAAATCTCTGATAACAACTGCAAATGTCTATTTCACATGGTCTTCTTTCCTACAGACAGTATCTCCATGGTATAAATAAAATCTCAGCTTCTTCATTTCAGAATGAGTATGAAAGGCATTCGTAGGTGTTGCTTTGGTCAACCCCAATTTTGGCTTTGGCTTGCCCACTGCTGGAATGCAGCCATGGAATGAATGCACATCTTATGAGTATATGTATGCCTCAAAGTGAAAAAGATCTCCACCCTTGTTTTGCATGCTGCTGTTTCTTATTCTGGGGCCACACCTTCAGGATTTTGGCCTCTAGTATTTCTGCTTCAGGCACACCTGCAACTCAGTTTTGACAACAGTATATTGGAGAACTGTGTGAACTGGTTCAATCTGAGAAGTAATTACCACAATCAATTGCTCCAATACACGATCAGGTTGCAAAGCTTATTATTGCCTATTGTTCAGTGATTCCTGTTGGGACTGGCCTCAGAGTATTTGATGCTTGAGACATAGCAGGAGCAGGCACATGTCCCTCAGCCTTTCCGCAATATTCCCAACAACAATTGTACTTGAAGCAGAAAATCCCTCATGTTCTCTGTCTTCATCTGAAACTCAACATGAAATGGTTCGTTCATGATTTTTATATTTCTTCCTGGAGCTCCACAACAATATAGCTTCAGAAATGCTTTATAATGTTTCCTATGGAGTTATGGGCCAAATGTTTTCTCACTGGCAAGAACTCTTACATCCAGGAATGTTCTTATTCCTCCCCTTTCCTGCAGTAAAGATTAGTTTTAAAGATATACCAATTCCAATTTGGGTCAGGGTCACCTCTTCCAAGAAAGAGCTTCAAGTCATCTGTCTATCTGACTCTCTGTCTGTTCATCCGTCGCCTGTCTGTCCATCCAACTCTCTCTCTCTCTCATCTATCTATTTTAGATTTTTTTTAATGCCACCTTTATTATTTTTATAAATAATTCAAGGTGGAGAACATACCTAATACTCTTTCCTCCTCCTATTTTCCCCGCAATAACTTTATTCTGATCCTTAGCATTTTATCAAAGGACTGGACACAGAGTTAGAGGTCTGCTTGAAAGCTGATTAGCTTTTTTACTAGTCTGCTGCTTGTGATAAAGTCAAGCAAATAACATTAGATTAAGTAATGGGGACTTTATGAAGCTCCATTGTTTAGAACAGTGGAAACTCAAACTGGAAAACAAGTTCTGTCATGTAAAACTAAGTTTTGGTAGTTTAGTTTGGAGAGGACATATATGTAATTGTTTCCTACCTGTACTGTACAAGAATGTAGGGGGGAAAGGCCATCGAATCCTGGTTGCCAAATGACACTGGCATTGTTGCTGGTGATCTTAGTGACTGTCACATTGAGAGGTGGAAAAGGGATCGCTGAAACAGAAGGAAGATTTTTAACATATGCAAAACTGAGCAATTATTTACATAGAAATGTGCAAGGGCTACAGTCTGGGAGTTTGGACAACAATCCCTGAGAGGTGCTAATTGAGCTATGAATGAACAGAGGTAGCCTGCTCATGACATTATAAATCCCGATTAACACTGAATATCTTTTTTCCGGGTTGATGGTTAAACAGAGAAAATAATGAACATTTGTTGCTTTCAAAAACATTCTGTTGTGGAATCTGAGAGTCAAGTGATAGTAGTCTGACATTTCTTAAACCTTTCGAATAACATGGTTGTTTTTTTCCGGCACAGTACTAGCCCTATGTCATACTTACATGTATTTCCTATAATACACACACACACACACACACACACACACATACACACACTTTCTTCCATTCCGTTGTTTCCAACTCTTGGAGTGTCACTAGTATGTAGACAAGTCCCTGCAGTTTTCTTGGCAAATCCTTGGCTGGCTTGCCATTGCTTTCTTCCTAGGGGTGAAAAAACTGAGTGGCTCAAAGTCACCCAGGTGGCTTTATGCCTAAGGTGGGCCTAGCACTCACATCTTTCAGTTCCTAATCTGATGATTTAACCACTACAGCAAACTGACTCTCATTATTTATATATTGGAATGCATTTAAACACTGGAAAAGAACAGGATTAAAAAAAAATCTACAGAAATTCAGAAAAGTTTGTTCAGTTCTTATAAAAATGTTCCATGAAAAATGTGACATTTTTAATCTTTATTAATGAACAAGCAATCCTACGTCATTCACAATGCAGTCATTTACATTCATTCTGTTGAGATAATAGAGATAATCATCCCTTATAAAAACTTCTATCTCATTCCGAAGTTTATGAGGCTTGCAAAAATTTTGAGCATGTAATGAGATTTATCTGAGTGATACATCACTAGTATCAGAACAATATCACTTTCCCTTAGTCTCAGCAAACACAAAAGGGGATGCAATTGTTGCTGAAGTCATTGGAGTCACTAATGGTGCAGGCAAGCAACTCTCATTTAGCTAGAAATCCTTAGTTCCCTAATTATGAGTCACAGTTGTTTGGGAAGTTCAATTACTGTAATTCCAATATTTTCAAGGTTATATAAAAAAAACTGGCACCAACTAAATCTTCCATGTGCATGTATCAATACTATTGTTTGGAAGCAACTTCGATCTTTTCCATATTTTCCTGCCCAAATTTCTATATTCTCCAAATTAGGTTGTGTAATACCCTCTCCACTTCCCTGATCAAGTGAGAAGATCTTTTGACATAGCACCCAATAATAAAAATTGATTTACTAAAGAGATTTGTTTTTGTGCTTATTTTATAGCCTTTTTCAAAAACAAGTTATTTTTTATTGTTTACTATTCTATTATTATTGATTACAGCTTTAAAATACAGCTTTGATTTCTCAGTTTGTAATCCATTTCCCTTCTGATTTAGTTTTTGTTGTTTTATATGTAATATTGAGCAGTTTTGGCAACTGCCCAGAGAACTTACATAAGTTGGTGATTAGGAAAACAAATCACATTAATGGGTAAAAAGTCTACACCCAACCCTTGGCACTACTTCAGAATTTCCACAGCCTTCCTGAACCAACTTTATTCATGCGTTATATATGCATATGGCATTCAGCATCTCCCCGATGTCATGTGCTTTTAATTACACTATTAGTCAATATCTGAAAACTTCAGAAGAGAAACCACTGTTCAGGAACCGTTTCTCTGACACATCTGCAAATAATGCACAGAGGAGACTAGCTCAGGGGCAAGACACACAGAGTAGAACCTATCATTCTTTGCCCTTATTTTACTCATTTCTGCTGTATATAAATATGACATGCCTTACAAAAATCAATGTCCTCTACATACTAGTGACACTACACACTGAATATTGCAGATACTATTTCCAGAGGCTAGCTACGGATCTTATGAATACAAAAGCCAACAACACAGAACCAAACAGAAGTCGGGAACTTCAGGAATGATCCATCCCTCCAGGACCCTTTTGATTTAGATCATCCTGTTCAATAGAGTAAAAACTGCTACACCTCCTTGCTAATTACATTGCAAATGATGCTAGGAAAGAACATGTTTTCACAATTCAGTCTTGCTTGAAAAAGTTCCAGACATGCTCTTTCCATAAGTGTTCTGAGACTAATATTTCTTTTTTTATTTGTACTTTATTGCTGTTGCCATTGTGACATTCATTGGCAATATTTCATTGAAAGTATATAGGAAGACAGGATAAATTTGAAATGAGATGAAGTCACAATTTGGATGAGTCTTATAATAAAACACATGGTTGAAAGGAATATGAGAAAGTACAAGGAACTGTCAATGAACAGGAAAAGAAAGGGGGAACGCATAGGAGCAGTTGCCTAATCATGACACTTTTTTTTTTTTGTAAACACTAAAAATAAAAAGATTTTGATGACACTGCTGGCTTGAGAAAACCATTTCCAATTTCTTCCTTGGTTTGTTGTCTTTTTAAATATAAATTCAAGCTGGCTGCCTCTCATTTATCTTGTTCTGGCCCATTTTCCCCTAGTTTACTCTCAAGCTCCTCGCTCTCCATATGTTCTCTCAGATACACCGCTTCACTGCTCCCGTCATCTCCTGTTCCCACTCATGGCTCAATGGTTCCATTCATGTTGCCACTGATTCTTGAAACCAACTCCCACTCCTTGCTTGGCAAAGGCTTCCTCTTACCTTTAGATCATGCCTAGTAATTTGCTTGCCATTAGTTTCTAGAGCAGAAACTCCTCATACGCTGTTTACTTGCAGTGCTTTCGAATATCTTACCTCAAAGTTCTAAATATATCTGAGAATCCAGTCCAAGCTAGAAACCTAAATCTAGCTTCTCATCTCACCAAAGCTTCAAACCTTAGAAGCATGAATTACTAATTGTTGGTTGCCATTAATAAGAAGGGACTCGGTTCCAATCCTTGCTGGGCAGTCTGTTGCCTCAAAACAAAGACAGTGCAGTTTTCTGTCCAAGAGCGGAAGAGTTAAAGAATTAAATAACATCCCCCGAATCAGACCCGTTTCAAGAAATTTGGAATTCTTTCCCACAGTTATAGTGGGTCAAATCAATTAGAAAGTGGCATCTCTAGATGAAATCAAGATTTTTTTTTCTTCACTGGGATTTGTTGGAATCTAATGAACTGGTTTGAACATAACACAGACTGTATAACACATGCATCCCCAAGGACACTTCAAAATTGCAGTACCGAAATTCAGTGATGGTTGAGCAAGATCCACAGGATTGTCTGGGATGCTACACATCCTCTTGACCTTCTCTCTCTCTCTCTCTCTCTCTCTCTCTATATATATATATATATATATATATATGTGTGTGTGTGTGTGTGTGTGTGTGTGTGTGTGTGTGTGTGTAGGTCTTTGGTTCTTCGGGTTTTCTCCCGCGTAAAATTGGAAGTGTCTTGGCGACGTTTCGACGAAGTCCCATTCGTCATCTTCAGGCTGGTGTTTTCAGCTTCGTGTCGCCAAGACACTTCCAATTTTATGCGGGAGAGAAACCCGAACAACCAAGACCTACATACAAACACCCACGAAAACCTCAGATATATATATATATATATATATATATATATATATATATATATATATATATATATATATATATAGGTTATCTTATGTCGTTTCATCAAATTCAGCAGTAAAATTATTGATTTTCAGCAGCAGTTTTAGAGATTTGGAATCATACTACCTCTGTGAGGAAAAATGCTCTCTTTCTCACTGTGATGCCCACCTATCTCCAGAGCTGAGCAGGAAATTGCTCATTTCTTTGAGGCCCATCTTCTCAGCTTATGCCATTATTTCACTATAAGACTTTTAATACCTGGCCAGGTTGAGAAGCTGAATTCCAGCTTTTGACCTAGAAGACAATGCCCATCCCAATATAACAGTAAGCCTGTTCAGGTCAGCACTGGCTTACAGCACCAAACATCCCTCCTTCCAAATCGTTCTATAAATGTAAAGCTTTGCACAGGCAGAAGGTGGCCCAGGGGGAATCATATACCCTTCGGTTGGCACAGCATTAAGCAGTAATGGGTTGGTTCACAGATAATTCTAAACCGAGAAAACCTAAACAAATTACTGAGCTATGGGTGAACTTCAGTATTTTCTTTCTTAGTGTCACTCTACACCTCCCTTTTCAACCCATCAGTTCTGTATTTGATTTCCAACTTGGCCTTAACAAAAAGTGTAACATATCAGCAATAATGCAAGATGGAAAATCACTACAAGTAGTCCTCACTTAACAACCTCAATTGAACTAGGAATTTTGGTCACAAATCATTGTAGTTGCTAAGCAGGTCACCACCTGTCTTGAGTATATTTTATGACTATATTTACGATGGTCAAAAAGCGAGTCATTGCAGTAGTTAAATGAACCATGTGGTTGTTAAGCAAATCCATTCTCCCAAATAGGTGGTTTTTGTCAATTTCTGGCAAAAAAATGGCAGAAACCAGAAAGAAGTTGCAAATCGTAGTCACATAACCCCAGGACACTGTAAATGCAAGCCAGGTGCCAAGTGCAGGACATGTGACACACACACCCAGGAAGGTGTATGGGTGTGTTGCAGTGAGGAAGAGTTATAAGTAATTTTTGGGAGGCCTGCTGGAATTTCGAACATTCTTTAGGCCAGGGGTCCTCAACCTTGGCAACTTTAAGACTTGTGGACTTCACTCCCAGAATTCCTCAGTCCCCAGAATTCCTCAGCCAGCTTTGCTGGCTGAAGAATCCTGAGACTTGAAATCCACAAGTCTTAAAGTTGCCAAGGTTGAGGACTCCTGCTTTAGGAGACTTGTATAAGAGCTACCTGTTTAAGAGTTGGGTGATTGATGGCAATGACTACTAGAAATGCTTTTCGTGAAGATATTTCACATATATCAACCCCACTTGATCTGAAACAGCGTTTCTCAACGTTTGTGTGATGGTGACCCCCGTCACACGGA